TTGCTCTTGCAATAGGCTTGGAGACTAAAATCCTTTGCCGATGGAAGTTGACGGTGGCGCAACGGCCACCGGGGCGGCAGAAGACGGTCTACAAATTGATGGGTACTCAGTGGCTCCACAGCTCATAGAAATGCATAGGATTTCACCAGTCAAGATGTTTATGAATGGGATGATGGGGTCGTGCTGGCCAGAACAGCATTATGGAGTAAGGACGGGCATGTACTTGATGACTTTAGCAGCTGGTTGGATATACACCTAGCGTTGTCCCCCGCGGCTGAGTAGCAGCGATTACTCCTTGCGCAGCCAAAAAAAGATGACGTCAATGGTGACTCTGTTGGTGCATGCGGTTTTAGTCGCCTGCAAGGGTTACTACAGTTCACACGCTCCCATAACTCCTGGCTCACCGAATAAGCACATATCAGCTGAAACTCTAGCCTTGGGAAGAGATGCGGAGGCTGAAGCAATAAAACCAAAGCACTAGTAGATTTAAAGTGCATCTTGGGTTCTCCAAAGCCACAATGTAGACGAATTACTACTTATGAACGATTTTGCTCAGGTCTACAAAGTGTCAAGTCAGGTGGTCGCAGGATGGCCAACGACTATCCCATCAGACACACCAGTGTGAACTTTGCGAAGGAAGGACTTCTTCAGGTTTCAGGAGCAAGAGATCGCAATACCTGAGTCGTTGGCTGATTTGAAAAACCCCAGTTGGGATCTAGAACCTTTGGGCGTCAAGAGTGTGTCGATCGGTCCTAGGCTACACTCTAACGTGCATGGGAAAACAGGGACGCCGGAAGCTATCGCTCCTAAGCAGCTTCACACAGCCCCCCAAAACGCACCCACTGGTGTTGTGGGAGGCTTGGACATGTCATTTAGGAACTGCAAGAGCATACGAAAGCCAGAGAACTTGAGCGACGGGACTGGACCTAGCGGAAGCAAGCTGCTTAGCAAGCAAAGAAGATGCATCAGGGAATCCGCAAGGGCCATAGCGGGCTGCGGCGGAGTGAAGGGGGCTATGAAGACACAATAGCGCCACAGTTGAAAACCATTCACTGGTCAGATATATGCTAATACAAGCTCAATTTCATGGTAATTTATCGCTGACGTCTCTTGACACTACGCATGAAGTAGATCTGTAATCAAAAAAGACGGCTCAGAAGTACATTCGGCCCCGTGTCTAATGTTTAGCGCAGTCCCTAAGGCTCAGACGTGCCTACGGGTGGCAGACCGTAGACATTGAGAAGTCTACAGCAGCAAAATTGACAATTCAAATCTGGACATGGGTAACAACATCGGGGTTGTCACTCGTGTGTTGGAGCGCGCAGCATGATGTAATCTTAGGTATGACCCGAATGAAGTATCGAAAGGTGCGCGTGCTGCCACAGAGGCAGTCTGTGGAGGCTATCATGCCGGGAACTGCTAGGAAGAAGCAGCTCCTGGTATCCACAATAACGCATATCATGCCTATGATGACGGGGTCAGGGTGGGTGTCTTGACAAGGTGACGCCGAGTCTGTATGCGGGCAGCCCAGCGAAGGAGTAGGAGAAGACTCTCTGAGCATACCTCGCGCCGTAGTGGCTCTGCGACTCGCTCTTTATCATGGGATACGACTGACGGCTTCGCCGAGGAACAGCAGGAATAGGCAAATATCGAGGAGGAGTGAGGAGATGTGCTAAAGAAGGACGAGCTATTAGCCGGATGGAATTTCGCTGGTCGTCCAGAGCATCAGAATTAGCGAATCACCGTGTCACCCCCAAGCTTAGCTCCGCGGCATCAAAGCCCTCATGGAAGAGAGGAACGAGCGGCGGGCGGATTATGCGTTGAGAAGAGCCAAATGCAGGAATGGACTAGCGCCTACGGGTTCACCCCGGTGCGATTCTGAAGAAACAACGGAACGTGGCGTATGTGCCCTGCCTACCCAATGCTCCCTCGCATCCCTGGTCCATACTTAAGAGGCCCTCTTAGGTCAAAGTCTGGACCTGGAGGTTTGGGGTAAGCAGCCACCCTTAGTAGCGGGTGGATGTAAGGATATTCGGTTAGTGCACGAGAATGTATGTGCAAAACGCAGGAGAGACGCGTACGAAAGTATGACGAGCTGCTATTGGCTGTGAATTTGGACCCTGAAGACGTGGTCATATGTGGCGCAGCACACTTTATAAGGTTCACTGGGTGACAAGTTGAAGATGTTTGCAGCCAAATGGCTAGGAGCACTTGCGATTTCCCCAACAGCCACATATCTTTCCCATTTGATTGATTTTCCTTAAAGCTGGGACGGCTCCAGAACTATTGATATTGGCTTTGCAAAAGTATCAAAAGTCTGCAGAGCATTCGTAGACTCTGCCGCGCAGGCAACCGACCCGTGTGGAGGCGGAGTGTCCAGATAGAGCTGTAAAAGTGCAGAATTCTAGGCTACCTGAGGGTCGAGGACACCCTAGGCCTGAGTAGCTAGTGAAAAGGGGTGGAGAACGCCAGCCGTATTGGTTTGTAGAGAGGCAGTTGCCATCTTGTTTGCTGTTGGAAGGATGTACGGCTTTGTTTGGCTAACAGCACTATTCGCCATAAAGTGTACTTTTCACGTTTCTTGATTATTTAGCCTTCCGGAGCTCATGTTCGCCCTGAAATACGTATATGCGTTTTCGGATATTGTCGCAATCGTGTTTTGTCGTGATTGTTAACTTGTTCTCCACGGCAAGATTTATCGCTCTGGCCCTATCCGAAATGCTGTTTGTATATTCATGAACGGGCCTTTTTTGAGTCAGCAAACTCGACAATGCTAAGTTTGTTCGCTGTAGGAGTTCACAGACATTGCTCTGTGAGGCGCTTGGGCACAGCTGAAGTGGTGTATGCTTCGATCCACATTTCACATTAGGCTTGTGTTGTGTTTCCTGGCAGCAGAATTTCACACATTTCAGTGCTCCGGCTACAGCGAGCCATCAGGCCGCCGCGGTTGTGTAGGTTTGGTCCCCCATTCGGTATTGACCAGTGTGTGTCTTTCTTTCCATCAACTTCCCCGTAGTGGTTCGACCTGTCTCGAATGCACTATTTTCACGTCTCTGCTTGCCTATACAGTGGCAATAGTGAGTGAATTATCTGGGTATCCTGCACTGTGTTGCCCTCGATGTACAGGTATGGCAAAGCTACTAAATACATTCTGCTGCACTAGTTGTATTGATGCAATGTTGTGGGCGTGCGGGCCATAATTGGCCATGTTCAACTAGCTGTGAATGTTTGAGGTCCTTAGAGGCTGATTACGCGCACTCTAATTGTCTTTCTTTTGGCAAGCTGGAAATTCTAAGAAGAGCGGGCACGGAAAGAGAGGTTTCTTTTATGAATCGCTTAACAATTTTAAATGAAATTCTTATTCTTATTGAAGCTGAAGGTGCCTCTTTAGAGCACTTTTGGTAAATTGTTGCACTATGCAATATAGTCTTCGAACGGACAAAGCAATAACTCGATTCCTTGCTTACTCGTAGCTAAATATCCAGAAAAAAGTCTTTAGGGGTATCTTGGCCCGCTCGAGCCTTTAAATCGGCATAATAGCAGGGGCATATGCTGCTTCCTGACACCCGCAGCATTCTGTCAACAGCAATATTCTGACCTAGGATTTAGGTTGGCAGCTAGGCCTATATCTATGGGGAGATCCCCTAACTTTTATAATTGCTATCCAACCAGAGCCACAGCTGCAGACTTGAGGAGCTGGATACTTTACACAGTATTTCCTATAGTTGTTGATTATTGACGCCTTCGCCTAATCTGGAGGAATTCCATCCGCATATGTCAGAGCCCTGACAAAAAAAGAAAATTATGCTTCGAGGTTCTGTGTGAGAAGCAAGCATTGTGCGTACTTGACAGTCGAGATAATGATGTATCAGGCGCCAGCATGTAACGGCGGGGTCTTCAGTCAGACAATCCTTTCAGCACTGTAGAGCATCATGAGTAGCTCGATAGAATGTGTCCGAAATCTTGCCTAAAACAGTAAGAAAATGTTAGCTTGCATTTGCTGCTAGGTCTGAAATAAACCCCTGGAGGTTGGTGTGTTCAGCAGTCACGTGTAATTGCTAGTGCTTCCGGCTAGTTTGCTCATGAAAATAGCACGCATATATGTCAGGTTGAACATAGTAAATGATAGATCTTCAGTAGGGTGCATTCATGTGGACTGGGATAAGCCAGGACACACGAAGGCGCATACTGCAGTAAGGCCAAACGGCCCACACCCAACGCAAGAAGCCCCACGGGCTGGCAGCCCCACGGCGTGAACGAAGGATTAATCGCCAAGCGAGCTTCGGGTTACAGCCTTTGAATTCGTCCTCTTTAATACTTCGGCTGTCTTCCTGAAAAAGCTGCTTTGCTCATCGTTGACTGCTCGCACTCGAGTCGTTACCGCTCGCACGTTGTCGGCCCAGGTGACTTTATTTTTCTCGTTTAGAGATCCCGTACAATGCAAAAAGAATGTGCTGCTTTTTATCTTGCTGTTCTAGTGGTGGTATTATCTTTGTTTGAATGGCTCTTAGATCTCTTGCCACCATTCTTTGACGTACGCAGTGAACGCCCCGCACGGTTGTTGGGCGCCACAGGGTTCTACCTCACATTGCTTACCACGGTTCACCCATTTCTCCTATTTTTATATTAGCATTTTTTGGTATGTCTGAGAATCATGGAAGGGTCATTCCATCACTCAACGCTTCGTGCTCGATCGATGCGCGGCCACCATTGTCGTTAACTTGCAACATTTGTCTTTACGGGGCTCCTCTAAACTTTTTGCCTCGCTGCTATTACTCTTCTTTTCCCCAATGCGTATTTATCACTTATTCTTGGAGTATGAAAGAGCCTGATCCACCCGTCCATTTTGCGGAGGGCGATTGAGCCGCACAGCCACGCACATGGCTGTCGGCATAGTGTGGTGTGCTGTTTGTTCTTGTCGCAGTCTTTGAACTTTCTTTTCGTTGAGTCTCGTGTATCCTGCCACTCTCGTGGGATAATTTTTAGTCTCGAGAGCAAAGATGGCGCAAACCGCTCTTGTTACCTCGAAGGGTCGCTTCCTCTTTACCTCAGAGAGCGTGAATGAGGGACACCCTGACAAGCTCTGCGACCAAGTCTCAGACGCTATTCTAGATGCGTGTCTGGCAGAAGACCCAAATAGCAAGGTAAAATCATTCTTTGCTTATCGAATGAATTGTTTTGACACCGTAAAACGATCGTTTCCAAGGTTACAAGAACGAGACCCCGTGCAGGAGTTACAGACGCTCTTCGAAGCATTTGATGAGTGCATGTTACCCAGTGCTAAGAACATGTCACATTCTTTTTCCTGGCTCGCCTGTTTTCGCAGGTGGCATGTGAGACGTGCACAAAGACCGGAATGGTCATGATATTTGGCGAAATTAGTACCAATGCCAACGTGGATTACGAGAAGATCATCCGGGAAACCTGCAGGGTACGATAAACACGGCAGAGTGGGATTCACCCTCGTGGGGAGTGTGCACCCAGCTGTCGGACTAGCAAGTAGGCGCTAGGGTATGGGACCTTCCGTTTGTTCATGATGTTCTTACCACGCTGGTAGCCCTATGTGACTGTTCGGGTATTGCAATTTGGTCTCAAAGGTTTCAGTGTGTCTTGCCGCAGGACATCGGGTATGACGATGAGTCAAAGGGCCTCGACTACAAGACAATGAAAGTCGTAGTGGCAATCGAGGATCAGAGCCCCGATATCGCCCAGGCCGTCCATCTTAACAAAAAAATTGAGGAAATCGGAGCAGGCGACCAAGTAACGTACCACCACCGTCCCTGAAACTCCATAGGCCTAGAGTTCCATAATGTTTTATCCCATGGAGGGGTATCGCTCGCATTGTCTGTCTGGATGCATGCGTACATGTTCTACACAGCTGTTTGCCGTGCAGAGTGTGCTGCGGTTGCGTCTTCCTGACTACTTAGGGTCACATGTTTGGTTACGCGTGCGATGAAACTCCAGAGTTGATGCCGCTTAGCCACTCGTTGGCAACTTCTCTGGGCAAGCGGCTGACAGATGTTCGGAAAACCGGAATACTGCCGTATATCCGCCCGGACGGAAAGACTCAGGTATCCGGTTCATGCATTTTATTTTTTTTCTCCACTTTCTGCTTGTGTGAGCCTGTCGCCTTGTAGGGCTGTGCATCCGGCGTTTTGGTTCCCAGGAACCTATCCTGGTATCGCAGGCCTCCGTGCGGGGCCGGGGGCCCTGCAGGCTAGCGGCGAGTGTTCAAGTGGGCTTTAGGGCTTGCATCAAGTATTATCTGTGTGGTTGCATATGCTAATATGTCGTTGTTTCGGTGCAGGTTACAGTTGAGTATGACAACACTATCGGCGAACCAGTGCCGGTTCGCGTGCACACAATCGTCATTTCGACGCAACACGCGCCCGAGGTTGATAACGAGCAGCTGAGGCGGGACATCATTGAACATGTTATCAAGCCGGTTGTTCCCGAACGATATCTCGACGCAAACACCATTTATCATTTGAACCCGTCTGGGCGATTTGTTATAGGAGGACCGCATGGGGATGCAGGGCTCACAGGCCGCAAGATCATCATCGACACATATGGTGGCTGGGGAGCACACGGGGGTGGAGCTTTCAGTGGCAAAGATTCTACAAAAGTTGATAGGAGTGCAGCCTATGCAGCGCGCTGGGCAGCGAAGTCTCTTGTTGCCAATGGCTTTTGCAAGCGGTGCCTTGTGCAGGTTAGTGCAACGAAAAAACCATGAAACCCTTTCACATTTCCGCGTGGGCCCAGCGTGGAAAACTTTTTGAGAGGGAAAGGGAGTGCAGATTATAGCACCCAGCAGAAGGATTCAGTGGGTTCCTGTCTTGTGGTGGACGGATACATATGTGTATATATATACCAGGATGCATGCATATAAGCACATGGGAGACAGATTTTTACTTATGCAAGTTATGCTTTTGTAAGGCGTGTTTTATACCTCTTGCTTGTTGGCTCTGCAGGTTTCATATTCAATTGGCGTGGCGGCCCCCCTGTCGCTCTTCGTTGACTCATACGGCACCTGTGCTAGTGGATACACGGACGATCAACTGCTCCGGATTATCGTGGAGAATTTCGATTTCAGACCAGGAGTCATCCAGAGGGACCTGCGCCTGAAGGTGCGCGGAAGGAAATTGGGGGGGAACGGTGGAGGGGCTAAGTGGGCCTTCCGTTTTCATGTAGCATAGCGTATGAAGTGTCTAGTGAACTGGCGGCTGGTGATTCTATGTTTTTGTATCACATGGGGCACTGCATGTTTGGAGATTGATTTTGAGTCGTGCAGTTGAGTCTACCTGTTCACATTCCTCGTGTTTGTTCCCTTGTACAGTTTGTCTAAGGATCAACCCGATGTGAACGAAGTCGATGCACTATTGTCGATATATGGAGTTCATTGTGGGTTTTGATGTGCTCAGGAACCCCTGTTTAAGGAACTTGCAGTGTACGGTCACTTTGGGCGTTGCCCGGAGAAGTATGCTTGGGAGAAGCCAATGGATCTTTCCCACTGCAAAAAGCCCGTCGCGTAGCTCGACGACGAGGGCGTTTACTCTGGGTGCAGCATCGATATTTCTGGGGATTTGCCCAATATAAGTTCCATTAGATGCATTTTTGCGTTAACAATATCTGCGGTATAGCATTAACAAGCATCACATGTAGCGAGAGAGCACAGTGTGGGCTGCATTGAGCGAGGGCTCCTGTGCAGCATATGCGTGTAAGCGTACAGGTTTCGGCCTTTAGAGGAAGCGGGGGAATTATTGAATCCGGAATTTCATTGGCAGGCGTCAGGCAGGGAATATCCTAGTTTGACTGCTTTAGCACCAGAGGTTGGCGCATGTTGTGTATCCACTGGGGCGCCGCTCTGCTCTTTCTTTACTGGTATCGGTGATAGTTAGGGAACCGAGATCTGTGATTCATACTGCAGCAGTTCGGCTTTACTCCTGGACTGCTGCATCCCTGTTGTTTCTTTTGCTATACGGAACCGGTAGCCGTAACCAAGTTGATCTGGCTGGGACACGGTAGCCCAAATTCCTGTTAGAGTCTGGGTGAGGAATCGTACTAACTGTGCAATGAGCATGCTAGATATGGGAGCACTGTGCTCCCCACTACACCTTCTAGAGTACCCAATAGACGTGCTTGCAAGAGCAGCAATTTGGGCAATGTTTGTCGAGCGAGCGGACGACGGCAACGCAGATGCAACATCTGTGCTCGGCTGTGGTTCTACGAATGGTCGCGTCTTAAACAGCAAACAAGCCTCCACGGGCACGCTTCAATTTGGCTATGTACGGGCGGGGGTGTTCATGGCTCTCATGACGGAACTGAGGTCGCGGTTGAAGTAGATCTAGCCATGGGCAGAGCGTAGTGCAGCTCGTGTTCTTTAGGACAGGCGGTTGTGAAAGTAAGTGTATACGTGGGGATTCATACATACACGTATGACTACGCACCGATACAGCTATGGAAGCACAGCAGCTACCTTTTTACTGCTGCCCTATAGTTTGCTGCCTCCGGTAGGCGCAGCTCAACCGAAATGCTCAGCACTTGCCCCACACAGTCTACACCGTATACAATGGACCAGAGCTGTCAGTTAGTGGCTTTACTCAACTGAAAATAAAATCTCGCGTTCAGTTCGTCTTCGGGGATCCCAGGGCTGGAGGGCTGTGTGCTCCTTTGTATGGAGCTTCGGTACAGGTTGGCTGGCGCTCTCGCAGCCACTTGGCTTTTCCTTATCCCCTGCAACAGCGTTGGAGAATCCCCTATTGATGCTACCTTCGGCAGCAATAACAGCAGCACCGCTACCGCATGCCGCGTTTGAGGAAGATTTTGCAGTCATGTTTTCTGCGTGCCCGGACGGTCGGTGCTCTATTTGCCCAGGAAGGAGAAGATCGACCAAGAAAGGCCCCGCCTGCGCCTCCTGTTTGAACACGAGGTCTCCGAGAGCCGCAGCAACTTCTAAATGGAAGCTGCTGCTCTCCGGCCTGGAAGGCGCAACTCGGTAGCCCTCCTGCACCAGCAGTATCAAGGCATCCGCATAAGCACACATTTGTCAAGCGCTGTCGGACAAAGTGCAATCACCGGGAGCCGCGAGTCCCTTAGCAAAAGTAAACTAGCAATGCGCCCTGCTCTGCCACTTGATCTCAATGGGCCTCTTCTCCATCATCCTTGGTGTCACGAAGGGCTGCCTTCCGTCCGAGTACTACGAAAAAATTACTTGCCACGATAAAGCGCATCTACCTATTGTCTGCGGCTACGGGAAAGTATTCTCCATATACGTTTCAGAAGCGTCAATGTGCAGGCTTCTGGCGCTTCTCGATATGCCTACCCACCCGGTGTTCTAGCTCGTACATTGCCTTGCAAAGTCGCAGGGGCAGGCCTGTGTGGCCGAGGACGCCCGAAGCATTTGCTGCAAGCATAAAGCGGTGTTTCCTGCAGACCAGATCATAGGAGCACAGGAAAGCTGTATGACCGGTCACCCTGTGAGCAGTAACGGCAGGGACTCTGTCTTTCCATCAAACCGAAAAAATCAATGTTTCTCTGAAGCATATTAGTTTGCCCAATTTGGTGAGCACACGAGAGCGCAATGCCCGAGCGAAGTTACCGACGTGACACTCTTTTGGAATTAAGATCAGCTACCCCTGGAATGGCCCTGCACTTTCCGAACTGGGCGGCAGCATATCTAGGGAGATGCAGCAGGGCTGTCCCGTACTTCATAATGTGCCAAGTGACGTATTTGTTCATTGTGCTTCTGCGGGAAACAAGGGCTTCTGTCCACGCCCGCAGCAAGTGCTGAATCAGTTGCGGTCTTTCCAGGAGCAGAAGAGAAGCAGGCAGGAGTGAAGCATGCAGCATCTGGCCTCGGTGCAACGCCCCACAGACTCGGCGCCACAGCCCCTCATAGGCGTTAGTCTTTAGATCGAGATCGCCTGCGAAAAAAGAAGCCACCATTTAACTCAGGGCACAGTCAACCCGCTCCCGCACAGTTGCAGCTGCTGGGCAAGCTATTACTTCCATCCGTATACGAAGCTGACGCACACAGGCAGCACGCAAGAAAACCATCCGTAAGATCACAAGGAGAGGCGGCACATGTGCGAGCTGTGAGTCACCTGCAGCTTCTAAGGCCTGCGCAGCCACCGTTGGCTTTAAAGAAGCAGCGAAGGACTCGAGATGTGCAAAAGCTGGTAGCAAGAAGCACAACTCCCGAGCCCTCACCTAAAGCGCCACAAGCAGACACCCCAGTCAGATGCAAGAAGTTTCAGAGCGACAAGCAAGCATCTGTCGATAATAAGATCGAAGGTTCTTCTTTGGTTACATTCGCTGGAGACTAAACGGGCTTGCTGCCTGTCTGATCAATAAGTAAGGGCCGCTGTCCTTTCACTTTTTCCGAATGTCTTCAGCCCTTAGAAGCACGCGGGTGCACACTGAGCAATCGCTTGTGCGCATCTACATCCCAGAGCCGCGCCTAGTTCCTCCCAAGAGGCAGCCACCCACGACAGGATGCACAAGTGCTAAACCAAGGGCTGCCCCACCTTTGCGCATGCGCGAAGAAGGGCGCCGAGGTCCGCAGGTGGAAGTTTGGTGATATCGGGGCGCAGAGCGTCTAGGAGAGTAGCATAGAAAGTGTGGTCCTGAAAACACATTCGTCACACAGTGTGTGTTGCGCAAAAATCGTTGGATGTTGGAAGGAGAGGTGCGTGAGAAGGCCGCAGACGCAGATGCTGCTGACGTCCGCGACTCAGTTTAAGGTAGCACGGAGCTTGCCGCGCGCCACCACACAGCAACCGCAGGCCCTGCACGCGAATGAAGTAATGCGAAGGGCTTAAATCTATCGCAGTACTCAGTGTCGAATTTAACGTGTTAACCTGGCAAGGAGGGAATTGACAGTGGTCCACGTTGCAGCACACCGCGAAGAACAGTAAAGAGGCGCCCCTCAAAACAAACTGCTGTAGGCATGCACACAGCTCACCTCTAATCCGACGTCCGCGAGAGCACACAGAACACGCGCAGCCAGAAGCGGCTCCATTGGAACGCGCAGGAGATGTCGCGCTGCCATAAAGAGCAGATACTCCTGCCATGCTGAAACAGAAGGGGAAGCATAAAAGGACCGCCCGACAGAAAGAGCTGCCGCGCGAAATATTTCAGACGCGAGTAGCCTGCGGCTGGATTTGGATTGGAGAGGTGGGTGACTACGTATCTGTCTCAACGGCCTTCTTCTACACGTGATGGCTTTGTCCGAACGGATAGAGGGTGGATATTCGTTCGGGGCCAATTCCTTGGCTTCTTTCATGCAAAGGACGCTTCCTCTGTGCATCGCCTATTCAACTTAGCGCGGCGCTCTGTTTAACGCATACCTGCCAGCGGACAACCTTGAGGGCCGGAGGCCGCAAAGATGAGATTTGCCGCTTCCGTGGCGTCGAGAGCCTCAATTCTTTCCCCTGCAGCATGCATGTGAAGCCACAACGCCGCGACGGCACGGTCGCTCGATTGAGCCAGAAGCACGTAGCCCGACAGCACGAAACGACACCAAGAAGCGGGGACGGCGCCCAGTTGCGTTCGGAAGGGGAGGGGAGAGATGGCTGTTTTCTATCCAAAGGTGTCTCCCGGCGAAGAGGAAGCAGGGCGCATGGCGAATACGTTTTAGATGAACCCTAACGACCAACAGACCCCCAGCCTTTTGAAACACCAGAACCAAAATAACGACAAACAAAAGACGCATACAACACAGAAACTGCTGAAGAAGCACCCCATGCGATCGATGTGGCTACGAGTGTTCTCAGCTTTCAGGATGAATTTCTGCGTATCCCGATAAATTGACGAGAAGTCTCTTTCCGCGCCCTTCCTCGCCCCGCCCTTTTCTTCACCGGCCCGCCCTTCAGGCGATCACCCGCCAAAAAGCTGTTCGGGCCTTAATGTAAGGCCACGTTTCTCTAGGCAAAGAAAGGCAGGCTGTGTAGGAAGCGGCGTGAGCTGACGTTATCTGGGTAGTGACTAAATGGTGAGTTTGCGAGAGTCAGTCTCCTCCTGTGTCGGGTTGCTTGCCTGGGACACCACGGGCGATCCTTTGCGTGCATCGGCAGTTCAGTGACTCACCTACACAATCCGCAACGGCAGCGAGGATTTCGGAGCTTGCTGCCCGTGTGGACGGGGGGCCTCGACGCACAAGCCAGCCCAGCAGCCCCAAGACGAAGGCTGCATCGTGCAGAGGGAGAAATGACGTAGCACGTCCCTCCCCCTCCCCTCCATCTTGGCCCTTCAGAGGTCTCAGGTGCCGGGCATCCGTGTCAACAGCATCCATGTTGCTTTCCTCCGGTGCAGAAGAGCCGCTGCTTTCGGCGGAGGTGCATTGAGGAGCATCAGCGAAGCGCGCGTCCAGAATGCGTTGCTGGGCTATAAATAGAGGCCTTGCAGCAGCCAAGAGCTGCAGGAGCAGCGGCTGCACCTTGTGCGGAGGCAGGACGCCCTGAAGCTTCGGGGAGCCCAAGTGAACCGCCAAACCGACTGCGTGAAGCAGCGATGCGGGTGGCAGCTGCTGCACGCGATCCGCGATGGAACGTATTGCTTGCTCCAGCAACCCGAGAAGGGCGTCTGCAATCTCAGGCAGCTTAAAAGCGGCATTGCCGCCTCCCAACCGACGGTCAGGAAGAGGAGTTCGAAGCCCCGGCACGGAAGATGCGGACCGTGCAGCGACAGAAGCAGCGAGCGCAACGTCGGCTGCCACTACTGTGTGCAGCCAAGTAATTGCCTCCTCGATGTGTAGCGCAGAGCTCTGCGCCTCCCGCTGTTTCAGCACCTGCGTGACAAATGACACGAGTTGGCTAAGGGGTCCTCTGCGCACCTGCAGATGCAGACGGGGAAAACCTTCTGGCGCGGCCACGTGCCGCAAAAGCAACAGAAAGACCTCCTTGCCTTCTTCAGCTGATGCAGCGTTCTCGTGCTCTGGTGCATCAAGCTGTGTGAACTCCCCAGGCTTATCTGGAAGAACCACAAGAGGCAGCAGAATCGGCGGCGCCCTGGCCGTCAATTTCGGCTGGGGGTACTGCGGCTGCTGCTGCAGCTGGGAGTTCTGCACTTTGCAGGGCCTATGAAAGGGCCTGTCCAGCAGAAGGAATTGCACCCGTCGTAAGGGTGCCCCCGCGGCTGCCGCAACAAGCTGTTCGAGCTGGCTGGAAGGCTGCTGCCGCCCTTCAGAAAGACCCCTCTCAGCCCCACGCAGGTCAGCGTTGTTGACAGGCATGCCCTCAGATGCATGGGTAGCTGATTTCGTATTAAGAGAAGCCACGGCAGCCAGAGCCTCCCTCAGTTGGAGGGAACTAGCAACCCAGACCCCCGGATCCTTCAGCAAATCGTGCTGCAAGGCAGACAGGAGTTCCTGTTCAGCGTCAGGTAGAGCCTCTGTCGTCAAGGAACGCCGCTCTATGCAGTTGGGAGGTGTCTGGGGTGCTGTTCTATGATTAGCCCCGGGGGATGGCGCAGCGTTTTTTCCCCCTCTATGCTCTCGTTCGAGCTGTGAAGGGACAATACAGGTGCTGGCATCGTAAGACCCGGATGTGAGAGAAGGTTTGATGAGACGGCGAGAGCGCACTGGTTGGCAGCCTCTCGAATGGAGGTGCGGGGAAGAGACGAATCGCGAGTTGCAGCAGTCATTGGTATGTGTTCTGCCCAGGGGCCTGCGGCCGCATGACGCGGCAGCTGGCAGAAGGCACCGGCAGCACTGCACGCCTCTGGAAGCCATCGGGGTGCGTCATGAAACAAGGCAGTGATGACAAAAAACCACCCACCCCATGAGGGCTGCAGCGGGAGGCTCCAGAAATCTGAAGGAGAGGAAGAGGCCACCCTTTTACTTATCTGTACAGGCCATCCAGCGAGGCGGCTTTGAAAAAGCAGATCCTAGAGCGGGAAGACTGCAGACGAGTTCACAGACTTCATCTAGAAAGACACTCCTCGTGAACTTTCGTGGTAAATCGACAACTGCTGCGTTGTGCTAGGGAGGGAGGGAGAGGGGACTCCACATTAGAAAACCCTACTTAGAGTTGCAGCTCCAAATTATATTTCTTGTTGTGTTTTATAAGAAAACCAGTTTAACTAAATCATGGGAAGCACTGATATGTTGCAGGGGGGAGTCTGGGAGGCCACCCAAGGGCCCTCGCTCGCGGTCAGTCGAAACAAGGAACAGCACATCTCAGGGAAGAAAAATACAGAATACACAAATCAAGCGTTGACTCTCGCTCCGATTTCCTGAACTGTGTTGATGGCTTCTCTGCATGGTATGCACTTAGCGTGGAAGCACCAATGGGCTCCTCAAAGTGGAACGCTCAATCGACACCGTAGATCGTATGCTCTACTGGTTGCGCAACAGTGAGAGGAACATTGCTTCACGATATATCTATTTTAACGAGAAAGACGCCGTTCCATGTGCCGATCAGGGGAGTCCTGAAGAGCTAATTGGAGTATCGAGCCTCGCTTCTCTACCATATTTCCCCTTGCTGTATGCACCTCAGTGTTGGTATTCTGCACATTCAGCTGGGGGCAGACGCACCCTGTGTAGCAAGAATTGTAACTCCGTAATTCGGGGTAGAAGAGAAGCCTCAACTCGCGGTTGGTGCCGCTTTCGGCTATCTCCTCCCCGGATAGCGTAGCGTTCGTGCCCTTAAGCCTCCATTACCCCGACCCTTCAAGCTCCGAATCCATTGCGAAATCCGACTAAAAAGTCCTCAAGTGCCCTTCCGCTATAGCTCTCTCCCCCGTACGCTCCCTCGCCCTCTCCCCTATAGTGTCTTGGCGCGTTCGGTGCACACAGAACGGCATTTTGGATGATTGAGCGTTGCTTCAAGCTCTACAGGTCATCTGAATATCCACTCGTACCCAGCTACACACTGGAACTTAAGTCGCACACGTAAGTACACGGTGTTGATTCTTAGCTTATTGAGGTAGCGTTACTTTGCAATCACTAGACCCCGCGAACAGCCAGACCCAAATCATTTCGAGTACTCTTCCACTTCTAGATTGAGTGTAACCGGTGTATTAAGACGTGCCCCGGTGTAACTTTTGGCTTGATACACAAAGAAAGGGTCTCATAGTATGCAGAGAAAGAAACGTATAGGTCGATAGCGGCCAGTGCCCGTACAGGCTCTCGCGCAAGCAAAACGCCTACCTGGGCGAACCGCCTTGATCGTGTAGCTAGCTGCATCGCTCATCGTAGGTGCCACGCTTGCGCGGAAGAAGGCGGGTAAAAAAGCGCTGCTGCCTCAGCAAAGTAAGCGAAACAGGACAAGTAGACTTGCGATCAAAGAGTTGCGGGGGCTACAACCCCAAGCATGAAGAGAAACAAGCAATGCAATTCCCACAAGGCTTCCCTCTCTTTATTTTGCACGGAGTATACTACCTAATGTATTGATATACATAGAGGCTCCTCCAGCAGAAGGGAGACGCTTCAGCACAAGCCCCATCAGTAAGTACTTTCTTCATCCTTCTTCGATTGCATCGTACAAATATCGCAGAATTGTTAATCCTGACCAACGAGATGCATAGCGTCCTGAAGCCTTGCAGAAAACCAGAACCCCGTCCATACAAGCTTTCCTGGAAGGCACTGCCCTTGCGATCCCTCCTGCAATACCTGCTGCTCCTCCTGCTACAGATCAAGCATTTCCTTTGTAAAGGTGGTGTTCGCAGAATTCGTCATATGCACTTTGTAAAGCAGCACGCGGCACATCTCTGAGGTGGCATGACACCTCAGCAACCATTTCTCCCCCTTCTTCAGCTGCAGCGGCTCCAGCCATCAGCTCAAACGCAAGCGACAGAAGACTTGAACACAGCAATCGCCGCTGCTCTACGCTGTCTGCAAAGCCACACAAAAGGTGCCCAGTTCCAGTCGCACACACACACACACACACACACACACACACACACATACATACATACATACATACATACATACGTACATACAGATGCACACAACAGTTGTGGCCAGTAGTGGCCAACAGAAACGTAGGATTGCCAGACCACAACGTAAACCTGGTCTCGTCACTACTCAGACATGCAACAGACGCCGGTTGCACCCAAGAGGGACCTATGACTTTACCTGTTCCAACGCAGGCCCGTTGGCTTGCTCCTCCTGCTGATGCTCCCACCGTGCCCTGGAGTTGCTGCTGCCGCACACTAAGCACTTCTGCTGCCAGAAATAGCAGCATCCTCCTACTGCTGCTGCCACGGTTGGCTGCTAACGCCCCGGTCCGATAAACAGCGTCCAGTGCGTCCTCCAGCATCCTGCGCAGTCTCACGCTCTCCCAAAAGGTGTGTGGGAAGGCAAGGTGGGACTGTAGGACAGTCTCTGCCTGGGCTGACTATGGCGCAACCTCGGCAACTTGACGGAGTGCGCTGTGAGGTGCTTGTTAAGGAGGCCCTCGAGATTGGGAAAGCACGCGTGTGTGTGTGTATGTACGTGCGTGTTTGTGTGTGTTTGTGTGTCTGGTCAGCTTACCGCCTGTGCCGTAGCCTAGGTAGCGTATGCAGCAGCCGCACGAGAATTAGCAAAAGCGCCTGTTGCTGCCGCTGCAGAGGGACAAACTCGTGAGACTTCCAGAGGACTCCCAAGAGGAAGCTGCAGCTCCTCAAGGCAGCGCGGCCTCTCAGATAGACAAGTGGGCCGTCATCCTCCTGCCGCTCGTGGGGTGCCCTTTGTTTGAAGTTTTCCCGCGTGCTGCGGGCAGCCCTCTGCGCTTCAGCTCCGCTGCTGCTGCATGCGACGACGTCAATGAGGCGCTGGGCAAAGCCACTCATAATATCGGCCCATCCTTCGAGCTGCGAAACTTCCACCCTGCTCTGTGGCGGACTTGGATTGGATCCGGCGCCCTGAGTAGCAACCGAAATCCGCCCTGAGCGGCGGTTACTGGCCGCTGTGAGGAGGCAGCAACAGCGGAAGGCTGCCCCCAAGAACTGGACGCTGCGGCAGCAGATCCACGCTTGCAGACACGACAAGCGTCGTTGGGACTGCTCCTCCTGTAGCTGCTCTGTTTGTGCCAAGTGAGGCTGCTCTGCCTGCTGCACGGGGGAAGAGCCGCGGCCGTTGAAGGGGCCTGTCGATGTTGCGGCGGCTGCAGTTCCATGCGAGCCTTGCAGCAGCAGCGCCAAAAGCAACTGGGCAGCAGACAGCCAGCTCTGCTGCAGCGAACTACCGCGACGTCCATCCTTCCTTAGGCACCTCGTCACCTCGCTGCGCTGTGAAACGAGAGCCCAGAGAGCCTGAGCGCATGCAGCTGCGGTGAGCATCGCGTTCTCCACGTGTTGTTGCAGTTGATGCTGTTGCTGCTGCTGCATTTGCTGCTTAAGGAATCCAAGTGCACTGCCGAGCGAGGTAGCGATCTCGGAGACTGCTCGGGTAAGTAATGGCGCGGGAAGGCCGGTGGCAAAGGCCGTCCAGCAGCTGCAGCGCAAACGCCTACAAAACGGCGGCAGAAGCCTCAACATCCCGCTTTCGCAGGCACAGCAGGAGCAGCAGAGACAGCGCCGTAACCGCCTTACAGCCGTACAGACACTACCAAGAACGCCTTTCAAAGGTTTTAGGCACGTCTGGCTACTAGGCCCAGGTTTACCTGTGGGTGGGAAAAAGGTAGGCGCACGGCGCAAAAAATGCCTGCTGTTGCTCCTGGTGTAGTACAGCAGACAGCAAATGCTGCAGAGCCTCCGAATCCATAGCCCACGAAGCTACGCCCCTTGGCTCCGCCATCTTTTTAGCCCCCCCGACAGCTGCGCCCTGCCAGTCCCGCGCCGCACAAGCCTCTAACGGCGCAGCACCTGCAACGGCGCTAGCAACGAAAAGCTGCAGCTCTCGCCGCGTAGCATGCAGCAGGAGCTCCGTGAGATTGGCTGTCATCGCCTTGCACAATGCCTCACCCTCGCTCAGCATTTGCCGTTGCTGCGCCTCTTCTTCTTGGCTTTCTCCCTGCACCTGCTGCTGCCGCACGCTCCATGCAAGATGCTTCATGGCGCCACTCCAGTGCGCACACAGCAGCTGCAGTAGCCGCATGCCGCTATTGCGGAGGCGCGTATGAGCGTTAGACGTGGCAGCAGCGGCAACCGTCGCAGACTCGCCTGCGTGGTCGTCGTCTGGCAACAAGAGGCGCTGCAGCCTTCTCAGCAGCCGCGACAACCGCTGCGGATGTTTTGCGCTACGCCCTGCCGCCTGCAGCACTGGAAGGGGCCTTGGTGTCCGCATGCACGAACGCAATACAACTGAGGCAGAGATCTGATCAAACACCCGGCGCTGCGTCTGAAGCTCCGTTCTTCGCAGCTGCTGTTGCACCTTTTCGTCCTCCTCTTCCAGTTCCGAGTCCTCTGGCGCACTAGCAGCTCTTCGCTGCAGCACCCACGCCCCCATGGACTGGTGCAACCCCACCAAATCTAAAGCTAACGCCGCCAGGTGCGTTGCCCACGGAAATTGGGCATCCACTGCTGCTGGGGACCCCATGATGCACAGGGCTGCCTCCTGCTCATCAACGGCAGCAGACAGTGCAGCGGCAACAACGACCATCAGCGCTCGGTGACATCCGGAAGGGAGAGACGTTGCTAGGCCTTGCAGCAGTGTTGCTTCGGGTTGCGCCTCTTGCGGGCTTCCGAGCTCCGGTTGCTCTGCCTTCTGCAAATCAAGGGTCTTTAGCCACGAAAAGCCCAGTGCATGCAGTGCCTTCAAACATGCCAACGGCACCAGCAGCTGCTGCTGCACCGCAAGGGTTTCGCCCTGGCTGCGTAGAGCCCAGATCAGCGACGGGACAGAGCTTTGCGCGATTCCAGTACAGCACGCCAACAAAACTGCTGCATCCCGACGTTCCACAGCCCCCTTGACGTCCCTGCGCACCTGCTTTCGTTGCTGCTCCTGCGCAGCTTCATCGTCTTCCGTAGGCAGCTGCAGCAGCATATCAGCCGCCGCAGCCACTGCGGCGGCAGCCCCCTTCCCACTCTCCACTGAACCGTCTGCAGCAGCTGCCCAGAGCACATCTGCAAGCGCCTCTGCAACAGCCTCCGCAGCTTCCGCTCCGTAGCCCTCGCTACCCTTCACAGCGGCAATAAGGCCGAGAGGCGCCAGTGCCTCTCGCAGCAAACGCGCCTTCGATATGCATGCAGCAGCCCACATTCCCGCGGCCGTTGAAGACGCACCGTTACAGCAAACATGTCCCAGTGCCTTGATGGCTGCAACTGCTGCATCCAACAGTAAACGGTGCTGCGATCTACCAGCACGGCCAGCGAGGTCCTGCAGCTCGTGCTGCCGTTGCAGCAAGCGTGTCATGGCCTGAAACGCTTCCCACAAGGCGATAGCCACATCTAAAGCGTCTTCGCGACTGCTGGAGGCGAAGACAGCAGAACAGAGCTTCTGGCAAAGTCCAGTGCCCAGTGCCCACACAGCAGCGGCGCCTGCGACCTTGCGAAATCGGCCCTCTGCGCCAGCAGGAATGGCAACAGCTGCTGTAGCTGTGGCTGCCGTAGCAGGAGGCGCGCTGGCGGCAGCACTTCCCCCGCAAGTCCGCTGCCTCTTCGTGGCGGAAGAGACTTCGTCAGAGAGGGCTGCTGCCGCTGCTGACCGCAGCAGCGAAGCCCAGCGCCGCAACAGAACTGAAACGGCTGCCTGCTGCTCGAGGAGCTCCGGTGACAGCGGCCAACACTCTATCACCTCTTTGGCCTTTGTCCTGGCTGCTGCAATGCCAGCTACCGCCGCTTCGCAGTCATCTGAAGCCTCGGCTGCAGCTGCCACGACACCTGCAGCTGCAGCTAGGGGCACGGGGTCCTGCAGAAGAAAGTGCTTGGATATCCCACGAAGAATGCATGCTGACACGCTCTCCCCGCAGGCTGCACACGGTTCTAGAGAGCCCTCTAAGGCAGATTCAGCGCGTGGAAGGGTGCTGAAAAGCAGCGGCAGGTGGGGCTGCAGCCAGTGGCCCTCAGCAGCACTGGCCGCTGCTGCTGTTGCGTTCACATCTCTGAAGCAACAGCAGACCCTGTGGAGCTGTAGCAGCAGCAGTCGCTGCGTGGAGCGGTCCCTCGGCTCTGCAACGCGTGCCTCATGCAGCAGCAGCAACAACAACACTGCGGCCTGGCAGCCTGCAACGTCCGTGCCCTTTCCCGCGACGTCGTCCTCATTGGGAGGCTGCTTGGTATCCTGCTGCTGGCTGTGGCCATGTAGAGGCTCCTGCTTACGCTGCTTCTGCCGCTTCCGCACGGGGGCTTCTGCCCCTTCCGCAGGCAGCCCTGAGCAACAGGTTCTCAGCTGGTCAACAAGCAGAAGGTACTCGAGACGCTGCAAAGCGTGTGTTTGTTGCAGCTGCAGCGCTTGCTCCTGCTGGTGAAGTCCGATTAGGATTTGGTGCTGTGTCAACGCATCTTCCGCAGGGTCATCGCTGGAAGGCCCACGCTCTTGTGCGCGCTGCTGTGCCTGCTGCTGCTGCAGCGCCTGTGTCGCCTCAGTCGCGTGGCGGATAGCATCTGCAAGTGCCAAGATGTTGCCAGCCACCAGGCGGGCAGCTGCAGCATCTGGTGGCTCCTTCGCTGCAGCAGCGGCCGGCGCAGCAGCGAAGGACCGAATATGACGCAGCAGCAGACAAATGGACAGTCTCAGACTCTGGCAGCCCTCTGCGAGGAGCTGCATTAATTGCCTCTCCTGATGCCCTGATTCTGCAAGAGCAGATTCCTGGAGAAGAGGCCTCAACTCAACAAGGGGGGAAATTGCGTCGGGCAAAGCTGCGAGGAGATGCGGCAACAAAAACTCCTGCTGCTGCGATGGCTGGCCTTGCAGACCTCTAAGGAAGGCCCCCATCATCAACTGGAGAGCTGCAGCATTGATCATCAGGGTTGCGAAGCCTTCGCCTCGGGGCGGCTCCCGCGTAAACGCCTGCAGCACCGCCCTCGTGGCATGCTGCAACAAATGCCGCATGTGCTGCAGCAGAAGCGGAACTTGGGAGGCGAGGGCCTGAGAGGCCGCACAAGCGAGGGCGTCCAAGAACTCGTCCCGCAAGGCGAAGCACATAGAGCCCCCTACAAAGCGCGCAGCAGCCATGGCAGCAGACTAGACGGTTACAGCACGGAATGACAAGATTCACATACGACGTGCTTACACGTCCTAGGGTTTAAAGTGTGCTGGCTGCGTAGGCTGCCAAGGAGTCACAGAAGTTCCGGAAGAATTAGCAGCAGAAGCACAGAGACACCGGCTTACGAGGTTGGGATGCCCCCGCGAAGGCTTTCAGCGTGCGCTTCATCTGGAGGACTAATAGGTTGCTGCTTGCAACGCTTTCAGCAATTTCTGAGCCGCTGCTGCTGCCATCGCCGCAACAGCCCATGGCCCCCCCTTCTATGTGTTTTCCCAAGGCTTCCAGCAGAGCAGGCGTATCGTTCATGCGGGCGTAAGTGCGCACCAGCAGCTGTAAAAACTCCGCACTGCACAGAGAGCACAGGCCGCAAGGAAAAAATATTCCCCTGTGGCCACGTGTGCCGACTGCGGCCCCTCAGGCTCCCGCAGCAAAACACCCACCTGACGTACCTGCCATCGCTCTTTCCACCGCTGCCAACTGCGGCATGGCATCGTCCTGTGGTCACCAGGCAGGCTGCGCGGTTCTCTCGCATAGGCCCACTGCGCGCAGCATGCAGCAACACGTGCTGCAGCTCTTGCAGCTGGAAAGTCGGCTGCAAGAGCTTCTCAAAGTCCTTCGGGAGCAGCAGCAGCAGCAGCGCCGTCCCACCCCATAATGTTCGGAGCAGCGCAGAGGCATTCGATCGTGTCTCCGGAGACACGTGCGTTTCTGAGCTGTACATACACTCCAGAACAGCCGCCGCGCCAGCGACCCCAGCAGCAGTGCCAGGAAGCTCCCCCACGTAGGAAGCCGACAGTTGCTGCAAGAGCTCCCGCACGGCGCGGAGGCAACGGCGGCAAAAGGCAGCTAGAGACCGCTGATGCCGCCGCTGCACCAAGAGACGAGGACTTAACACAGACGAACTGCACACGCTGCAAATCCACAAAACACGCGCGCAAAAGCACACCCTGCTGCACCCATCTCTCTAGACAGCGCATCCCAACAACTGGCGCAGCAGCCGCATGCGCGCGCTACAAACGCAGCTGAAGCGACATGCAGGTGGCAACACTTAATTGTCCAGGTACCTACACATCGTCCGTGGACTTACAGATGCCAAGCTTGCACAACACCACCCCAACGGATGCTCTCCGTGCACAACAGGTGCTGCTGGTTCTGTGATGACTCCTCCCGAGTCTGCGTTTTGCGAGCCGAAAGGCGGGATACAGCAAGAGGCAGCTCCAAGAGAGGCTCAAGAGACTGAAGCAACAACAAGAATCCATCAAGCGCGGCAACATGCTGCAACGCGGTTGCCTCTTCGGCGGCTGCTGCTGGCGATGGTGCCTGCATATCGATGCTAGCAGTCGAGCAGGTTATACCGTCCAGCAGAAGCCTCGCCATCTCGGGAAGCGACTCTAAGACACCTAACGCCGGTAGAACGGCTGCGATGTGCGCAGGAAGGGCCAAACGCCTTGCTTTCGCATCGGCCTCCTGAGGCGTTCCAAGAACCTCTTGCGACAAAGCGCGAAAGTGCTGCCGCTGCTGCCTCCCGATAGCCGCAAGTGCATCAAACAGAAGACGGTGCGCGGCAGTAGCGCCCTTCTGCTGCGGTTGCAACACGGAGACGGCCAGTTGCAGCTGCTCCTGGCTGTCTGTCGAGGACCCTCTCGTCTCTCGCTGCTCAAAAAGTGCCTGTTCTAGGCCCTCCGCAGCAGCACTCGCTCGGTCAAGCGCCTCCACGTGTTGCGGATGCTGCTGCTGTTGCTGCAGCTCAACTGCAAGCGCAGCAACCAGCGAAGGACGCCACACCACATCCCGCAGGAAGGCGAAGATCTCCCTTTGCAGCAGCGCAAGGCCGGCAGGCTTCTTGCTGCCGCTGCGGGAGCTGGCGTGGCGCTCGTGAAGCAGTCTACGAGGCGATGCAATGCCAACGAAGAGCCCACGCTGGATCAACCCCTCCAGCCCCAACACGCTGAATAGCAACTCGACAAGCGAAAGATGTGTGTCTGGCTCTGGCTGGACTGCTGGTTGTTGCTGCCCCTTAAGAGCCTGCTCGCTCCGCGACTTGGTGTTGCAGGGGGGTTGCTGAGCCTGCCGTCCTGGAGAGCAGAGCATCGCAATGACGTGGCGATGTGCATTTACTGGAACGGCAGCGAGCAGCCGCGAGAGCATTCTAAATGCTGCAGCGCAGAGAGCCTTCAGCAGCAAGAAGTGACAATCGTTGCTGCCATGGGCACCGCGATGCGAGCAGCAGCAAACCTCGCTGCTGCCGCCGCCTCCTGCTTCTTGTGCAGCGCGCAGCAATGTGGTGGCAACAGCTGCGGCTATCCTGCACGCGACCTCCATACTGGGGAGACTGAGAGCCCCCTTAAACTGCTCGGCAGCAGGCAGCAAACTCAACAGCTGCCGCAGGGAGCAACAAGCACAACGCATGCAGCACAGCGCGCTGGCGCACTCTCCGCAGGGCCCTTGAAGCCTTTCAGCCCTCCGCTGCTGGAGATCTGCCAGCATTCGGAGCACAACGTCCAAGACCACCCCCAGATCAGCACCGCTAAGAGAATGTGGAATGGTGGCGAGCAGTGCGGCCAGAAGCAAAGATTCCTGAGGCTGCACCGGACCCTTGTGCCTCCCCAAGTTTTTGAGTAGCTGCTGCAGCAGCCAGGAAGCTACCACAGTAGCCCTCGAGCGGCTCGCACAGCGCCCCCCAACTTGTACTGCCGCGACAGCCTTTGCGGTTGGAGGAGGCTGCTGCAGCCAAAAGCAGCCGCTGCAGGGACTGCTCCTGGAGGTACAGCAGAACGAGGAGACATCAGCGACATCAGGCAGTCTAGGCCCCTTTTCCTGCGCATTCTGAAGCTCTGACCGCAGCCGCCTGATGAAGCTTACGGCTTCCTCAACGGTTGACGAGGAGGCAGCCTTTGTGGCCACCCACTCCAGAGCCGCAGGCTTTCCATCAGTGCAATAAAGGCGTATGCCACCTTCCGCAAAGGCCTTGTGCGCCGAGGCCTTGTGGGGTGCAAAGTCGGCCTCGCTGCCACGAGGCTGAACTGCCCTCTGCTCCGAAGGCGGCATCTTGTTGCGAACTGCAATGTCGCGACACTGTGCTGCCATAAACGCCGCCCGCCCCTCGCTAAGGGCTGCTACTTCATAGTTACAAAGAAGGCCTTCTTAGGCCCTCCAAGTGCCTCTAGGCGAAAAAGCTTCTTAGAAGTATAAACACCGCAAACTCCAGCTTGCCGTGGTGCAAAAAAACAGTGCAGGCGGCTAGGGTCCCTGCGGGACCCTCTGGCCAGAAGTCTCAGGAAGAACTGAACAATCTAAGGGCGCGTTCGTGTGAGAAGGCGAAGAAACTGCAAAATAGGCGAAATTATAGAGAGAGATAATAGCGAGGGATTGAGGACGAAGGAGCAGCCAGCCAGCGCAGTGACTTGAACGAGGAGGCTCCAGATCGTGGGGTCGATTATGGCCTTTGCTGCGCTTGCGTCCTCTCTTCTTTGCAGCGGTGTCCGTCTGCTTTAATGCCTTTTTGCATACTTCTCATGACCGTTTAGCCAGGCTATTGGATACCACTTCATTGCGGGCCCCATCCTTGTTACAGCCTGCATACCCCTGGGGCAGCCTCTGCTGAGGAGACACTCTGCTTACGAGTTGCCCTTGCTTCCAGATCCCGGTGCCTCTTCGGCGCTAGCCACATATCACGCTAACCATTTTCGTCTCTCCGAAACCCCACAGAGTTCGGAAGCCGACGGAAATGGAAGAGTCCTGATGGACAGCATAGGTCCTGCGCGATCCATGCACTTCGGCCAAAATGCAGGCTCCGTTAAATGAGGTGTTTTCCCTCCTGCTTGAGTCCCCACCTCCGCTTTCATGCTGCTTGTTGCGCTCCTACAGCGTGAGGAATCTGGCCACCGCCGCACAGTGGTCCCACGTGATCTTTCGCCCTCCTGCATCAGGTCTTCAGACTGCTCGATAGCTCTACGTGTATACGTCAGGCCCAGCACACAAATAATACGAGGTGTTTCAGAGCAAGCTTCCTCCAATGTAGTGTCAGAATGACTGCTGTGGGGTCAACACAAACCAGGTTTTGTGACCGGCACATCACGGACACCCAACTAGCACAGAGAGTGCGTGAACACAGAAGGCTGTGGACCAATTTTGACTGCGCCTTTCGCGTGCCAGCTTAACATTTATATCACATTCTTGGCTCACACACTCAGTATTCTGCGGCACACGGGCTCTGTCGTGAGAGAGCTGGGAGGGTCACCCTTCATGCGAAACGACCAAGTCATCCTGTGTGCTTCGTTGTGCTCAACGAGTTCGGCCGTTTTGGAAGTTCCCAACCCTGACAAGGTAATCTATCTTCCCACTTTTTAGCGTCCATGTTTCATCACGATTTTGAATGCACACTTGTGTTAGCTGGCCGGGACTCTCGTAAGCGTCGAATCTTTCGATCATTGTTTTGGCAGCTCATATACAGCAGGCCTTCCCTGGCAGGCCGATTCGCCCTTTTGGCAGCATCACATGCTACGAGCCTGTGGTACCTCGGGTGGTGCATCGTGCGTTATGGGCTGGAGCTAGTTGGGCATCGAAAATTGCGCCTCCCTGACTAATGCGCATGACGGAACACTTCAACTATCTTTTGCGAGGAAAATCGCCTCCACAAAAAGAAATCACACATATGTACACCTCACGGTCCAAGCTATCAATAAACGCACCTCAAGGGCCGTTATGAAGAGTTCTGTTCTTTTATGCAATCGTCACCAATCAGGATTGACCTGAAAGTGCTCGCCCATGTCTGCATTTTAGCTGGTCCCACCTTTTCTCATGCTCCGACGTTGGGCACAACACAGGCAGCTCAACAATGCATCACAACTTAAGCTCGTTCTGTGCAGGACGGCCATCTCTGCACAATCAGCCCATAGAGGTCTATCGAGTGCGAAGTCAGAACTCTGCAGCACGTAAGTACGAGGATTAGTTGCTTATCAGACTACGAGGTTTTGTGGTATAAGGCACCCAGAAAATGTGGGGTAATAAGTTTGTTGGCAACGCAACACTGCCAAAGGACCGAAAGGGGCCGAGTCGACTTGATAAAAGAACAACAGCCCTAGGAACATCCTCACCGCCCACCGGGAGCACAGGGGGGAAGGGGCCAATACCAGAAATGCGCTTTTTAATCAAGGCGTGGCAATGTTTCCATTTAGCTGCATACAGTAGAAGCCCTTTTGGTTGCTTCTCTAGGAGTGTTGCGTTGCAAACAGACTTGGTACAAGACAAATGCCGCGTGCCCTATACCGCGAAACTCCTCGACAGTCGCGGCTGGATGTCGGAATGTAGGCTCCCTGGGAGCTCATTCAACCCTCATCAGATGATAGCTTTTTGTCCTCCGGCGGGCAGTACAGCCGCCAAACGGCACCATCGACAAACCTCCAGTCCCGCGCTAAGATGCACGGGCCGGAATTAGAAACAACAGCAAACGTCAGCAAGTTGTGTAAGCGAAATCTGAGTAGAAGTGCGCTTCGGACATCAGCACACAAGCACGTGTAGAGGGGGAGACCAATTGTCTTTGAGTACTGCTTCGGTTGTTCTCTATGCACAAATAGTTCCTAGGCGTCATACTGTTGCTTTTACGGGCATACCTATTACCTTAGAGGAACTCAGAGAGGCAAAGTTGTGACGATGCTCCACGAAAAGGCTAAGGAGAACTAAAGTACAGGAGAAGGCTTCGGACAGCGCCTTGAAAACAATTCGGCTGTGCGGAAGTCGAATGAATAGTTTGTGGGCTAGGGAAAGGTCTCCTGAAGGGGGAGCTGCAAAAAGCTTAACAACTGCAATGTCTGCCTGTACAGTGTGAGGACTGGCCATGGTACCGACGTAGGCTTCGGCACTCCGTAAGCCGTCACCCTTGTGGCAAATATGAAGTCTTTGCTGCAGAGGTTCCAATCTAGTTGCATCTCTCAAGTTCGCTAAAAGCGGGAGTTCCAACGATCAAGTTGCTTTGGTAGGCGGTTAACGGCTGCTCACGTACGTAAATCCACGTTCTTCGGTGGTCAAAAGAGAACAACAGGGGGGATGTGACTATTTGATTATGCCGCTGAGATTGCTCTTGCGCATTCCTTTCTAATGTTCATTAGACTCAGATTGGGGATGTCTCAGTCTCACTGGCTACACACAGGCATCTTGATATGAACCACCATCATGTTCCGAACATTCCCGCCTTAGTCATTCCATCAGTTGGAATATTAGACGGTGGGTGTGGAGAGACAAGCATTAGACAGTAGGCTGCAACTGTTGCTTTGCTCTTTCACGAACATGTACAAGGGAAACGCAGTGTTTCACCTAATGTTTCCGTTAGGAGGCACACAACTCCAGAATTTACTCAAGTTAATTGTAGATAGAGCTAGTGAGTCTGGATGGAGGGGAGTGGCTCTTCACGGATGCTTTATATGAAGTTTGACAGCTAGTAGCATCGCATGGTACTTGTGGTGGGTCAAGCTGCAGTCAGACAGTTTCAACTACGCTGCTTAACTGCAACTAGGAATATGCAAGGAACTGGCTTATTGATTCGTCCGTTCGTATATCTCCTTAATTTCGGAGACCAATTTGTTCGATAAACAAGATACAATGTCGTGGATGCATGTGTGCTAGATGCCTCGCTAGATTTCATGTGTAAAGTGCAGCGACTGCTCAGAATGCTTTGAGCGTGCAGCTCAGCACACACCGTTGGTGCCTCTCCACTCATGGCCGAAACTCGAAGGGATATCTGAGGAAGGACGGAGTTCTTAGGAAAGGCACGCAGCTTCCTAATAGGTATGATTAAGTCTGGAGCTACGTGGCAGCCTGCTGGCTAGCGCCTGCCACCCCAGCAGGCTTTGCGCCACGGCAACTTCCATTCTTTAGAGGAATTTTCCCTTGCCTGTTGACGACGAAAAACAACCTATTGACTTACCAAAAGGAATTTTCGAAACCAGACGGCAGTTTTAGAGAGGGCTGAAAATTTAGCAGCATGAAAAGCCAGTGGTTGAGCGGGAAAGAGCTGAATTGAACCGTTTGGTGGTATGTCGTAGTAAAGATCTCTTTAAGGCCAGCGTGGGGAGCCGCTTAACTCTTGACTCAATATCTTTAAATTGACTGTACAGTGAGTCACTAGTCAATTGCCTTCTTATGGACATATTAAAGAGAGCGGTTGTTACGGGCAACACACCATTGCACGAACAAAATACAACCGAAAAGTACCTCCAGCCTGCGCCCTGGATAATCTGATTCGTAAAGCATACAGAATGTGCACTCCTAAGGCTTCAGTGCTATTAATGGTGCACATAAAAGTACGCTCTTGGCCACTGAACCTACAAAACTGGGGGGTTTACAGCGCACCAACTTTTTTGCTGGAGGCATGGGCCGTCGCTGAAGGGCCGTGGTAGAGCTTCTCCATATAAATTTGAGAGGGGAAATTATTATTGCAAGTCTACATAATGCTTCTCTCTTAGTAAGCGGCTATCTTGGCTGATTGGGATCGAGAGCATGCAGCCCCAAAAAGTAGAGCCGATCCTGTCTTTCTGCCCTCTTAATTGGTTTTTCAAGGATTTAGGGCCAGGTATTGCACATTTGGGATGTATTGGGGAGGCTCCGAGGCACCGAGGGAAGAACAACCTGGGGTCTCTTCGCGCGCGCATTCCTCGGCACATCATCAACTCACGAGGCTTTCTTCCTCCTGCTGTGGGCTTCTCAGTCAACGGTTTGTAGGCCACTTGACTTGGCTTTGCGCTTTCTTTAGCGTGCCCCCTGCAATGCAGTTTCTGCTGCTTCTTCTTCCACAGGCTGCGCGAGAAGGTGCGTGACGTGTGGCCTCCTAGCCTCGTTTCAGTTCCGGCAGGAGCACCGAAGGCGTCCAGAAAACACCCTCGAACGCGTCTTTGGAGGCATCTGGCATGCGCGTCCCTTTGCACGCTGCTAGAGAGGGCGTTCGCTTCCGGCTGGCTGGCGTGTGAGGCCTCGTGTTGAGAGCGTCGTACATCGACCCCAAGTCTCGCCTGCACTCCAGAAGCCCCTCGTGGCTGCTCTGCATGCAGCACAGGGCAGGCACTCCGCAAGGCAGACACCGACGCACGGGCGCGCATCACAGTAAGACGACTGCCCCTGCAGAAAAGCAGAGGGAAAACCTGTGGAGGAGCAGACGCGCCGCTGTACGCGCGAAGGGAGGTTGCAACAGCCTGCGGGGTGAACAGGGCAGGATAAGCATACCGCATTAGGGCCTCTAGCACGTGTCTGGCTGCCGCGAGTTGCGTCTACCGCTTTTTTCTAAGGGTTACAGGACGTCTAGAGCACCATGGCGCAGAACGTGGAAATTGAATCTGCGGAGTAAGCAGGACGTTCTCGGCACGGCCCCTAAGGGAGCCTTGAGAGAGGGCTAAAGGCATTATGCCCCTGCCTTCCCACCGTCAGTGCTTTTTGCGGCGGCTGCAGGAGATTTCTTCCTCGCACTGCGCTCTCTGGAGGTCTCTGTGTGGGCCCCTATGTCGTGTGTGTCGAATTGCGTTCGCTCAGCGTCATTCGTCTAATCCTGCAGTTTCTGTCGGAAAGCAACCTGCCCAGAACTGTCCAGGTACGAAGGCTTAGAAATCCCAAGGGTCTGCTGGGGCGGGGGGGGTGAGAAACAACAGCAACTTGTGCCCCCCTTCCCCCCCACCTCCCCCCCTGTCTCTGATTTTCCCCAAGTTTTTGCCAGTTCGCCGTCTGTGGCCAGCCCGGCAAGGCGCTCAGTTCCGCCTGCTCCCGCAATGTGTATATTTCTCCTTTCGTGCCGCCTTTAAACTCCCGTTGAGTCTTCCTCTCGTGCTGCACGATCGCACCCTCAAGGCCTTAGGCAAGTAGCGGGGGCTGCTCTTTTCAGAAGGCGGCTACTCGCTGCAGACGCCCCCCTCTGCAGTGAGCCGCTCGCTTAGGGAGGGGGAAGGGGGGGAAGGAATCAGAAAAATCTCCCTCCCTCGTCCGATGCGCGTGCTGTCATCTCAGATGCTGCAAGAGGAAAGTGGCGTGTCTCTGAACGCAGTGGAAAACGTGGATAAATTTGTAGCGGACGTTCAACATGGCAAGTGGGATGAAGTCTTGAAGACGGCCGCAATGATGAGCCTCACAGAAGAGACGCAGCAAATGCTCTATGAACACGTGAGGCCCTCTTCCTTCTCCCCCTTTCCCTATATCTTCCGAATAGCAGATGAAAAGGCACAGGGATAGACAGGCCCCGCAGAGCGCAAAGCTCCGTCAGCGTCGGCTTCGCTAGGCGCAGAGAGGCCGCGGCTTGTGCATCTTGCTGCCTTGAATTGGGCTGGAGCTTCCAGAAGGGATCCTCCGAACTGCGGGGTTGGGGGGAGATACGGCCATGCAGGTGCAAGGAGTTGCACCGAGCGCGCGAATATGTGTGTATGTGTGTGTGTATATGTGTGTGTGTGTATGTATGTGTGTATGTATGTGTGTATGTGTATATATGTGTGTATATATATGTGTATGTACGTGTATATATATATATGTGTGTGTGTGTGTATGACTTCCTGCGTGCAGATCTTTTATGAGATGTTGGAGCTGCGAGAGACCGAACTGGCGCGCCTGCTGCTGCGAGAAACGGCAGTGCTGCAGCAAATGCGGCAGCAAGACCCCGAGCACTTTAAACGTCTAGACCAGCTAGCGACGCGGCCCTTCTTCGACGCGAAGGAGGTTTATCAGGGGACGCCTAAGGAGAAGAGGCGGTCGGCGATTGCACAGGGTATGGTTGGCGCTTGTCGCAAGAGGGAGGGGGGGCTGCCATGGCAGTACAGGGGAATTCCCTTTGGTGGGTAGCGCACATCGGGATAGATACGCGGCGCGACGATGTTGTAGCCTTAGCCTTTCCATAGGGGGGTATATGGTATGGCTTGCGTATTTAATCGAACGCCTTGGATGTTGCTTTTGGGCCGCTCGCGGAAGGGGAGAGGGCTGAGAAGGGTAAGAAGAGGGAGTGGCCTCCCTCCTCTACGCACCTGTAAGGGTGGGGAGTTTCGATCTGCAATGTTTTGCATGGATAAGGGTAGGGCTGAAAGAAAGGCAAGGGAAGAGGGATTGGTGTGGTTAGAACGCCGCTTGAGCGCCCCCGGGTGCTCATTCACGGAAGGCATCAACGCTCTGTTTTGCTGAGCTGTGTTTATCGATCGATCGACATGCAGCTCTGGCCGTAGAACTGGATTCCGTCCCAGCCTCCCGTCTTCTGACGCTGGTGGGTATGGCGCTGAATTACCAGAAGCAGAGGGGCATGCTACCCCCAACAGCGGAATTCAACTTGTTCGCAAATGCAACGAAGAGAGGCCGAGAGACCAGGGAACTCTATCCGCAAGATATCGCCAAGAGCATCCGAGTGCGCTCACCCGCCGCTATCTGCAAATGAGTCTGTATGTTGGCGTAGGTGCCTCGTTCGCTGCGGCCGCTCCTGAGGCGCGCGAACGAAGACGTGTCTTTTCCTTGTGCATGCGTGCCATCAGGCCCATGAGGCACCTGTGGATGCACTTGGCCTTGGGGCACGTTTCTTGTGCCGTTTGTGCGCAGTTCACCAACAAAAGCCACCCCGAGTGTGCCGCGTTCTCACCTGATGGCCGCTACCTGGCGAGCGGCTCGATCGACGGCTTCGTGGAAGTCTGGGACTGGCAGCTTGGCGGCCTTAACAAGGATCTTCAGTACCAGCGCGAGGTTGGACAGCGTTCAAAGCTCGTTTGAGCTTGGAGCATGGTTTGGGTGGGGTCCTGTTGACGGCTTGGAGAGTCGAGTGCGGATGGCGTGTTTGCTGGGGGTGTTGTGTGCATGCAGAACCACATGATGATGCACGAGACGGCTGTTGTTGCGATCGCCTTCAGCAGGGACAGCGAGGCGTTGGCTACTGGTCAGCTGGGGAGGACAGGACAGGGTTTGGAGAATGTAGAAAATCGGAAGGAGGCGAGGGCTTTTTCCGGGAGCAGCTGCTGACAGGGGTTCGTCTCCGAGATCGAGTTCAGGCAGTGCGCTAGTGCTTTTGTTGCGGGGTGGCTTCTGTCCTCCAGGGAGCCAGACAGGGCAGTTGAAGGTTTGGTTGGTGGCTACGGGACAGTGTATCAAGAAGATAGACAAGGCTCATGATGCGGGTGCGCGTGGATTGTCGATTCCCCGTCCTTTATCATGGTGATAGGCAACCGTGCTGAACGATTGGAGCAACGCGTCTCTGGAGTGCGACACCCTTGTCGAGAGCTTCCGGAGATCGCTTGTTTTTTGTATCGCGTCCTTGTTTTGCTTGCTTCACTTGAGCTGGCCGTCTGGTGCGTGGTTCCTCATTGCTGCACTGCCCTGCTTCTGTCCTTGCTTGCGCGCCTGTCGCAGCGATCGCTTCCATCTGCTTCAGCAAGGACAACACCCATCTGCTGACTGGGTCGTTTGACACTACTGCAAGGTGCGGCAATGGGTAGCTTGCTCTGTCGGCGCTGTTTCAAGCTGCATTTCCATCGACCCCATGCGCATCGTAGCTAGGAAAGTGTATGCGTTTTCAAGTTCGAGGTTAAGAAGAGGGGGGTTGGAGCTGAGAGGGAGTTTGTCGACCTGGAGTTTCGGAATGTGCATCTCAGGATTCATGGTTTGAAGGCAGGGAAAACGCTCAAGGAGTTTAGGGGGCACTTGACGTTTGTTAACTGCGCTATATACCTGCCAGACAACTCGCGCATCCTTACAGGTTGGCAATATAATCAAGACTTGGAGGCTCCACCGCTTCTTTCTTGTCTGTGTCTGGTGGGGTGCGAGTGTGGGGTCCAAAGTCTGGTCTTTCGGTGGTTGTACTTGTAATGTTTTTGTAGTAGCAGATTGCGTGACGCGCGCATACATTGTCGTTGGCGACTCTTTGTGCATATCAATGCATACATACATATATATATGTGGGTATCTGGGGAATAGAAAAGCGTGGGAATGTACGAAGTTTCGAGAAAGAGAGAGAGAGTGATGCATGCATCTATGTGTCTCTGGCGCTGCGCCTGTCTCTATTAGGGAGTGCGGATGGGAAGGTCAAGCTCTGGGATGCCAAGACTCAAGACTGTCTATCAACGTTTACGCCACCCATCCCTCCGCACATGCAGGCTGCTCAGTGCCTCCCCTCCGTAATGGCCGTCATCCTGGCCCCGAGGGTAAGCAATCTACATGCCTTAGTCGGTGATTCGCGCTTGGGGAGGTGGGGGGGAGGTTGACTGAAGGCATGGTTGACAGTAGTGCGCATCTCCACGGGCGGTGTGTTCGTGAGCATTCCGGCTTACGAAGTGTCTTCCCAGTTCTGTATGGTGGGCTTTCTGCTCAGAGTTTGGGGATGGATTTGATTTATGTATGCACGAAGAGCAACACGATCAGTCTGATGAACTACAGTGGCAAGGCCATCAAGACTTGGACCTCCGGGAAGAAGCACGGAGGGGACTTTGTGGCTGCATGCAGTAAGTCCATGCAGAGGTTCTGGGCTTGGGGCTTTCACTGGTATTCGCTGGACGGGGCAGAAAGGGCGCGCGCTCTGTGTGGCAGAACCGATCGTCACTGGCTCCTAAATGCCTCCCCCACCCTAGGGAGGGAACCATGTTTGAACCGGTCAAGCAAACGTATATATACACATATATATGTAAATACATCACTATGTATATAGTTATTTGGGGCATATCATGAATGACCCTCATTCGCCGTTCTGGAAGGAAGTGTGGTTTTTGCAGTTTCCCCTCGTGCTGAGTGGATCTTGTGTGCTGGGGAGGATCACTCGCTCTACTGCTTTGCAAATGCCACCGGCAAGCTGGAACACGTTATGAAGGTGAGGAACGTACGACCTCAACAGCGCGAGAAGGCCAGGGCGCCTATTGCGTCAATTCTTGCCGTGTTTGTGTGCGCTGATGCGTTTCTCCACCCCGTGCGTGCTTGCGAATGCTTCAATGTTTAGCTGTGTCTGCGTGCCTTTCCCTGTACCTCTGCCAGCAGAGAGTGCTCCATAGCCTCCCCTTACCCCTGTGCTGTAACCTGCGCAGATCCACGAACAAGACGTCATTGGACTCGCCCACCACCCGAGTAACAATGTGGTGGTCTCGTGGGGTTTTGATGGCTGCCTCAACGTTCTTAAACCCTGACGTGTAGAGCCCCTGGCCAGCGCGCCGAAAAAGCAGGGGCCACCCAGCGGCAGGCTCCGCGCGCCTGGGGAGTTCACGTACCGAGGTGTCATCGGAAAAACGTTGCTGTTTGGTTGCCTAGACGCACTAAAAGTCACTCCAGCGGGATGCCATTCCCAGGTGTACATACGTTGTGTGTGCCTGGTTTTCTGCCCCGCTCTGCTCTTTTAGGAGCGGAGAGGATGCGAGCCGTTTGGACTGCCTAAATATTTTGAAAATTGAACTGCGTCTTCCAGGTGTCTTGACGCGTTTGTGTAAAATGCGCCAGAACGGCGGCACGCTCTAAGTTCGGCTGCAAGCGTCGATGTAGATGTCTGTATGTATCCACGCATATGTCACGTTGCATGTGTGGGTGTGAGTGTGTGTGCGCGTGTCTATGTGTGTTTGTCTGTCTGGTTTCTGGTTGCGGGAAGACTGCAAGTAGGGCGACAATCACTCTCACCGACTCGTGTATACCGCGGTGTGCCCGTTAAACTCAGACCGGGTATATACCAGTTGATGTGCCGCTATTCGAATTGGTTTTGCCAAAAAGGCGGTTCCTGCAACAAGCGGCGTCTGCAAGAGCGCTTCAGTTGACTGCATTCGCGCGCATAGGTGGGCATACAACGTTTTGGCCAAGGTAGCGATGCCACAGCGCCTACATGAAACCTTCTAGCGAGAAGGCTAATGAGAATGATTCAAAAGGTTGTGCATGAACAAGAAAACAAAAAAATAACGCACTGAAGACGGGGCCCCGCCTCCTCGGCAAGGAGGAGTATGCAATCGGTTGTCCACTCGCGCGCTCGCGGAGGCAGGCGCATGCTGCTTTCTGCGTGGCTCTCCCTCTGGATCGTATAATGTGAGGAGAATGTGCAATGCGATGGGCCCTTCATGCACGGCGTGTGCTCGAACCGCTCAAGTTTCAGAGGCTCACCCCCGAGTACGACCCCCCACTGCCAGTCACCACCCCAACCCGCCGGGCTGGTGCTGCTGCATGCGCGAGGCTTCCACTCGGGGTGCTCTCCACAGAATTCTCCCGCCGAAGGATGGATATTTGTGGGCTTTGTTTGGGGCTAAAGCGTTCCAGCCAGGTGCTCGTACAGCTAGAAGGCGGGTGTGTTTCTCAGCTTACAGATTCTTCGGCCAAATCGACCCGACCACCACCGCAGGGGCCGCGGAGTAGGGGGGAACAGGTGCACAACTGCCGCTGGCTACTGACATTTAGGCCGTTTTTCTGCCCATGAGACCGACCTCCAGCTAAATCCAGCAGGCGCAGACACAACACCGCCTCCTGTTGCCTCCCCTCTGTGCGCGTCCTCGGGAGAGCGGCGCCAGGCGCTTTCCTCGCTCGTCCTCCTAGCCTCCGACCGGTGCATGCAGACAACCGCCTCACTGCTGCATAACAATATGGAGCCGAAGCGAGAACTCGTTGAAGACGGGAAGGAGGCACCCGCCGCGCTTCCGCCGGAGGCCTCTCCCCAGACAGCCACTCCAGCTCCTGCGTCCGACGCTCTCCCAAGAGCAGATGATGCAGACATCGGCTCACGCCTGATGGAGACTCCCCCCACCAGCAATCAGCCGAATCCAGCGGGAGCAACGGCAAACTCGACGCCTTCCTCCGCGACTGAAGGCCAAGGAGGAGGCCCCTCCGCGACACCAGAGCTGGTGAAGACGGAGAATTCCATGCAGGAGGACGAAAAAAAGCCCTCTGTCTCATCAGCGCCGCCTACGGAGGCCACAATTCTGCCGGCGCCATCAGCCGCTGCAGCTGTCAAACGCGACGCGCAGTCTGCGGGCCAGATGACAACCCCACCAGAAGCATCGACTCGGTTCCCCGCAGCTGCACCTGCGCCCCTATCAGCCTCCGCGGCAGCACATCTGGTCGCCTTGGATTCTGGAGAAGTCGAAGTCAAACTTAGGCGCTTGTTCGATTGCTGGGGGGATATGGGATTGAATCCGGCAGGGACCAACTGGTCGGCCGTTGACGCCCTCTGCGTTTTTGTTGGTCGGGCAGCGGAAGAAGACGACAGCACTGCAGAGCGCATTCAGTGAGTTTGCAGCTTTCTTGACTATGTATGTAAGTTTGCCTACGCGTGTGTGTTTGTGTGTGTGTGTTTGTTTGTTTGTTTGCATACGTGTGTGTTTGTGTTTGTTTGTTTGCATACGTGTGTGTGTGTGTGTGTGTTTGTTTGCATACGTGTGTGTGTGTTTGTTTGTTTGTGTGTCTGTGTCTTTTTCTGTGTTTGTGTTTTTTGTTTTGTGTGTATGGCCCTAGCGCGGCTGTGCGAGGCGTTTGCAGAAACGTTCTCGCGGCACTGGAGCCGGGAGCAGGTGCCACAGCGAAATCGTCCTATTGGCGCTGGCGGTTACCTTTTTTGTTCCGAGATGTGGCTTGGGATGTGTGCCTGCAGGTCTTGGCTAACAGGATTTCAATTCCTTGAGACTCTCTTTATATTCTTGCGCGGCAACAAGACGTGGGTGGTTCTCACATCGGCGAAGAAGGCGGAGCACCTGAGACAGCTCGAGGCAATTGAGGGGCTTCGCCTCTTTGTCAAGGACGCGAATGGCGACAACAAGGGAAACCTCCGTTTGATCGCGGATGCCATGAAGGAGGCATCTGGAAAAACTAGCGAAGTAGGTGCCTTGTGGATCGTCGGTGTGTCCTCAAGAGGCGGCTTTTGGGGGGGCACTGCCTATTGGGCTACGACGCATCGTGGAGTTTTCTCTGATTCTAAGTGCTAACGGGAAGCGCGTCGACGGCATGCGCAGCTTACCGCCTGTAAGACAGGCAGGGGCCGGTGTGGGTTCGAAAGGATCGTTTTCAAAATTGAAAGCGTTGCTTTTCTGTCCTGCCTCCGTCCACCCCCCTTGCCCATCTAAATTTGCGTGCAGGACGAGGTGTGTGTTGCGCCCTTTCTGGGGGGTTCTGTTGCCGAAACACCGGGGACGATGGCGTCGGAGGTTCTTCCCTGGCTGAAAAGCTTTGGGAAGAAAGAGGAGAATATCGAGGTTCCACTCTCCCCCCTCATGGCCATATTGACACCCTCCGAAGTGGTAAGGCGTTGGAAGCGTGTGGGTGTGCGGACAGCAACGGAGGGCACCTTTGCGTGCACATCGTTGGCTGCTGAATAGGCGTGTGACGTAAGAAGACGTGCGCCTCAAAATGCGGCTTCTGTAAATACGCTAATCCTCGCGTATGAAAGCGCCGCTACTGCTCAGCATGGCTCGAAAGACGCCGAAAAAGAAATCCACGGGCCACATGAGGAACCTCCCTGCGCCAGCTGGGGGGATTGGCCCTTCCTTTTGCATGCCGTCTGCCCTTTTTTGCTGGAAAATTTTTTCTGTCTGCCTCGGCGAGGGGGGGAGGGAGGAAGGGAGGGAGGTGCATGTTGTGTGCGAACGACGAACGCGCCTGTGGTTCGCCCAGTCTGCAGAAAAAAGATTCACGGCGTTCAATGCATGCATGCCGGCCGTGCTGCTCAGGCTCTTGTTTCTGACGCAAGCCGCGTCTCCGTGGCAATGGTCAAGTATCAGCTGGTCTCGCGAATCGAATTTGTTTTGGATAATGGACAGAAGGAGTCGCACAAAAGCATTTGCAGCCGAGCGGAGATGCTATTGAAGGACCAGAAGCAGCTGCAGAAACTGAAGGACAAGTGCAACGTAGGCTTTCTTCTGGCGCTCTCGCTAGCCAGTCTTTGGGAGGCTTCGCTGCGAAACAGGAGCACTGCTTAGGCGGCTTCCTCTCTGAGACACATTAAAAGGCCGCTAGCAATGCCGAGAAGAGCAGCGGGAGCTGGGGATGTCTTTGGGAACGCTCAGCAAAGCAGCTCGCCTCTTATCGAGCCAACAGAACAGCAAAGATGTGTAGGGGCAGGGAGAGGGCTGGCTATTCTAACCTACCCTCTAGGTTTTTCCTTTATTGCATCTGGGCAGTGCCAGTGCATGCGTAGAAATTGTATATATTATATGTAACACATATATATTATGTGTATTATGTATGTATGCGGTTATGTCTAGGCCTCTAGGCGACTCCAGCTGCGCTGTTGGGCTCGTTGTTTGTTTAGCATAACGTATACCACGCGAGGTGTGCCACGGCTGCTGTGTGCGCTGCTACAGCTCGACCCGAACGAGGTGGAAGTGCTTTTCAAAAACGTGCAGAGCGGCAGTCACTTCGATCTTAGAGCCTCCGCGCAGCCTTCTGGGGAGGCGCTTTCACAGACCGAAGGAACTATTGTTGTTTCTTTGGGCTGCAAATACAACGACTTTTGCGCTGCTCTCTGCCGCACGTTTATCCTCAACGGGCGAAAGGTAAGCAAGCGCAGCGTAGTGGTGTTGCTCAAGGCTGCGATGCATGCCAAGCGACAAAAGTCATTCCGCAGGGCAGTGCTCCGAATAGAACGGCTGCGGAAACGGCCCGTGGCTTTCGCAAGGGGCCTCTGCACTCGACGCATGCACGAAGTGTTGAGGAAGCAGGCTCGAGCTAGCTAGCCATCCGACCGCACGCTGCCCCCGTATAATTTGCTGTTGGGTGTGTATGCATATGCATGTATGTGTATGCATGTGTATGTATGTGTATGCATGTGTATGTATATACGTGTATGCATATGTATGTATGTACGTGTATGCATATGGATGTATATACGTGTATGCATATGTATGTATATACGTGTATGCATATGTATGTATGTATGTGTATGCATGTGTATGTATGTGTATGCATATGTATGTATGTATGTGTATGCATATGTATGTATGTGTATGCATTTGCATGTATTTATATGCACATGTATGTATTTATATGTGTATCTATGTATTTATATGCGCATGTATGTGTATGTGTCTGCATATTTGTGTATGTGCATGCGCGCCCTCAGGAGCAGAAAGAGACGTATGCGGTGGCCCTTGAGCTGCAGCAGCACATCATCGCCAGTCTTAAGCCAGGCATCACATTCGCTTCTGTTTATGAAAAGGCCATTCAATTTCTCAACGCCAAGAAACCCGCACTGACGAAGCACTTAGTGAAAAGTGTTGGGCATGCAATTGGCGCGCAGTACCGAGATGCGAAGCTTGTTTTCAACCATAAGAACGAAAAGTATGAGACCTTGTTTTGAGGCTGCGGCACTGGCCGTGAAAGAAGACTTTCAACGCCTTTCAATGTTTCGAGATTCCTTCAGCGACTGGGCATCTCTTTGTGCAGCTTTTTACCAGGCCCTACACGCTTACTCTTTGAGGCCTCTTTGCTGCTGTGTCTCGCTTCCTGTCGCTTTCTGCCTCCGCAGGGTCTTTGTCGAGTCAAATATGGCGTTCCTCGTGAGCGTGGGCTTTAGCGACATGCAAACCGCTGGTGGCAAGGCGTATGCAGTTTGGATTGCAGACACCGTACTCCTCAAGCAAGACGGCACGACACAAGGCAAGTGGATGCACATGCACAAATATATAGAGGCGGCAGCGCGGAAACGCAGACAGAGTCGGCGTGCACCTTCGGATCAGACTGTTTCTCTGCATGCTTTCTGCTTAGCCGCTGCAACTGCACCGACGGAGCATTGCGGGTAGCAGCAGCAGCAGCAGCGGCAGCGGTAGCCAGCCGGAAGTCATGGTTCGGGAGCCAACTCTTGAGGGTTGTGTTGAGGCGCACACTGCAGCTTTCTGCCTCGCGAGGTCCTTCTGCATGGATGTGTGTAGATTTGAACGTGTGCTCCGCTGGCGCACTGGCCGGCCAGAAAGTTATTTTATTTTTGCATATCCATGGATTTTTGTTTGTATGTATACATTTATGGTCTTGATGTTTATATTTGTTACCATATCGATATACAAATATGTATGTATATATGTATAGACACAGGATGTCGGGGAGCGTTAGTGTTGTACGTGTGCGTTCATGTTCGCTTGATGTGTTGCGTGCGCAGTGTTGACGGAGGGGTTGTCCTCTCAGCTGGCGTACGTGAATTATGAGTTGGATGATGGCGAGGAGGAGCCAAAGGCAGCGGCTTCGCCTGCGAAAGGGAAGGGCAGCAAGGAAGAGAAGCGGGGTAAGAAGGGGGCAGACGAGAATGCGGATGGCAATGCAGGAGAAAAGAAGAAGGGGAAGGAGAAGGCGCGTGACAAGAAGGAGAAGGATGGGGAGAAGTCAGACAAACAATCGACGGGAACCATTAGCGCCAGTGTCTTGCGGAACGCTGAAAGCCTCATTCTTCGGGACCGACTGCGGCGTCGAGACAACTCAACGGCTGCCCAAATGGACGCTGCGGAGGAGCGCGATAAGCGGCAGAGGGAGCTGAGAAAAAAGAAACTCGCTGTGCTTCAACAGGTAAACCTTTCGCTGTGAGTGGGGGGGCCTATTGGGGGGTCGGGCGGTTGGGGGGAGACGCCCCACAGTTGTTGAAGTGTACGGACAGCCGCAGAACGCTGAGATGCTGCGGTGAACACGCATGGGGTAGGCCTTTGCCTTTAATTTCCTGCATGCGCGTTCTCGACTATGACGTTTGCTGTGAAGCGGTCTCCGTCGAGGGTGCACGCAGTCCTCTTAGGAAGTCTCGTGTATGCAGACCTCTTAGGAAGTCTCATGTATGCAGACCTCTTAGGAAGTCTCATGTATGCAGACCTCTTAGGAAGTCTCATGCGATACAGTCCTCTTAGGAAGTTTCATGTATGCAGACCTCTTAGGAAGTCTCATGTATGCAGACCTCTTAGGAAGTCTCATGTATGCAGACCTCTCAGGAAGTCTCATGTGATACAGTCCTCTTAGGAAGTCTCATGTGATGCAGTCCTCTTAGAAAGTCTCATGTATGCAGACCTCTCAGGAAGTCTCATGTGATACAGTCCTCTTAGGAAGTCTCATGTGATGCAGTCCTCTTAGAAAGTCTCATGTATGCAGACCTCTCAGGAAGTCTCATGTGATGCAGTCCTCTTAGGAAGTCTCATGTATGCAGTCCTCTTAGGAAGTCTCATGTATGCAGACCTCTTAGGGAGTCTCATGTGATACAGCGTGTGTGCAAAAAGCGGGAAGGCTGGTAGGCGTGCGACTGCGCGTCTGCAGCGAGGAGTGACTTCGCATGGGCCTCTCCCCAGCACTACTACGTCTTACATGCTGGCTGTGGTAGCCGTCTGTAGACTCTCCAGGCTGAGGTTGGGCCTGGCGGAGAGTGAGATCTTAAGAGGCTTTTGGATCGCCAGCTTCTTCTTCCGGTGTGTGTGTGTGTGTTTGTGGTTTGGCAGCGCTTTGCCCGCGAGGACGCAGATGACGCAGGAGATGAGAAGCAACAGCGGCGGCAAAAAAAGATGCATGACTTGCGGGCGTTCAGCTCCCCCGACGAGTTTCCCCGAGATCTGCGGCCTAACAAGGTGCGCAGTTTCCTCTTAGGCGCATGCTTCAGGCAGGCTCCCTTGCCGCTGATTTTTTTTTTCTTTTTGCAATCCTCTCTTTTTTGGCACCGTTGGGTGTGGTGTGTCTGTGTGTCTGTGTGTGTGTGTGTGCGTTTGTGTGTCTGTGTGTGGGTGTGTGATGTCGCCGCCGTTTGGTCGTCGTGGTGGGGCCATGCAGTGGTGCGTGCGTTTGTTTTCGCACGGACGCTGTGCTGCTCAGCGCATTGATACGTCTTCTTGAGAGAAAGACGCCCGCTGTATTCCTAACGGCCTCTACATTTCGGCCTGATTTGGTTGTTTTATGCCGTGGTAGCGGCCGCCCGCTCGGGCGGATTCTCCTACGCGGTGTATAGTGTGTGTGTGTCACACGCCTCCTCCTGTGTGCTGCTGCTGCGCATGTGTCTTCCAGCTGTACGTGGATATGAAAAGCGAATGCCTCTTTGTTCCAGTTCCTGGACACCACATTCCCTTCCACCTCTCCACGGTGAAGAATGTTACTTGCAGCGAGTCTGAGTCGAACTTGAACGCTGCGAGGGTTGCGGCGGGGGGGCGGCCTCTCCGATTCTCTATTTTGCGCATCAACTTTCAAGTACCTGGCTCACAGACGCTTACCCAAAAAGGCGAAGAAAACCCCCTTCCCGATATTGCAGGTAAAAACCAGCTCTTCGTCAAGGAGCTCATGTTCAAGAGTGAAGACAGCCGACACCTCCAAAGTGCGTCCTGGCCCTCCATCTTTGCTTCGCATTTTGCCCTCATACTGCGTGGAGAACGCGCGACACACACGTCTCTTTCGAGCGAACTATGGCGGGGGAAAGTGCAAGCCGTGTCGAAACTGGAATGCGCGCGTGCTGGATCGCCTAAAATAGTTGTTCTGCACACACATACACACACCTACAAAGAAGTTGTCGCCGTCCACTACACCCTCAGAACCCCCGTGAAGGATCTTTCTGGCAGAGTCTTCGAGGATTGGCGTCATGGCATCGGCAGAAAGCCAGGCATCGTATAATCGAATACTCGCATGACGGGGTCGACACACGTGGATCCTGTCTTTCTTCTCTCTTGGCGGTGTTAGTTCAGGGTCATGTGAATCCGACCGTTGTGTTCTGCGCTTCTTTCGCGCTAACGCTTCCTGCCTGCGTGTCTTCTTGCCTTTGCCGATATGTCGCCCCCCATATATCGCTGAGCTGTGGAGTGCCGCCCAACCTGCGCAGCCATCTACCGCACGATCAAGGAGCAGTTGAAGCGCGTCAAGCAGAAGGCCGCCGAGGATCTGCAGTATCCAGGAGAGTTGGCAGCGCAAGAAAAGCTCATTCCGAATCGTTCGGGAAGGAGAATTCTGCTCAAGGATCTGATGATTCGTCCCAATATTTCCGCCGGCATGCGCAAACTTATTGGCGCCTTAGAGGCACACACCAATGGCTTACGGTGAGCGCGTGGGGGGCGTATTGAGAGGCGTGGCTTTAGCCGGGTTCTGCGTAAATGCTGCTGCGTTTGCCATACTCGTCATGATACGCCTTGCCTAAAGGGCCGTTCCTCGCATGCGTACGAGGAACGTGACGGGTTCTTTCTCGCCAGATTCATCGTTTAAAGTCGCTGCCAGCGCCTCACCTCGCGTACCGCTGCTGTGCTTGCCACAGGACGATGCGTTCGACGCAGCATGCCTTTTGTTTTACTGTCCTATGGCATCTTAACCAGCCGATCCCTAGGCGGATTCTTTTGTGGTATGCGCGCTCTGCTGCAGCTTCACGGTGAACACAAGAGGACAGATGGACGTCGTAGATATTACCTACACGAACATCAAGCATGCTATTCTGCAACCCTGCGAAAGGGAGCTTATCGTCCTCGTACATTTCCATCTCAAAGTCAGACTCTTCTTTTTCAAATTTCCTTGGCAACACGGCCATTGGCGTTTCCCCCTTGAGCAGGGGTGTTCCCCGATCCTCCTGCATGTTTCTGTCTTGCTTTCTCTGTATGTCCGTCTCAGCTCCTCTGGCGCTGCGTTTCACCGTACAGTTTCAACGCCCCATAGAATTACATATACATATATCTTGATGTGTCTATACGCTTTCATCATTGAATACAAATATGGGGCTTGTATTTGTATTATGTACACTCTGTCTGTATGTGTATAACAACGCGTAAAGATACATCTCTACTCTTCTGGCTGACCTTTTGCTGTGTGCCTTTTCCTCATTTTTCATTATATGTGAATATGGAACTTTGGCGCGCCTACTCTTTCAGCTGGTTAAGACGAAACGGCTGCTTTTGACACTTACGCATCGCAGCGTCGTGTTTATGTGGTCTGTGTTGTGTGTATATATGTTGTATCTATGTTGTGTTGTGTGTATGTATGTTGTGTTGTGTTTGCGGGGAATTGTTGCCTTTTCTATGGTTAGGCTCCTATCTTGGTTGGAAAAAAACGCACTCAGGATGTGCAATTCTACACCGAGGCAGGCACACAGATCGATGATCTTGACAACAGACGCAAGTGCGTAGAACCTGCGTGAATTATAGAGGGGCCGCCGTGCGTGATGGGTTTGTTGCTGTAATGCTGCTCTACTTAAATAGGAGTATTTTAACCCACGTGCATAAGTGTATATTCCAGAAATCTCTGTTGGCGCCTTTGCGCAGCATTTGTGTTCTGCTGCCTGCCTCTACGCCCATGCTACTGCCTACAAAAATAGCGCTGCAGGGCTTTGACGTCTGCTTTGCTCGTAACGCTTCGCCATGTGTGACTGCGCACATGTATTGACATGCGTATTTTTAGTGCGTATCTCCATCTCTTCCCGTCTATATATATATATCTATATATCTCTCTCCCGACTATAAATATATATATACATATGTAAATTTAGCCGTTTTAAGGACACTCATTGTACACTTTGGAAGCGCATCCCCTTGTGTGCGAGCGATTTGTTTTGCTTTCGCCTGTAGCCGCTCCTACCACGACCCGGACGAGACTCTGGACGAAATGCGAGAGCGCGAGATGAAGAAGAGGCTGAATAGCGAATTCAAAAGATTTGTGCAGCAGGTGGAGGAAGTTTCTAAGGTGGAATTCGATCTGCCGTACAGGTGAGAACGTCTGTCTGGTGTCTATGTACGTCTATGTGTCTGTTTGTGTGTGTATACATATGAGTGTGTGTGTCGGCGTTTTTTCTCGCGACATCTGTGAGAGTTTTGTACATTTTTTCGCCGCGCCTCTTTGCGCAGAGACATACAGTGGGAGGGAGGAAGGGGGGAGGGGGTTTTATGGGAACTTTGTATATAGACCAAGCGCTGCTGGAGACGCGATGCGGTTCGCCAGTCTGTTGTCAGTTGGGGTGTTGCATGCAGTCTAGGCTGTAGGGGCGGCCTTCAGCGACGGTTTGCTCAAGTATGCATGCGCGGTTGTGCCGCTGCTGTCTTTGTTTTCGCTTTGTGTTTCTCGCATGCCCTGTGTGCGTTTCGACTTCTGTGGAATGCTCTTTTTTTCCTCTTTCGTGTGTAGAGAGTTGAAATTTTCGGGTGTTCCTCTCAAGTCGAACGTTGAGATTCTTCCCACCGCCAATTGTTTGATTCATCTGGTGGAGTGGCCGCCCTTTGTGCTGCCTCTGGAAGACATCGAAATTGTTTCCTTCGAGCGCGTTTCTCACGGCCTGAGGAATTTCGACATGATCTTTGTATTCCAGGTGCGCAGCCGCAAGCCTTCCTCATGGGCTGCTTTCCTTTGTGTGTCGGGTGTGTAGATGTGTATTTGTCTGCGGTCTGCGCTTCTCTTATCCGCTTGCTCTCCTCTCTCGCTTAAGAAAGAGCGGGCAGCAGAAGGAGGGGACGCAAGAAAGAGACTGTAGCAAAGATCTCTTCTAGGAGTCTGTGGCATCGAGCACATGCATGCACTGCAAGGGGCTTGGAGAGACAGTTTTGTCTTTTGACGGCTCTCCTGTTTTGTGTTAGGATTACAACAAGCCTGTCAAGCACATCGACTTGATCCCCATTGACTATCTGGACAATCTGAAGGTACTTTGTATGTTTCTCGGTGTATGTGTAGGTGTATGATGAGCTGATGTGTAGTTAGGCATAGGATGAGGTGTAGGTGTAGGTGTATTTGGCTGTTCTGCGTCCTCCAGCGTCGCTCTGTGTGCCGTGGGAAGCGATGCATGCGTCGAGGTTTTCCAGGGGGATACAATTGAATGGAGGGGGGAAGGGGGATTTTATACTTCCTGCACTTTCATGTTTCGCCCTTTTCTAGCGGCGTTATTTGCCCCTCATGTAGACAACCTCGTCGTGCCTCATGAGCTTGCATGCTTGCCGTCCGTTGTTCGCACGGCGGCTCGCTGCGCCTGTTTTGCAGCGCTGGCTCAACGAGTTGGAGATAGTCTGGTATGAAGGCAAGCAGAACCTTAACTGGTCTGCCATCCTCAAGGAGATTCGCGACGATCCGCGCGGCTTCGTGGAGGATGGAGGCTTCGACATGTTCCTTGGTGAGGCAGCTTCGTGTATCACCGACGCCATTAGTGCGTGAGGCCTGCTGCGAGAGGAGTTTGCAGGGAGGTTCTGTACTTCACGAGGCGTTAGCTACACTTGGCCTATTCGGTTTGACGTGGCATTTTAGCTGGCGGCATGCCGATTTCCTTTCTCAGCAGTGGGGTTGGGGTGTCTTGTCTTATGTGATTTGCAATCGCCACCCGTAATGTATTCAGGGCTTTACCGCAGAGTGGCAGAATTGCAGGGCGCGCTAGGGGTTGCATGCAAGGCGAAAAATGCGTACTTTGTGTCTGCTGCGCTGTACAGGAGACGGGGATGAGAGCGACCAGGAAGGCGAGGAAAGCGAAGACGATGATGATGAGGAATATGCCGAACAATCTTCGAGTGTAGGGACGCCATGATGCTTTTTCTTTGAATTGACGAATGCCGTTGATACGCTTAGTGGCCGCGTATTTTTCTGTCGAGACCTTTGTATGCATGTTATGTTACACATGCATCTCCTGCCTCCACAAGTTTCCTGCATGTCCTCATGTTCTGAGCTTTTAGGCTCTTCTCGTTCGCTGCCGTAATACATTTCCGGTGGCCTGTGGCTTCCTGCCTCGGGCAGGCGTCTTTGACGTTTCGTCAACATTAGTTGTTATGTCTGAAACATTCGCGGTGTGCTCTTTCCTGGCATGGGTCTTACGTCGCTCTCTCTGCGGCTACTGTCCGTATATATATATATATGTATATATATATATATACATGTCACGAGCTGACTCCTCATGATGGCAGTATCCATTTTCAACCTGTTGCGTCACGCTCAGGATGATGACAAGGAGTACAAGGAGGACGGCTCGGATAACGACAGCAGCGGGCAGGACAGAGACAGTGACAGCGAGTATTCTTCGGAAGACCCTTCACTGGCAGACGAGACGGATGATGAGGAAGCAGCAGAAACTGGATCTGACGAGGAAGAGGGGCTCAGTTGGGACGAACTGGAGGAAAGAGCAAAGAAGGGTAAGTCATGAAACGCGCCCTTGTAAGCCGTTGCCTTCCGCTTGGCTCCCACAAAGACTCATGCAGTACTTGCAAAGGCGGCTGGATGAAAGGACGCCTTTTCCCTGACCTGCCGCACGGCCTCCAATTCGATTCTGTTTTGCATGCGTCGGCGCGTCTTCCCCTTGTGCTTGCTCGCTGTTTTATAGAGGACAGGAAGAGGCAAAACGACGGCGATTCGGAGGGCGAGGAGACGCGCACGAAGAAGAAGCGCAAATGATCCAAAAGCCACCCTTTTTGGCACATTACCACACATGCACCCCACACATATATGTATATATATGTATATACAAACTCTCACACACCGACGAGTGAAACCACGGCCCTATGTCTCTTAGCTTTGCTGGCGCATCACAGCATCCAGAACGCCTGTTTTCGTTAGTTTTCTTTTGAAGCACACAGGAGCTGGCCGGGAATGTGCATAGACAGGCGCTGGGGGGCGTCAAGCCTTCGTTGCGGAGTGCACCGCAGGCGTAGAGATAGATGGGTGGGGAGCATGCACCCCGGGTGGAAGGCATGTATATTTATCTTATTCTTTAGGCTTCGATAGGCACCCACGTCAGTCAGCTCGGGCTGGCCTGCCCGGTTCTTTGGAGGACTGGTCCCTAAATACACTTGCGGGCATGCGCCTCTGCCACTCTTGTGCGTCGTAGGGGGTGGGCTCGTTGCTCTGTCTATTTGTACGCAAGGCGTGCATGCTCTTATCTCCCCTCCCTCTGTTGCTGCTGTTTGGCGCACCAATGGGGGGACCCTACACGGTGGGAAAATGGAGAGGGGATGTAGAGGCGATCGTAGGATACAATAGAAGTTAAGCAGCACAGGGTGCCGGACGTGCGGAGATGAGAAATGTGTTTGTTTCTGAAAGCGTGTGGGCCGTTGCCTGCCGCCTCCATTTGAAGGGGCTCGTTGTGCGTTGTGCCCGTAACACGGTGGCGCATGCAGCAGTGCATGCGCTGCTTCTGGCGGCCCCATTCTACCTGGCGGTGTGGAACAATCAGTCATTGGTTGCTGTCTGGGGGACTGGCACTACTCCTGCCCATGGGTGCTGCTGCACTCCTTCGAACGCCTCGGGCGGGGGAAGGGGGGTGTTTGTGGCTAAAAGGAAAAGAAGTAGCGGGGGAGAGGCCTGCTTGCAAGGCGATAACGGGAGGAGTGCCTTCGGTTGAATCGTGCGCTCCCCTGCTACGGGGCCTCTCCCCCTTCCTTCCTTGCAGCCTCCCACGCAGGTAGACTCGATGAAATTCCTCAGAATCTTGTCATTTCCTGTGAGGAGCGCCTAAACGGGCGGTTCCTTCGCGATGATCGCCAACCGGCCTCCTGCTCTATGAGTGGTGAGCGCCATGACGAGGATCTTGATCACATTGTAGACAAGCGGCAGAACCCAAAGACAGGAAACAAAGCAGGGCGTGTTGAGGTTGAGGCTCCGCATGGCTTCGCCTCCCCCCTTCTCTGCAGCTATCATCACGAGAAGCGGAGGAGGGAGCGTGGCAGCGTATGCTGCAGCCACTGTTGGGGTTTGCAGCTTAAGCAGCAGCAAACCTTCCAACGATGAGCAGAAGGGAAGCAGCAACAAAGGAACGGCGGCGCATGCACCCGCGTAAAAAACCGCCCTACTTAACTCGAAATCTGTTGCCGACAAGCGGCAGGATACTGCAAACATAATCACGCACACAAGCACCCACCATCATGCACACTTTTTGACGCTAAGGCGCACCTACATACTGGCATGTACACACACATGCGCATGCCTACACATACATGCATCCCCCATCCACACACTAGACAGCAGAGAAGGGAGATTCAGAGGCGTGCAGGCTAGCCTCAAGGCCCCCCAGTCTGCGTTCAGTGAGACGAGTGGACGCGGATGAAGAGAGCTACACAGAGCACGTTTCGCATTAGCCCTTCGACGGTGCAAGGCGTAAAATGTGCAGCACGTTGATGAGAGGAAGAGGGAACCCCGCCCACACGTAGGACGGATCTGCCCACGGTGCTTACGGAATAGAACCAGGGCCAGCTGAGTAGCAGCAGATAGAATCGCGGTGACAGCCGAAACCTTGAAAATACGCCTTTGCAGCCTTCTGTAGCTGGTAGGTCCTCTTAGAGCCCCCGAGGCTCCCTGGGCAGCGGCAGCATTTACAACCTGAGCCATAGTGTCTGCTGGCATTCCCAGAACCGTATATAGCCCAGACACCAGCTGCGAAGACAGACAACGAAGTGCAGACAGTCGGTCAGGCTTTAGAGAGGTTTCTGTCTGCGGGCGGAGGTAGGAGGACTGGGAGCGCGGGGCGGGGTTGTAAGGCTCTATAAAAAGTGACTTTCGTACATACAGTTATACACACATCTGTAGCTTTAAATACCCCAACAGATAAGCACACGCGTGGTTCACGTCTCATCAAAGTCCCTGGATAAGGACCTGCTCGCTTCTCAATATATCAAGCTCCGTGCCTCACTGCCCATCCAACAGGAGGCGTGGACTACTCGAGCTCACGCAGCCAAGATTAACAATGCAGCCATGCAGAACATCTCAAATTGTGCAGAAGAAGACGCGCCGGAGTCTTCAAAGGCTCACGAAGAAGGCAAGTTCAAAGGGATTCCCAAGAATCCCCGTTTACACATGGCATATTTTCTTCATTCGTGCATTTCCTCTTGATTAACTCGTGAACGTATGATTCTTTCAGACGGTTGCACTCAACATGTCCATTTCGTTCAACATAGATATCTACATACGCATATGTTTATTCATAGACATATGTCGGTATTCCGCAGAAATGAGTAGTAGGCGCGTTCATATGTATGCCCGTAACAAAAAAAAACTGAATCCGCCAGTGCAAACAGGACGCCGGGACACCCTAGGGTCCGATGAATCGAGGCATATTTGGAAAGGCTTTTGGGCTGAATAAGGCGCTTGTGAGATGAATGACTCAGAGATCTTGTTGAACGAAGTACTCGCATCTTTTGCCAGGAACGGAAGAAGTGATAGCCCCAAAACATCGGGCTTCTCACACGCCGCAGCAGCCATCCATGTTCTAGCCTGGCGCTTAATACAGCACCCTCTGTGTCCTGGGGGTTATGTGTGAGTGTGCGTGTGTGTATGTGGCATTCTGAAGCCTTATCAAGCGCTATGCGTGGATCCGTGCTCACTTGATGGGCGGCCATGGCCTTAGGACCCTGCAAGGAGGCAGCCTTCGTCATGGAAGAGTACAGTACTAGCCTATGAAAAACAGCAAGAAGCACACAAAACACACACCTTCAAGAGAAAGCAGAGCTCTAGAGGCTAGAAAGGATATTTTTTCGCGAATACCGGCTATGTACCAGGCCGACTTCTAACCAAAACCCAACTGGAACAATCAACTATCCCCGCGTACCCCCCTCTTGCCTCCTACCCCGCTCCCCCGACACATCTGCCACCCCATCTCCCTCCCTCGCTCTCTCTCAAGGCACCCTACAGGCCTGCTGCCAACGTGTGTGGATGCGTCTGGAGCGTGTCTTTGCGCCTCCCCACCCCGAGACCAGGCGTGTTGCAGCTTGCTCTGGACCTGTCGGTTCTATGGCGACAATGGCGGCGGCCCTGCTGCGTAGCAGCGCCTCGCTCATCGCCTGCTGCTTACCTGACACAACACTGCGTCAAGACGGGCAGCACGAAGGGAGCGAAAGGGAGCACCTCGGAGGGGAGCGGCGGCCGATAGAGCTGCCAGACGGTCTGCAGACGCTGCAGGAAACCGTGCATGCGATGGTATTCCTTCTGCTGGTGGCTCGGGGAGCTGGCAGCCGCCAGTGTTCCTAGGCGCACCAGCAGCGCTGCCGCGGAAGCAACTTGCACGGCCACAACGGTTAATGCCGCGGCAGAAACAAAAGCTCTGGCCGCTTCCAAAGGCGCAGCTGCAGCAGTGGCAGCGCCACGCGCGGCATACATGAAAAAGAGAGGCGCCGCCACTGCCGCAGATGCCAGCGTCGCAATCTGCGGGGATGGATCTCTGAGCGTCAGCAGGGCTGCCTTGGCCGTCAAGGCAACAAGACAGCTCGGAAGCGAGACACAGCGCAGCCGTAAAACCTCGACAGCCAGAGACAGCGTCTCTTGCTGCAGGCGCATTTCGTCAGCCGCTGGTGAGCCCGCCGCTGCACCCACTCCCCGAATACTCAAAAAGAACGACAGAATCGAAGCGCTGCCAGCATACACGGCCGCCGCCAACATCACCCCCACGCCGGCTGCAGCCAAACACAGGCACACACATACATACACATACGTATACATACATACATATACATACATACACATACATACACAGACACACATATACGCAGACACACATATACACACACATACATGCACACATACACATCCATATATAAACATACACACATACATATACATACATACACATACACATACATACATACACAGACCCACATATACACAGACACACATATACATACATACACATACATACACAGACACACATATACACAGACATATATGCACACATACACATCCATATATAAACACATACATATACATAGACGTACATACACATACACACACATACACATACACACAGATACATATACATACACGTACATACACATACCTACACACATACGTATATATACATACACACATAAGCACCCCAAAGGCACACTTGAGAACCGTGTGACACTCCCCCCCCAACGCCTCTGTCTTTGAGCTGGGACGTGCGTCAGCTTTCCGTCCGAATCACAGCTCTCTGCTTAATTTGTTCGAAGCTTTCGAACTACGCACTCGCAATCCACGCGCCAACCGCAGCCACGCGAAGCGCCGGTGCCAGTGCCACCGCCTGCCTACGGCCTTCGCGTCCTTCATAAGCCCCTTCAGCGTCCACACCCTTGACAGTGGACGCAAGCGCGTCTTTTCCCCGTGCATGTCGCCCCCCTGCACGGCTGCACAAAGCCCCCACCGCGAGGCCTAGGGCAGCCAGGAGAAGACAGAGACCATCGGGAACCTGTCCACCAGCTCCTACTGCAACCACAGCCAAGGGCGCCCCCTCTTTTAGCCGAGCCGCGGCTGCCGAGGCGAGAAGAGACAGCAGTGGATCCTGAAGCCACGTGAGCAACACTGAGAGGACGATACCCCATATATGGCCTGTTGGCAGTAACGCGCTCTTCTGAGCAAGCCCTTCCTGGTATTGCAGCTTCGCCCCCCCCGTGCATGCGCCTGCCAGCCGCCTCTTTGCACCCCCGCCGCCGCTGACCCCAGCGCCCCTCAAGACGAGGCTTGAAGCCTGCACGCAGGGGTCCCCACTGCTGCTGATGAAGGCGCGTGCCGCTTCAGCCGCAACAGCGTGCTCGGCGGAAATCGCCCAGACGTCGCTTGGAGGCGGCGGCGCTGAAGAGGGAGGGGGGCCCTCCGAGGGAGGCCAGTGCAAGGGGGGGACGTAGCGCGGCGAGGCAAGCGGCCCTTGAACATCCTCCGCACATGCCGCCGTCCTTGGTTCGGAAGTCGCTGTAAGGTGTTCAAGGAGGCTGTGAGGGGAACTTTCTGAAGCTCTTCTTACCGCCGCTGGTGCGGCTGCAGCTGTGGAGGCGGGTGTTTCTGGCGCGGCTGCCGCCGCCGAGGCTCCCGTTGCTGCCGCTTGATCCTTGCTATCCCTGCACGGGAAGTCCTCGAGCGTGCTGTGTCTGGACAGCTGGTTGTTGCGCTCCTGCTGTCCCCGTCGGAGATGCTCTTTCAGGGGCGCGTGCAGAACCCCAAGGCCTTCTGGCACTGCATCCGCATTCCCCGATGGAGGCTTTTGAGCCAGTGCCTCCGGAGCGCTAGCTGGCGCGGCGTCGTCTTCTGTGTGAGTGCGTCGCTCTGCCACTTGTGCGCGCGCCTGCTGCTTGCGGGCGCTCTCGGGGTTGCTGGGGAGGGGGCCCCTTCCGTAGACCCCCCTTCCCTGGTCGCCCCTTTCTTGCCTGTGGGCAGCCTGCCGCCGAGACCTAGCGCCTCCTCCGTGTGGCATTTTGCGACATGTGTACACCCGATGGCTGCAGGAGGCGAGGGGTTACTGCTCCGCAAGCCCCCGGAGGCGAGGAAGGGGGACTCGAGGGGAGGCGCCGCAGGGAGGGAGCGAAGGGGTTGTCTTCACGCTTCCCGGCGTGAAAAGGCGGAATCTCACTACGCCCCGATTAAGAAGGGAGATTCAAGTATTTGAAGGGCAAGGGGGTCAAAAATTAATGATTTGGGGATAGGGGTCTCGAGGGGAGGGGGCGGGAGGAGACGGTACGGTGGTGAGGGTCTGGTGATATACCTGCTCGGGATTACTTTTGTCGGTACCTCCATGGTCTTCCAGTATTAGATTGCCCTTCAACGAAGGCTTCTTAGAAATATACTCTTCTTCTCTGACACTTCAGCTTCCTTTGCCAGATCAACACTAAAACCCGGAACTTTTCGTACAGAAAACCCCAAACCGCTCGCACGCCGATTTGTTACAGACGAAGCGCATGAACGAACACACACTTCATACAGTGCGCACATCCCAGATACACGGTTGGTGGTCGAGTATCATTCCTAGCGCAAAAGGCGTGCTTGTGTGGCTCAGGCGCCCGAACCTAGCCAATTGCGTTGTTCCCTGCCGTCAACCCCTTTTACGCTGTATTCCCCTAGCTGCCTGCTGCCCATACGGCTGTGTCTGTACATACACCAGCACATACGGGAGTACCTGAGGCATTGTCGTCAGGGAACTCATTGAAAGGTGAACTCTTCAGCTCCTAATCCTCTCCGTTTCCATAGAACGCGTCTGAATACCGGGCAGCTGTCTATGTGCATGCCGACGAAGGGGTTTGTGAGATGCATTCAGGGAGGGGACCGCCTCCAAATGCAAAGCTCTGGCAGCATGGTGAGTATATTGTGGCTATCTAGAGGCAGAGCACATATCGCAACCCGCGAACACCCAGCTGCCCTGCCAGATCCATATCGCAGCCCCTGCTGTTGCTTGCCTTCCTCCTCCGCGCGCTGATTAATCTGGCTGCCCTTGCGAGACAGGAATTTTGCCAAGGCGTAACCGTATTTTAACACCGTGCGGGTAGGGGAGTGGCCCCTCAGTGTAGCGGGCTAAGCCACACTTGAACACCTACTATACTACTTATGTGTGAAGATTTGAGCAGTTGGTGTCTCTGTTCGAATACCTTATTTTTATGCAGAGTACTGTTAGCCTGATGCTTAAAGAGTCAACGCTGTGTCCATGTGAGCTAGATGCCAAGCACAACTAGCTATGATAGCTCGGAATGCTTAGAGGGCGCAGCTACGCTCATCATACTTGTTCCTCTCCCCTCCTGCTGGGAACTCTAGGGAAGCAGGCATGGGATAGAGAAAGCGCTTTGGAAAAGCGTGCAACGATTTTGTTTGTATCGAGTCTGAAATGAAGTACCTCTCTACGGAGACCTCAGATGGACCGTTATAGTTGGTAGCGCCGCAGGAATTTACGCGACTGTTCCCCTCTTTACCAGTGGCTCATGACACCTTTAGGTAACGGGTTTCCGCAAAATAGTTCCACGGCTTCAAGCAACTTATTTTGGCCCCGGAAAATTTGGCTTTTCTTGCCAACAGACTGAGAAATAGCCCTCTGTCTATAAAAGTTGCCGATGACACAACGCCTGTAGGGGCGCAGAGGCCATCCTTGAAGTTAATGTTGACTCAGTTGTTCCACAGCTGGTAGAAATGCACGATCTGTCACCTGATAATAGGTTTGTGGATGTGCCGATAAGGTTGCGCAGATCGGAAATAGATGACGATTTAAAGGATGGGCACGTACTCGGAAATTTGGTCACCCGGTTGGCGGTGTACCTCGTTAGTACTCTGAGATTACCAGAATTGAGTGCTCCGAGATGCAAGTGTATTTCGCGATAACCACTTTCATAGCGGTACCCCTACGGAACTGCTACGGTTCAAGCCTTCTTAGGAGCCCTGAATCAGCTTTTTCCGCCCATAACGGCTCAAAATCAAGCTCTGGCTAGGCTAAGAAAGCCGAAGCAGGGTAATCTATCTATAGATCTGGATGTCGGGAAATAGTAAACCTTGGCATTTAAAAGCCATCACGTAATTGAGTAGCCGCTTTGTCAGTGGTCCAGCTCAAGTCTACCCGAAGTGCAACATCAAGTGGTAGCAGGGTGGCCAGTAACCTGGACATTATTCAGTCAACCGGTTAAGGGCTTACAGACGATGGAAAACCCGAGAGTTTTAGAGCCAAGTGGGCGTAACTCATGCGTATTCGACCGAAACGGGTAAATTATGTCGGGATCCATAACCTGTGGATATCGGTGCTGTGTCAGCTGGCCCTTGTTCACAGTCTGATGTGAACAAAAAAAAGATATTAGGGGACACTCGAATTGAAGCAGCCCAGAAAGCTCCATAACAAAGCATCTGCTTGGGTCTTTTTGATCCAAAACTGCAAGCGCGGGGGGACCTGACGAGTGAAGGCACGCAGATTTTCGCTCTCATGAGAACAATTGTGCATCTGTAAATCTGTGTTCAGGCTGCAATAATTGAGGGAGGTCCGAAAAAATCAGACGGTCAAGTCGATACAAGGCCCTTCCAAACTTATATCGGCATACAAATCGTCACCAGTACTTCATTCCTACGTTTGTTCGGGTGAATGTTTTTTTGACTAATCTACTCTACGAAACCGCAGTCTACGACCTGGATGGAGGGGCTGATATCGCAGGGGGGACGCCGCTTGGCAGCCCGACAACTCCACTACTTGCATTTTCTGATCATGAGCGTCATTTCTTCCTGACCAGCAATGCGGGCTACGTAGTACTGAGCCCAAGACTCTTTCAACGAGCTATGGGCTTTCCAGAACGTCAAATTACTGCTTATTCTTCTGATCGTTCCACCGAGACCACGCAGCGCTCACCAGTGCAGGAAGAGAAACTCAGTGTGATGAGGTAGGGCGTGAAAAGAATGCCGGCACTCTTTATGTGGGCTTCATTTTAACGTCCGAGACAACCACCTGTTTATGCGGTACCTTACGATAAGTGTTTGAGTCTTTGATAGTCGTGAAGTGGTCCAGTGCCTCGGGCGCGTCCCGCAGTACGATTCATCAGTGAAGGACGTGCTCTCCCGACTCCCCAGCAACTTATCACCAAACAACACATCCGCCCTTGTCTGTAATGGGTCACGGTCTGACTCAAAAGTATATAAGTGTCTTGGTTTCAACACACAGGCATCTCCTTATCGTTGCCAAAATTCAGAATGGCAAAAAGATGAAGTACCACCACTTTGTGAGCGGCCTACTGTGGCTCAAATTGGAGCAGGGCCTTCATTACTTGCACATCCCGACTGTGCTTCACAGTGCTATTCTGCGCAAACCACTCTATCAGATTCTTTTAGACTGTGGCAGGACTCACTCCAGAGTGGAAGCTCAGGATCGTTCTTGTGGCTCAGGATGCGTCCTGCGGCCGAGGGGTATGCCTTGGCATACCCAGAGTGTCAGCGGCTAGGAACCCTAGATTTTACTAAATTTAGCCTGAGCTGCCTTGCTTTTCAAAGGATTCAAATTGACCTGCCCAATGACTATCTTACAGGAGGGGGGTGGTTGGAATAGCATCCATGTCGCTGCCCACAAACTCGGCAAGTATTCCCATTTCATCCCTTTCTCTAGCTCTGTAACAGCTAAGCAAGTCGCCTGTTTACTCTTACGCCATGCCTGGAAGCTTCACGAATTTTCTGCCAGTATCGTTACGAACAGGTATCAGACCTTCGCTAATGCACTATGGCGTGCCCTGCTAACCCCTGCCCACATATCGACCATGGTCTGACCACTGTGAAAATACCCATGCAGGTAAACAGACAAAGCGCTTCAAACGCACGCTTCTCCGTATTCGCAACTTTATGATCACAAAAGTCGAGGTGGTTAGCTTCACGTTTTCCGCGTGCTGAGTGGGCTCATATTACAATGATACACTTGTCGACCTAATGCTCCCCCGTATCCCAGGTCTGTACTAAAAAGCTGCTTTCGGATCTATGCCTGGACCTGGTGGTCTTTGGTCAGCAACCATCCTTGGCAGCGGAGGGATTTAAAGAAGGTGTCGTTCTTGCGCGAGAATGTATGGGCAAAACACACAAGAGCATTGCACGGATTTATTAAAAAAGCGATGGATGGTTGCGTGTTTAGCGCCTGAATATTTGATCCTGGTGGATCAGCAGGCTGTCCGGAATGCATCAAAGTGTGACGAAAAGAAACTTCTGGACGTGGGTCTAGGAGCACTAGTGATTCTACCAACAATCACTGCTTTGTCTCACTGGCTTGATTTCCCCCAAAGTTGGAGGCTTCAGAGAACTATCAATATTGGCTTTCCAACAAGGATTCAAGACTTCCCAGATTATTCGCGGGCTTTCCTGCGCAGGCAAGTGAGATTGGAAGGTAAAGGATGCATATGGAAAGTTAGTATTCACAGGGAATAGTAGAGGTGCTGGATTCTAGGACTATGGAGTGCTGGTGACAGACTCGACGACAGCTTCTAGGTAAGGGGGTGGGTATCGCAAGCCCTGGTGGCCGACGGAAGAGCACTGTTAAGCGTCGTTGGGGGCAGGATAATTTTGGGTACTGTTTGATTTATAGCGCTAGTCTCCATGGACGGTGTTCCTCGACTACCTTGAATACTTTTTCTGTCCTTCCTGGCCGCTTCTCTTTTGGAAACAGTAATCTATGCCAGTAAACATTGCTTGAAATGCTCCTGGCTTTTGTTGATACTGTGTTTCCTCCACGATCGGGTTTATGTGCAGGCACCTCAAGGTCCAGTTCCCGTGCATCCTCCTCTGTGTGTCTTTGTGTCCTTCAAATCGACTCGTTGCATGCACCTTTCCTTACAAGTTCCTGAGGTATTGCTGAAGTAGGGTATCTTTTGCCTCCCTCTACATATTCTACTTGATTACTGCTTTCACATAGTGGAACGCCCACGTTTTAGCACCCTGATGAAAGCAATCTCACCGCCGGTGTCGTTATGTCTTGGTTTCTCGTTCGTTAGGACTGCGTATCTCTCTTCTCTATCTCTCCTGAGGTTGATGAGCATACTGTCATTTCAGAGTGCATGTGTTTCTTCCCTTCCATTTTTTCTGCGAGGTTGACGGAAGTAATGCTTTTGTCATTGACGCTCTTTTCGTGTTTCTGCATGGCGGGGTCATGAGCATAGAGCGGGGACACCTGCTATTCTGCATGCACGTGGCCTTCAGGGACACGTACGTAAAACGAGAGCGTGTGCTTTAAAATGCGCGTGTGCAGTAAGCTAAACTACACTGAAACACTTTCTACAAGAATGGTTATATTGATGCTAGTATTGTAGAAGGAACGACTAATTGGCTTGTGTGTTCGTATCCTATTTAGTGCAGAGTGCTCTTGGCTCCGTACAAGAAGGTACAGAGCTGTAAAATGGGTGTTTGATGCCATGTGCAACTAGCTGCGAATTCTCGGACTGTTTAGAGGGTGCAGCTATATGCACTTTGGCTTAGCCTCTCCTCTCATGTGGAGAACTGTGGGGGTCCCGGTCGGAGAAGATCAAAGTTCTTTTGAAAGCACTCACAACGTGTGTATCAAGCATGTATTGCGTGTGGACTCAAGACCTTATGGAGCGACTGAAGAGTACTTAGGGGCTGTGTGTCGCCCTGAAAACGCGAATGCTTGTCGAGAGCCCTTCCTTCTGTTTGCTTCAATCAAGGCTCAATCCTTTCGAGGAGTGAAGCTTGCTCGTTCATGAATTCCTCAACCGAGACATCTCCCCGTTCCTCCTCAAATATGTTAATACCATCCCTGCAACTGTGAATTTTACGTGCCTAAGAGCTTCGCATAATTAGAGCAAAGTAAGCCCGTGGACCGCGAGGACTTCAGTGCTGCTACTACTCTACTTTGGAGAGAATCGTCCCCCACCACTCAGACAGTGGCACCACGGTGGAAAATGGCCGGACTCCTCCGTGAAAACAAGAGGGCCTCACGGCACTTTTGCCTGCTTCTATATCTACGTTGGCGCGGGGGCATTTGTTCCCATGTGCTCCTGAATAATATCCCTTGAATTTAATAGCAACAGTGCTACTACAAACAATATCATCCATCAGCAGGAGCAGCGATGCAAAAAGCGAGCTGCGGAACTACAGTACTTCATCACAACTGTCATTCGTGTTAGGAGGAACGCCACAGACGCGCTGAAGGAGACTTCATAACCCAGTAGGGCATTGGCAGTGTCGCGTGGCTGTACCATGCAGACACCGGCCGAATGAAGAGAAAAATCAGCTCTGGCCCCCCTAACTAAACCTTTTGCCGTGTTTCAACGCCTTGCACTCCTGCAACCGGCTTGCACTATTCCTTCCTGCGCCTGTTGCTGGCTCTGTGGCTGCACCTTACAGACGGGGGACTGTGCTTCTTGGGTGCCGTGTAAGAGCGTCAGCAGAGCAAGGAAGCCCTCTCAGTAGAGCAACTGGCAATGGCATGCAGGAGGTGCCACTCGCCTAAACAAGGCGAGGGATACCAGAAATAGAGCAACGCAGAAGGGACAATGAGAGAAGAGAGAAAGAGATATTTCTCCCAGCTTTGTTCGACAGCACCCACATTAGCGTGGCTGCCTTCACTTAGGAAAATTATCTTGCAGAAAAGCATAAAAGCTGGGCACAAAAAATGCTGATTATGCCCAGTGAACACCCATCCCCAAGACCCGATCTAGCACATGGCACAGAAGCACTGGAAGGCACAGCTCTGCAGGCTCGCAGCACGCTGTCACGCCACTGGAAGATTGGTCATCTCGATCTTCCTGCCTGTCGGCGCCCCTGCATTCGATTTGGTCCGTGCTGCTACTACTTCTGTCCAGAACTGGCAGAGATACCTGTTGTGACCGTGAAACTTCCCAGAAATATATCATAACGACACAAAGCTATATGCAGTATCCTAAGGAAAGAGGGAGACATGTGGCAAGCACATGCCGCGCCAAGATATATCTCATCATGAATAGATATGAAGATACATGCTTATTCATGCAGCTAAAGAAGAACAAAAAGAAACCAGAATCCGAGCGAGACGACGAAATTGCATGAATGAAGCAGACTCTGAAGATGATTGAAATGATTGCTCCTCAGAAGACGTTGCACACAGAAATCACAGAAACTGTAGTACATTAAATCAAACACCTATAGGACAGGCAAAGCTCTTGCACTGCCCTCTTTTCGATGTCCGCTGTTGTTAAGGAGCCCGTCAGTAATCCCGATCAACAACCACCTCGGTGTCTTCGCCGTCGTCAGGGTTCACGTCGGCCTCCTCTGAGACAAGAACCGCAGAGTGCCTTGCTTTACGGAGTATGTATGTACTAAATCGGCTTCCAGCACGCAAATACAAGTTGCCAGAAGGATCACAGCTGCTCTTTCGGCATCTGCTACATTCACGAGAAAGCCTTATTAAAGTTATTTCGCTCTAGTCCACAATTACGCGCACGTGCACAGCGGAAACAGGCAAGCCGCAGACTCACAGCCCTCTGCCTAAACGCTTATATGCTCAAAGAAGAAGTGGCAGTCTACAAGAAAGCACTGCCATTTGGCGCTTCAAAAAAGATTTCACTGAGCTCTCCATCCCCCTTCCTGCTACCAAGACACCCTTCCATGTGCAATACATGCATCCACACGAAGACATCACCCCATACCACAGGACAGCGGAGCGACCGATACGCCTAGATGCCTCTGCAGCTGTCACGATTTCACTTACCCCAAAAGGAGGGCTCTGCCTGCTGCACAAGATCCGATTGCCTTTTCGGTTTCCTAGGAGCAACAGCCTGCTCCTGAAGATACTCGGACTGCGCGCTAGCTGACTTCGTGATTGGTGGCTTTCGCTGGCGTCTTCTGGTCACGAGTTATAAAGCAAAATGCACAGCAAAGACGCACAGGATGACACAGTGAAGAGGCCGATGGTGAGCAAATAGGCCAAGGATATGATGCAGCACACAGGGAAAACAATGCAATAAGAGGGGAGGCAGGTAGCGCGCCTTCACGGCACAGTACACACGGTGACGCCACAGACAAGCTGACAGACATTTGAAAATACACACGAACACTGCAGTCTCTCTACATGTTGCATCACATCTTTCCTTGTGCCTCTTTTGTTCCCTGCTCACCTGTAAAAGAAGACGGACGCTGCAAGCACGACTAGCAGAACCCCTCCTACCGAGAGACAAATGATTAACACCACGGACTCGCCTACACAACACAAATGTGTACATGGAAACACAGATCAACGCTCACACCGTAAAGGCGAGTGTCGTTCATGCACCCAGGGAAACTGCATAAGAGGAGATACACCTCGACGCGGCTGAGCGTAAAGGGTGCCGGCAGCCTAACCACACTCTGTAACACTGGCTTAACCGTAGCCCGACAAGCACGCAGACAACAGTACCACTCGATCATCCCTTCCCCCATTGTGATCTGCAACTATGCCAGGAGATGATACCCGGTACATAAACTAGTAAGGGGAGGGGATGGAGGAGCTGTCTACGCGCCATAAAAACAATTTTGAACAAAGGGTTTTTGGGGCCCTGCTTGCCTACATTTGAGTGTGTCGCCGGTGCTGCAGCCAGCTTCATTAGCAACGAGATGATTCCCCTCGCAAGTGGAAATGGTTCTCTTGCACGACTTGAAATCGCAAGATCCCGGTGTTTGTGGGAAAGAGCTGTCGCAATTAGGAAGCGCCTCCTCTTCCAGGCTCCCCAATGCGGTGTACGCAACTCCAGAAGCTAGCGGGACAGCGCAGTCAGGGATCTCAGCCGAAAGAACGCATTCTCCTAAGCTACCGCCGTAATAGCTAGCATAGTTCATGCCCTTTCCACCTGCGCGGCACACAAGCACGACTCAGAGACACCGAGGAATTTGGAAGAATGAGAGCAATATTGCATTCGGGTGATTGGCCAATTCAAAGACTTGGCAGACTGATCAGTAGGCAGCTGGGTAATGAGCCGCCTCATTTGGAAATGATGATTATTTCTAAGGCTGTAGCTTCGGCTCGATATCCGCATGTGTGAACGGAGAGAGCCATAGCGGGGTAATAATGCATCTTCTGCGACGCTTGCCGCATTACCAACGGGGCACACCTGTGCCCCTTCCTGACAACTTCCCAGATGGTCAATTACAGCAAAAACTGATCGCCACACTGCTAGAACCTCATTCTGCACTGCCTGTCCGACCCATAAGATGTACGTCCGTGCCCTATGTCCGCTGGAGGACGGTACCACGAGCAGTGGCGCCCTTACCAGACTTAGGCTGATCGGGGCCTGCCGATGGGAAGTAGTATCCGAGGGTTCCAATGTCCTCTGAAGTTGTAGAAGGATGATCACTGGCCACTTCGGGGTTGTTAAATGCCAGAGCCCAACACTCCTCCTTTGATGCAACCCTCTCGACTTTAGAAGCACTTCTGTGCCGATGCTCCACGCATACACCATTCGACCAAACCCCAAATACGCTGCCGGAAACCGCCTTGTTCGCTGCGGAAAACAACAGAAAAGGAGATCACCAAACAGCTGAAGCCTGCATGTAGACGCGTTCGAACGAGGATATCTACATACAAACGAATACCCCCGGCACCAGCCCGACCTCGGGGAAAATGGCGCAAGACAGGGAAAAAGATTGTGGGAGTTTTGTCTTCTCCTGATGGAACGGAAGACCTAGGAGAACATGAACCCCTGTCTTCACTGTTGGCCATATTTTGTTACGCACATGCAGAACAAAGAGAGTACGGCTATGCACAGCGCCATCCCAGTGCATGCATTTAGGAACGTTCCGCTCAGAATGCAACTCACGGCATTTCTCCTGCCAGGCGTCTGGATCTTTGCCAACGTAAGAAGACCCGTATACGAGTTCGGGTCGGACATTTGCGGACTTCTTGGGCTCGAAGCAGTACCATGTGAGGCCGGGGGGCTCGTTTCTGGTAGAACAATAGCGTTCCCCCATAAGCCGCTGCATGGTGATAAAGAGGAAGTAGCAAACCCCATTCTTCGTATCATACACGAAGGGATACCGGTAGCCTGAGCTGTTGGGGACTGTCGTCAAATAGCTCATTTCCGCACACTTCCCCAAGGCTGTCTTGGCAGTTACTGCGCATAGAATAGAAGGCACAATACAGGCACGCGCCAAAGCCTCTTGCACTTAACGCGCAGATCGAGTTCAGTGCAAAAAGAGCACTTCTCAACCAGCGCAGTGCCCCTAAGCGCACCGAACCACGTGGCAAGCACACACAATGAAGAAGATAACCCTGTCAGAGTGCTGTCTATAAGCGTGACGAAAAACCACCACTTTTTCAAGACGTACACTGACTGTAGCTGTTGAGTTGTGCGTCAGACATGGGGGAGTAAGAGGTTCCGTTTGTGAGCTTATAGTTGTTGTTGAAGCCTCCAGGAAGTGGGTTGCCGACAGCTTGGGACTCCTGTGCAGTAGGAATGTTAGCGAGAAAATCGTTTGCATACCCGGCCTTCAGAGGCTGGTACAGTATGATGTTTTTCCCGAACACAGGGCACAGGCCTGCCGCTTCTCTGTATGTCTTTCCGTCTACATCCTTATCATTCGATAGGTCGACGTATATGCCGCTTCCTAAACGCAGCATCAAACCCAAGGACATAAGAGAATGGAAGATCACAATCAACACCGTTAAAGAAGAGCCGTATAAGCCGTATACTTCCAGCTTCGTAAACGCCTCATGAATACATCCTCACGCAAAACATGCTGCCCAACGTACAAAGCGTAACCAAACGGCGGAGGGTCCTTTGAAAGACATGAGCGAAAAAGTGAGGTAAAACAGAAGCGGAGAGCATTCTGGGGCCCTTCTAAAACAAGCAAGAGCATTATTAAAACGTGACAGAGGCTCTAAGTGTGCTGGGTGTGCTCTACTGCTGTGGCTCATGAAACCACCCGCATGGCACGGCTTTCCGCAGGGCACCGCAAGCCAGACAACACGAAAGACATGCTGAGAAGAAACATGAGAGGAGGCTGTCCATAAACGCGGAAACCGGCAAGTGGGCCGAGACAAACGCCAATGCAAGGGCAAAAGAGGCGAACACACAGCAGATCCTAATTTGAGAGTTCCTTTTTGCGTGTTTATTAAGCAGCCACACAAATTTTATTTGCTTAAAATACCTACCATGGCTCTGTGGAATGTTGAAACGCGCAAAAAAATCTGCATATGGAGGATCCAAGAAGGGATTGCCCGTTGAGTTGGTGCCACTCGTGAGGTGGACGCCAGCCGAGAGAGACGTAAATGAAGAGGCCAAATGAGCATCTTTGGTTTTATGTTTTATGCCTTCCGCCGGGAAAACTGCCAAAAGACTGAGCAAGACGCAAAACAGTTCCAAGACTGCTGAAGCCAGAACACCCGAATGGCGGCGCTGCATCTTTCCAAGGAGAAAAGGCATAGCAGTGCAGAAATAGGAGGATACCAAAGCGGAGAGTATTTTGGGTATGAAGGTGAAACGAAAAGGACGGGGAATGGTGATGATGGTACGGGAGAGATAAGAAACAGCTGGACTACTGTGGCGCAGGGGGCTCGCTGCTACAGAAAGCAGCACACGGTAAATTCAGTGTTCAAGAGCCCGTCTGAGCTTTTGAAGGCGTCATAGGAAGCTACAATGAAATTATTGGGAAAAGAGGCATCAGCTCCTCAGGGCTTTTCGTTGTACGTGTACACTCCTTCAGCATCGAGACAGCCAAATCTGACGGGTGCGTGGGGAAACGCAGATCTGGCTGAGCTCATCTATCTGGCTCTTAGAAGCAAGATACAGACAAGTAAAACTAGAGGAAACAGAAAGGCGAAAGGTCGTTGAGTCGAGAGAACGCTTCGCATGCCATAGGTAGCCCGGTGAGACGACCAGAGGATCTACTAGCTACTTCCGAAACTCCAATCAAAATGCGGAAGTAAAGACCGGGGGAGAACAGTTGAGGTATTTGAAATATCGCAACAAAAAGGGGTCGCTACGGAGAGATTTGCCAAGTCCTCCTTCCCCGTCCTTCAGGCCTCGTGCACGCCAAGTCTGGACGGTTTGAGTGCCTGAAGCAGCCACTGGTCAGGAGGGGGGAAAGCAACGAGATTCGAGGGAGAGTGGCGCTTTCGAATATACCTGCCTCATGAGCTTAGTTATTTGCAATTTTTATGCTCTTGGTATACCGTACCTCTGTCCATTTCGCTGTATTCTGGTTGAAAAGTCGTCACCGATTCGCCATGGCACCGTCACAGCACGCGAGCCTAGGTTGCATCTAATTGCTGCCTTCTGCTCGTATATGCTCTTAAGTGTCATATTGTAGGCATCTGTAGTGCAAAGGTTTCGGACTGCATTCACTGAATAAAGGGTACAGAAATGCCTTCAAGGATCGCCGTATATTCCTTCCAGCAGTAGTTCAGAAGGCTCCATGGCACCTAGGACTGCTCTTCCTGGCCGATAAGTCAGTTTATAGGTTTGTTTATAGGTGAATTTGGCGATCCAGAGACTCGCATACCATAACATTGGAGTCGGGGGACCGATCCATCGGAGTGCTGTCTGTTGCGTGCCCCGCGACATTTAAACACTTTCTAGTGCAGTGTAGTTAAACTAATAAAGAGTTAGGGAAAAATCGCAAAAGTGTTTTGTCGGTCACAACATCTTGGTATTAGGTGCAGAGTGGCTTTAGGTCTATACGAGACGCAGTGTTGTGTGCGCGGGCGCTACATACAATGCGCAACTAGATGTAAATTCTCCAAGCGCCAACATGATACAGCTACGCGCATCCTAGCTCACGCTCTTCCCCCATGCCAGAAATTCTCTGGGGCAGGGGCAGGGGAAGGTAAGAATGCTTTTATAATACGCACTAACGTCGTTTAATGTTGATATCGAGTCTGGAATGTCTCGTGATGGAGACCTTGGCTGCAGTATAGCACTTGCGCTATTTTTTGAATGCTTCTGCATCCTCTTCACTGGGGATCAGGGCTAACCATCGATCCACGATTGTGTGGTGTATTCCGGTGCACTGTGGTATTGTGTGATAATGCAAGGAGTGCTCAGGGAATGCAACTACTACACGACGACAGAGCCTGCCTCGTTGCAGGCTAAATCCATATGCGGCAAGGCAGACACTGAACGGAAGAAGAGAGATTTTTGAAGGAGCAGGAAAGCTTTATTTTCGTGGGCTTTCACAGCTTGGCTACGAAGAATCAAAACACGTCCCTCACGAATGATTTTGTACGAAGGCTCCCTCGTTTAAAAGAGCAATGGTGCTTTGAAGAAAGCGGTGGCTCATCCAGGCTCGCAAGGAAGCCTCTCTGGTTCTTCTTTACAAGTGTATGAATAAATGCAAGTGCCGAGGCTGAATGGCGTTTCTACGTGCCCCGGCTAGGGGCACCATTTGCCCATGTTATATGAAAAGATAGTGGGTCGATCAAATTTCACATTATAGCTTAAGTTCATCGGGATCTGACGTCATAGAGATGTAGGCTTGCTCTAATTCTCCTATCGATACCTCTGTGCCCTTAGCCACTGAGCCAGAAATCGTCACAACACGAACTCGGCATCATAGGTTGCACATATAAGGCTTCCATACTTTCCGACCCTGTAAAGCTAATCCACAAATCGAGATATTCATTTAGCAGAGAGGGCATATTACTCAGCTATAGCGGGTACAACAGCTGGCATAGGCTAGATCCTGAGTTGGAGTGCCACGCAGTCGTGCCGTACAGCGCAAAAGGGATTCTAAAATATCCCCAAATGCCCTTATGTACCCAGATTTATACCTTACTTCGAGTTATTCATACACGAGAAGCCATCACGTATGCCCGGCTAACCGCTTGGTGGAATTGGCGGGCATGGAATCAGGGAAATGGCATAAAGTATTCGTGACCCGCCGGTGTCTCGACACTATTACACCGGCAGCAGCAGTCTGATGAGCATCGATTCCCTCAGCACCACTCCGCATAGCCGTTCATTCCTCCTCATTTTCTTTGTAATAACCACGCCATGTAATGCTTCTGCCTCTTCCTATTGTATTTTTTTAGGGAACTGGTCGATTCCCGTGTATTCCCCAGCCCGCTAGCTGCATAGGGAGCACCTTGTGGTGCTTTCTGCTGACACCCCTGGCTCCTCTATTGTCTCAACACCTGTTGCTTAAAGTTAATTCTTTATTTTTCCCGTAATATCCTCATGTGTGCCTCTTGCAGTGGGCTGCGGCCTGCTTTCACGCTGATCCCTGATGGACGGCCCAACACGAAAGCCACATCCGGGCGTCATCAGCCCTTGAGTGACGATTGAAACTTTCAGAGTTGGGCTTTTCCATTTGCAGGTACAGGTACTTTGAAGGGACCGCCGTAGAGAATGAAGGTTTAAACTCCACTCTCCAGCTGCTCAGCCACAATTTATACCCAAACGGTATCCGGCAAAAGGAACCAGAATGTATACTTGCCAAGAAGCATAGCCCGAAGGAGGGCCAGGACACTTCCAAGAAGAATACGGCAACGTATTGCGTGCCACGAGGATTTCCTAGACAGCAGCAGCACGTATTCCGGACTCTGAAGGATTGCATATGGCGCACAGGCGTGGAAAATGAGGATTCCAAGGCTTTAGGCCAATCGCAGCGGATTTCTGAAGTCTGCTGCGCCTGCCTATTCGTATATGCCTGTTCGAGCCTTGCTAGCTTGAGCTGCTGCGTACATTAATCATTATATTTTCCCCCGTTTAGTTAACCCTCGCTTCCGCTATCGCAGTATTTCTTCTTTCCCTCGGCGTCTGCGCTCTCTCCCGCCGAGTCCGTCCGAATACGGTGGAATTCGCCGCAGGGCGAAAACCCTCCCGACCTCTTGTGTATTTTAACCCCGTAGGTTCTCCCCGCATACGTAGAGGTACATTGTGCACAGCACGCGTCACGTCCTCACACCTCTGCTGCTGTTTGCTGCCCTTTGCTTCTTCTTGCCTCCCTCTTTCTTTGTTAATTGTCGTGTCCCTACTATCGCCTCCCGCCTCCCAACGTGAGAGGGAGGCGGCGCGAGCCAGGCCGTGCCAGCTGCGCGGCTGTCGAGATTGGTTCCGGTTGACGCGCAACGTCTTGCGCATCTTTGGGGAGGTAGTGCCCCTGCAAGTGGCAGGTGGAGGAGGGCTGAGGGGATATTGGAAGATGGCTGCTTCTGCGGAACTCGAGACGGGCAGCATAGAGGATCCAGAGGTGCCCGATGGGCCCCTGTGTTCTGGACGCCCCCAGGCGCATGCCTCGTGGGTCTGTAGCCACTCTGGTCTGAAAGACTGCCGTACAAATTTTCGCGCGGGAGAAGCTTTAATCGGAGAGGGGCTTCAGAAGAGCTGCCGTGCTCTCGAATTAGATAGAGAGCAGAGTTCTCATAGTCTGCGGCCGCCGCCGTCTATTGCCGCTGATGCTCCGCAGCTCGTGGGCAACGCCGAGCAGAGGCGGCACAGTGCAAATCCCAAGGAAACGCCAAACAGTACTAGCAACCTGCCTCTTAGGCTTTCCACAGCGCATCCCCTCATTTGCACTGAGTCATCCTCCACGATTTCCTCTGCAGCTTTCCCCAAGACGTCTATCGCGTCCGCCTTTCCCACGTCACTGAGTCCGCAGTGGCCCTCCTCGTGCTCTCCATCTGAAGCCCTTAAAACCGCTTCTTGTGGTTTGGAGGGTGGCGGCGCTGCTACGTCTGCTGCTGCTCCTGCCAGAGGCTGTATGGACAGCAGGATCTTTCAGACGGCTTCCTCCCCAGTTCCCCCTGCAGCTCAGCTTGCACAAAACAGCCTCCCAAAGCGTGACACAAACGCTATCCAGTTCGATGCTCCTGCACCCCGGCGGCAGAGGCCACCAGTTCCCCCGGAAGGGCAAGAACGCAGCGCTGCTGATTCACAGCAGCTGATCCACCCAGGTGCTCCTGCACAAATGCCGGACGGCAGTGTTGCCCTTTCCGCAAGCACACCAGCCGCCCCGCCTGCAGCCTCTTCTTTGCCCCTCCCCGCCAGCCATCACGGCGTCGCTGCCAACCGGGGAGAAGATTGGGGGTGGCACGAGTTCCACGCCTCAGGCGCAACGCTTGGCACCCCCGAAGAGTCAGTCGTCCACCACTCATACCAAAATACGCGCACGCCTCACCGCATCCTTTCCCCGGAAGCGCGCATGCCAGAGGCCACAGCATGGCCAATATCCCCCTTGCTTGTTGACGCGCCCAGTCGGCTGTCCTTCTTTAAAGCTGACGGCATAGATAGTTCCTCGTCTGTAGATAGGGAGGACGGGTGGCGAGATCTCGAAATGGCCTTTCCTGGACAGGGGGCCCCACAGGGACCGCTTGCGCCTCGCGAAAAGTCGCCCGCTCATAAAGAGGGCCGTACGGGTATCCTGGAGGGGGCCGTCCTGTTGGGGGCCCCTTCAGGGGGGCTTTTTGACGCACCTCCGTGTGCTGTTCGTGCTTCAACGCGGGCTCAAGGGGGGGAGGTCAGCGAGCTGCGTTCGCTGCCGCATGAAGGGGATGGGGGCGTCTGGGCGGGCAGCGCCACCGCCGACAGCGACAGTACTGCGGCTTTCCCCTGCAGCTTCAGCAGCACCAGCAGCAGCTGCAGCAGCACCAGCTGGGGCAGCGGGGACGCCAGCGGGGGTGGCAGCGGCGGCGGCTGGGATGCGTCTTGCACCAACGCACTGGCTCCTTCCCGCTGTGAAGCCGGGCATATTTACTTTGGCTCTCCTGACCTTTGTCCGTGCCTCAGTGGGAAGGATTTAGAGCAGGAAGCGCTCAAGAGCCAGCAGGATGGTGGCCTCCCCGCAATTGACCTTGTTGATCATGAATTCACGAGTGGCGACGCTGCCTTTAGGGGGTGCCCCTGGCTTGGTAGCGGCACCAGCGTGATCAGTGCTCATGCAGAAAATTCGCAGTCTCGGCTGAAGGAGGCCTCTGGTAACAGCAGCAGCAGCAGCACGAACAGGAGCCACAGCAGGAGCAGCGGTGGGAGCAGGAGTCACGAGAAAGGACAGAGGCCAAGGTCTTTCCGCACAGGTGGGAAAGGCACTGCGATGGCCGCTGCAGAAGCAGGATCAGGGAACGCAGGGAAAATCGCGACTCGGCATTCTGCCAAGCCTCGGCTACAGGCGGAGAAGGCGGGCAGCAATGGCAGCAGTAGCCATTTTTCTGTTCGTTTTCTTGTGGATGAGGACGTGGACAGTGGGTATCTTAGCCGACCGCGACAAAGGCAGCGCCCTGCGCCTTACGCTTTCGCTATCGGGGAGGAGGGGCAAACGCACTCCAGGTTCAGGGTGTCTGGGCGGCTACTTCGCCGGGGTGTCAATCAAGAGCAGCCTGGAGGAAAAGCGGGAGGGCGTGCGGAGAGAGTGCTCGCGAAACTCACGGAGTCCGACATAGCGGAGGGACAAAGAAAGCAGCGCCTTGCCGAGCCGATGCGGCGAAGGCTTCTGCTGCAGTACACAGAACTGCTGCGGAAACTCGATGCGGCAAAGGTAGATGCAGTGAAAAATCAAGATGCAGCTGGGGACACATTCCAGCAAACGCTGGTTAAGGTGATGCTGGCCGGCTCGAAGCTCAAGGCACTGCAGAATAGCGGGTAAGGGCGAAAACGAGATGCCGTCGAGGTCTGTGCGCCGTTTGTAGAGATGCAATTGCTCAGTTGCCCGCCCAGCCGCGTTTGTAAGGCCAGTCGATATGAGCAGAGAAGTGCTTGACGATAGCCGAAATGCTGAATAGCCACGTCGTTGAAAGCAGCCTGCTCTGATTGGCAGCTTGCATATTCAGTGGACCACCACACACACTACGTGGGAAGAGGGCTTTGTGAAGTGCTAGGCCCCAACGGGCTTGATAGCCAGGGCGAACTATTCTTTTATTCAAGAATACCTCCTTTCATGCGTAGCTTGCCTCCTTCTTGTGCTTTTGGCACACTGCGCTTGCCTAGTATATATATTATATGTATGTACGTGCTTGTGCCCACGAACTCTGTGTGGGTTTTTTCTGCAGCTCTTGGCGGGAATACATGGGTGCCTCCGTAACGGACGTCGACTCGGATATTTCGGTTTTTCTTTCTAACTTCGGGACTGATGTTTCAGAAGTTGCATCTCAGGTTGATGCCGCTTGTTCTGTTGCAAATGCTAGCACCAATTGTCTGTGGACTTGCTGGAAGCGGACGGGTTTGGGAGGCGTGTTGGCATCGTTTTTGGTGTTGTACCTCCTTTCTATTGCTGCGGTAGTCGTGTGGCTGCAATTGCATGCAGAAACTCTCAATAGAGCGGCCAAAAATGGCGGCTTTTGAATTGTCGGTTATGCGGGGCAAAGCATCTCTTGTTAGCCTTCACGCGCGCACTGCGCTACATCAACCGGCCAACTGCCGACGTGTTCAATGACGTGTGGTTTTTAATTGTGAGCATGCACATGCTCTGCACTACGAGGCGTTCTGCCTGGCGACGGTGGGGTCGACTCAAGGCGTATGCCTGGTGCACGGAAGTTCGGCAGAGAAAATCCTCTGCTCTGCTCAGCCTATCCAATGCCTACTTGTTTCCCTCCGTAATTTGCAAAATTTTTCCTTCTAGGAATCAGTGTTCTAAAATTCTAATTAACTCCGGTGACGCAGCCCCTTTCCCCCCTCTTTGGCTGAGCGGCGACGGGTTGCCTGAGCGGCTGTTTCTGCGCGTCTGGAGCCCAGCCTCTATGACACGTTGCAACCTAGAATGCCATCGCATATGCAGTTCATACAGAGAGCGCAACCCCGCTTTATAATACGGGAGCAAGAGCGGATAGATAAGACGACAGGCAGACTGAAAAAGCAGATGATATCGAGAATTCAGTTCCAACGAGCACGGTTTTCAATGTTGCATGCATTGTGCATGCGCACACCTTTTGTTTTTCATGAGGCGCGAAAGAAGCTGCGCCTGCCCTTTGTTGCTTGCTGGGCTCCGTGGATTTGCAATGCCTCGGGGCCTCCCTCTCGAAGCGCCGACAGAGGAAAACCGCGAAACCGCAAACACGGTGGAAACCTCTGCATTGTAATACAACGCTTCGCCCTAACGACAATGAACATCACAAGACAAAGTGTGGGACAAGAAGGAAGTTCACCAGCCCTCTCTCTCTCCCGTTGTTTGCTTCCAGAAAGAGACGCACGAGTTCGATGCTTTCTTCAGGGGAAGCACGCAATGGGAAACAAGACCCTGAGCTTCATTACATGCCACTGTTCTCTCGTCCAATGGGGCAGGGGAAAGCAGGAGGTCTAAAAATTTCTAGATCTCTCCTCCCCCATCTTTTTCGTTTCGCGTTGTGAAGTGAAGGAGCTGCAGATGCAAGAATTGGACCCGGGGGAGGGTGGTGGTAACTGTTTTTCTCGCAGCTTCACGGACAGCAACAAAAATAGGCAGGTACAGAACTTTTCGTTCCAGTTTCCTCCTACCCACTGCGGTGTTTAGTCATTTGAAAGAATACCGAGCAGCACAGGGTGAAGGCAACTGCTGCCAACAGCGAGGAGTCACACCATTTTCGCTACTGACCTCCCCGCAGAAGCTGGAGCACGCTGACGATGGATCTGCTAAAAAGTAGGCTTTTCATTAAAATCAGAAAGCATTCAGACAAACAAACGGCTAAAACGCCAGTAGAGAGGGGTGATTTAAATGCGGCCCTCGACAGCAGATATTGGTCGCAGCCACGAGGGAGACACACTGCACCGTGTGTGCCCCTCTTCGCATGAAGCACAACGCCTTTAAGAACAGTGGTAGGTGCAGCGCTACTGTCAAACGGTGCTGCAAGCCACGAGCTCGAGCAGCTCGGCCTTTTCTTCGCTCATCCTTTGATTCGCTACCCAACGGCCATATTGGTGGCTGTCTATCCGGCACACCTCCACACACCTGTGGGCACAGCGGGCAAGGCAAGCACAAGAGGCTCCGTGAATACAAGCGGGGTAGCTTATGTACGTCCAAATATACGAGCAGCGCAACAGGGAAAATAGGAGGGGAAAAAGCGTTATCCCATGAGAAGACAACAAGGATGAAAGCGGCAGAAAAGCAAGCCGGATGGATACACATGCACAGGCAATGCTATACACTGAGCACACCGAGGTAAAGGGTGACGTCGCTTTCGAGTTCAACGCCAACAGGAGAACAAAAATTCACAAGAAAGGCCAGAGAAAAAAAGTTTTGCTCACTTGAAGAACCTGGGAGCATCAAAAGTTCCGTCTTCGTCTGCGGTTGGTTGGGCATGACGATTGAGGATGGAGAGGCAACCCTCGAAAGAATTGCAGAGCAACTCCGACTCATGATACTTTAGCAGCCCTAAAGCCACTTGGAAGCAGTATGGCTGCGGAAAAGGAAGATCCGATGCGCAGAAACAAAAACTTGAACTGACTAGTGGGAGAGCAAGCGCCATGCAAGGGAGCCAATCGGTCAATCGCCAGAGAAAAACACCACACCTCTATAGTATAAACATTCACCGCTCGTTACATGCATATGCATGTAGCTAGGGGGGAGCATAGAGAGCACGCAGCTCCGTTACATATATATATATGTATATACATACCGCTAGCTATACACTCATGTGCATGAAGAAGGGTCTTATATGCATATACACCGCATGTGGAACGAAGAAAACAGCAGCAGCTGGACGCGTGCTGTTAGCATGATACTCGAGCGCCAGTTGATCTCCCTACCCATTTAATTCCCCAAAACGTTGAAAATACATGCTTGTACACTTGCATAAAAATATGCGTGTTAGTAGTGGTGAAGCCTCCCTTATCATCTGGGGCTTTCTGTATGTGCGCATGCGTACCTCTCCCATGAGCAAGACGCCGTCCCAAGTTCGGCACAGTGTTGCAAATGGCAAGGTTCTGCAGAAGAGTGTCTCCATCCACCTCATGAGATACAGATCGGGGATGACTTGCAGGCCTGCAAGATGCCGGTAGAGATGCGGCAATCGCAGCCTTAGCATCGACTCGAAGAAGTCAAACTTGAGTGCAATGGACCGTCTGTTGCAAGGGAGTGCCGGACAGAAAAAATCCAAGAGATGGAAAGACGGCAGCAAATTCGCAAGCGCAACGAACGCCAGATCCAAAGGCAGGAAGCACAGAAGCATTGCGGCCAGGCAGTCCATGCCACGCACGTAGCCCACGTCTGGCCTGCATGCAACACAGCAAGAAGCATAAAAATGAAGCTATCCAATTTTTGACGCACCAAGGGCCTGCTGTATGTTTGCGGCCCTATACATAGCTATACACATATACATCTGCACATATATGTCCATATCTATACATGTACATACATACACTGTCTGTCCGTCTTTCTGCTGGCACTAGGGGCCCTTGCACATCAACAGCGCCCGCACCGCACCGAGACGCGCACAGACACAGCGCGCAAATAGCCACGGCCTTACTGACTGCCGCGCGAACAAGCACGCTGCCATGCACGTCCTACCTGTACAACACGTAGGCTTCCAAGAGGAGGCGAACTCCCTCCCCAATTGTGATTTCGGCTTTTTCGCAAACACCGCCTCCGGGCGAAGGCGCAACGACAGGGAGGCCTGCTGGCGATTCAACAGCTGCCAAGCCGCCACTTCCCACTTCGGCAGCAAGGGAGGCAGACCCTGCGGGGAAGGCGCTCATGCCCCCCCCAGGAGAGCCTCCCGAAACGTTTTTCTTCTCCCTTTCAACGGTTGCAACGCTCAGCGTGCCGGCGCTACGCATCTTGCAGGAGCCTCTCGAGGGGCCGCTCGCGCCATCAACAGACGAAGGCCTTTCCCTAGACCCCCCGCCCCTCCCTGTCCCCGTGGAAGCGCCTGCTGTCTCCTGAAGCGAAAACGCCTGCCGCGGGGGATCGAAGAGCGCCGCATGCCCCCGATTCTTGGGATGGAAAACGGCGGCAGCCCCCCCAGGCAGAGGGGGGGGGGGCCCCCTTTCGGCGGAGCGTTCCGTGCCTTTTTCAGAGGTGGCCTTAGAAGAAGCCGTCCGACCACTCTCCTTCGAGTCTTGAGGCAACACCCACGCCCTTTCGAACCTTTTAGCGTCTCCCGACAGCTGCCTGGGTAGCGGTTTCGGCTTGGGAACAAACGGCGCACCTCCCGCAGCCTTCGCCACTGCCAACGCAGAGGAGGAAGGCACTGGTGCCCCCCCGGCTCCCCCATTCCCCTGCTCCGCAGCGGCTCCTCGAGAGGGAGAGACTCCCTTCTTCTTGGAATCTCCCGCCGGAACGGCCACAGGCGCAAAATTATCGGCAGACATATCTTCTGCCAAAGCCCCCCCCGCCCCTCCCTCCGCACTGCCCATGTCTAGATCCCCGCCGTGCGAAAGCGTTCCCTCCTCCCGCAATTCATCGAGGGCCGTCGTCAACAGGAGGGGCCCCTCTCCCACCTTGCGCGCCATAAGATACGGAATGCCCCTTATCGGCAACGTCCTCAGTGCCTCTAGAATCGGGCTGGCTCCTCCGGGAGCTTCTCCTACGGCAGGCGATGTAGGAGGAGCGACCCCTCCCGTCGAAAACGGCACACAGTTACTCGTACTCGGTAGCACATAGCCACTCGCATAATCGAGAACCCCCCCAACTCCTGCAGGCCCTTTAGTATCGCCAGGCGGCCCCTGAGAATCTTCTGCTGCTGCTGCCCCTGCTGCTGCTGCCCCTGCTGCTGCCCCTACTGCTGCTGCTCCTGCTGCTGCTGCTCCTGCTGCTGCCCCTGCTGCTGCTGCTCCTGCTGCTGCTGCTCCTGCTGCTGCTCCTGCTGCTGCCCCTGCTGCTGCTGCCCCTGCTGCTGCTGCCCCTGTTGCTGCTGCCCCTGCTGCTGCTGCCCCTGCTGCCCCTATTGCTGCTGCTGCCCCTATTGCTGCTGCTCCCCCTGCTGCCCCTGCTGCTCCTACTGCCGTTCCGCTAGAAGCCAGCAGACCCCCTGCGGCTCCTGTTGCTGCAGAACTGCACCCGACGACGTCGGAGGGGTATTTCGCGAGGGGCACCCCCGCATGCAGCCCCTCGACGCCGGCGGCTCCTCCTGCAGTTCCCTGCTGCAGTCTGCCCAGCTGAATGAGGGCATCCAAGAGCGGCACGCCAATGTTTTGTTCATTGCCAAGCGCGATGAGCCACATCTTTCCGCGTAGTTCGCCAGGAAGCCCGCCGAGCCAGAGCCGCACGAAAGCGGGATGCGTGGCAGTATCCATCCTTCTTCCTCGATCGAGACTGTAGCGACCAACCCACGTCGACCCCAGATGGCTCAGCTGTATGTAGGCATTTGCTTCCGCAGCAACAGCGCTGCCAACTGCGCGAGTCTGCTGCGCGAGAGCAGACATGTTGCCTTCGGAAGACCCCCCCGCTGCCCCCCCGATCCAGGAGGAGCCGCGGGAGCGGCGACATCGCCGGCTCTTGAAAAAGCAACTGTCTCTCCGGAAGGCGTGCAAGGCCTCTTCCTGCGCAGCGTCCTCCGGATTCCTAGCAGCACAGCCCGACAAGAGGCCAGTGCAGCCCCCCAACGCAGATGGGAGTGAGGCGAGTTTCCTTAGCTGCCTGGAGGTGGAGCGGCCCATGCTGACGGCCAGCGTGGCACTTGCTTGAACCCCCTTCCGAAGCCGCCTCATAGACACCGTGTCTCGCCGAAAACACCGCGACGCAGGAGTGCTCCGCTGCAGCAGCCCGAGTCTGTGGCTGCGGTTCAAGTGCTTCAAGACCATCGACCGCGGAAGCCGAATCAGCGCGGAGGTTGTCGTCGTCGCAAAAGACACAAACACCGCAAGAGGAGAAGGCCGTGAAGGCGCCGCAACTGGAATAGCCTCGCACGTCCAACTGGCATCCCAGAAAGGCAAGACTTCATCACGCCACACTTCCAGTTTCCTTGCGGCGGCTGCCTCGCGTCGCGCCCTGCTTTCGTTGAGGAGGCAGAGCCGCTTCTGATGACTCATTTGCTGCTGCTCCTGCCGCAGCCGCAGCTGCCGCTGCAGCTGCTGCTGCGCCACTTTTTGATGAAAAAAGGCTATCCACCGCGTAAACGTAGAATTCGAGAGGCCCGCTGCAAAGAGATCCAGGCGACGGGAGAGGAACTGCAGACTGACACACCGCGCCTCCATTTCATCCGTCAAATCAAACTTCTTTGCCGTCGTGTACAGACACCCCACGGTAATATCCACCAGCTCTTCAAGCGCCAACGAACTCGGCGGCTGCCTGCTGCTCGACTCTTCCGCGCTGCTATTCGGGGCACTCCACAACAAGAGGCAGTGATCCGGTGTCACCCGGATAAGCCTGCGCTTCATGCGACCATTTCTACAAAGCTTCACAAAGACTGACCCCTCGACAAACAGCGTGCTGTCTATACACTCCATCGCGTCCGCGCCGCTGCCCTCCTCTCCAGTGGCCAGAACGCCTGACGCATCAGACGTCGAAGGCGGATTCATCAGGCCCCCCAAACACACCAACCCGCCTGCTGCCCCCATGCTGCTGCTGCTGCTGCCGCTGCTGCTGCTCTTCTTGCCCCCCCCCCACATACCCATATTCTCCGTGGCACCTCCTCCAACGCCGCTGTAGTTCTCACTTCGCGGCTGTGACTGCTGCAGCAGCTGAGAAGGCGGCGAGACTCCGCTCTCCGAAACTCCGCGGGAAAAACTGCCAGGCAGATGCCGCAAGGCCCGCGGATCGTTCACCAGCCGGCTGTACACCTGAACTCATGCCGACACACATTACCTCGACAACACCCCCCATTCCTGGCTGCAGACAGACATGGCATAACGATTCTCCCGATGCAGACGACAGAAAAACAAATACAAGCGCGCACACCCATAATCACACACCTCACATCCACCCGCCTACACGAGCTTCCCACTTTTCCCTTTTCCTGCTTATGCAGTTTCGATCTTCCCAAACGCGAGCCATCCAAAATGCGCTCTTCTAAATATAGGCCCCCAACCAAACTCTATAGAAGACAGAGAACTTTTGCCGTCGCCTCTGTAGAGACCATAGTCTGCGTCGGCGACAAAGGGGGAAGCAGCGCACAAGACAGGCTAGACCTTCCCTTCTCTCCCCTTCTTCCCGCTTGCGTTTCTGCACACTAGATACACTACGCGCAGATTTACCCTGTCCGTATCCGTAATATTCAGTCGGAACTCGTGAATCACGACGCGGTCGTACATGCAGTCAACGACTTCATCGGGGAGCTGCGCGCCTCCGGCTGCCACGATTTTTCTGAACTGCTCTTTCGTCATCTTCCGCTTTACTTTTGGATTGTGTCTGTCCGTGTGCAGCATCAAAATCGCGTAGGCGAGGAAGTGAACCGTATCCAGGTCCAGCCCATGCTCTTCGTTGTCTCGCACGTACAGTGAGGCAAACCGATACAAGAGTCTGTACACCTGCTGCGCCTCCCCGGGAGGCCTAAACTTCGAGAGAAATTGACGCAAGGCTTCATCGATGGAAAGACCTCGATAGTCACACAAAGAAGCAAACGACTGCAGAATCAGCATCGAGAAGGAACTGCAGCCACCCAACACCTCCCCGACCTGAGAAAAAACACAAGGGGAACGGCAGACAAGCCACCGCATGCATCTTTCCGCGAAATGCAGAAGAGCAACCACACACAGACAAGCCGCAAGAAGCCCATTCTCTCTGCAGACAGAAAAGCGAACACGCTGTGGCACTCGCATCACGAGAGACCCCCACCCACTAGCACGCACTGGCGACTTTAACAACAACATCAACAACCACCTACCACAACAACCACCTACCACAACAAGCACCACCACAACAAGCACCACCACAACAACCACCAGCGCAACAACCACCAGCGCAAGAACGGAGGGCCAGTAAGCGATACAGAAAATCGCATGTAGCTCCTCCTCCCCTCCCCCCACCCCCATACACATACACAGACACCCTCGCGTACATACACTTGAACACACACACACATACATATATATGCAGACTCACCTTTTTCTTGTCTAGCCCCGGGGTTTCGTAGAGAAACCTGGCAATCGCCGAAGGGTCTTGACTGTCGATGAGCTTCCTCTCTCCGAGACACTGCAGAGCGGCATGGATTCCTTCCTTGTTGAAAAGAAGCACTGCCTTGTCCACAGACGCCTTGATATCCGCCTGTTTCTTGAGGGCTTGCATCATCTCACAGTGCGTCCGACCACCCACCCGCGCCTCCCCCCCTGAGGGAACGCCTCGCGTCGAGCTGCCCCCACCCCACGCACCGTAGCCGCTGGAATGCCAGCGATAGACTCGCGCTGGAGTGCCGCTGCTGCCAAGGCTTTCCAGCCGCGGCAAGGTGCCACTCCGCGCATGCACGCAGTCACTCGCCAGGCTAGGAAGACGAGATCCACAGGCAGCACTCTGACTGCCGACATCGCCCCCCTCCGCTGTGCAAGGAGCTGCCTCCCTACGCACAGCCGGCGCTGGAAGGCCAACTCCCCCCCCCTTCGCTGTCGCCGCAGCTGTGGCAGCTGGAGAGACACCGCAAGGGATACTTGGTTCCGAGGAGGGCAACGTGCGCGGCTCCTGCACGCTCGCGCATGCAACAACACCCTCCTTCTCCGGAGCAGGAGGAGGCTGCCGCTCCTCCCCACGGCAGCTGCCTAGAGGAAGGGCCGACTTACTCTCCGACTCCGCAGCCGTCGCAGCAGTGGCAGCCGGCAAGCCGCTCGAAGAAGCACCAAAGCCTAAAAACACGTTCCCCAAACCCGCTAAAAGCGACAAACCAACACTTGGACTGCTCGTAGCATGCCGGCAATCGGCCGCAGCAGCAGCAGCACCACCACCACCATGAGGCGCCTCCGAATCGCGACCTCCTGCAGAAGCAGCATCGGGGGTGGCTGACGGCTCTTCTGGAGCTTCTGAAATTGCTAACGCTCCTGTCACCGGTACTGCTCCCACTGCTGTTGCTCCTGTCACCGGTACTGCTCCTACTGCTGTTGCGCCTGTCACCGGTACCGCTCCTACTCCTGCTTCTACTGCTGTTCCTGCTCCTGCTCCTGCTTCTACTGCTGCTCCTGCTTCTACTGCTGCTTCTACTGCTGCTGTTGCTCGCGGTGTCGCCGCCATCGTTTCCGCTTCCCCTACGAATGCGAGATCGCGTGCAGCCTTGAGGCCAAACTTTGTGCTCATCGTGGAATCCCCTCCTGCGTGCGTGGGGAGCGCTGTGGCAACGGGTAGCTTCCCCTGCAGCCACTGGGGCGAGTGGACGCTCGTGGCAGCTGCGGAAATCATCTGAGAACTCTCGACACAAAAAGCAGCAGAAGGCGCAGTGCTCGCTGCAACGCTGGCAGGGATGGAGGTCTGCCGGCTTTCAGAATTTCCCACGGGTTGGTGGCTGCTGATACTGCTGCTCCTGCTGCTGGTCTCACAGCTCACTGCGCTCCTGCTGCTGCCGCTGTCGTCTACGTCACCGATTCCGCTGCTCCCGCTACTGCAGCTGCTGAACTCTTCCTCGTTCTCCCCCGTGGCACTCCGTACAGATGTTGCTGCGGTAGCAGCGTGGCAGGCAACCGCCTCAAACATACGCGCACGCAGGCGCTTGCCGGTCTCGTCGCCACTCAAGCGCGGCAGTCCGCGAAAACGGCTCCACCGGCCGCTGCCACTGCTGCTGCAAACGCTCCCGCAGCCACTACTACTGCCACTGGAGCATGACGCCGCGGGTGGGGGTTCACCCCTCTGCAGCTCGGATGGCCGCAGATTCATGGCTGATCTGGGAATAAACAAACAGAAAGATCAGCCGAGGCTCCGAAAGGTGTACAGATACCGCAGTCGTCAGCGCGCAGTGCAAAATATAGGGTCTCTGCCACCGAGTGAGTAGGCGCAACGGACTGGACACCGCACGGGCCACTAGCGTAAATTAGTTTAATCGATATTCCCAATATATCGCGTTGCGAGAGGGCGTTTCACCCTTGGCTTCAACTTCGCGGAAACGCTTGAGGCTAGAACGGAAGGATTCTCCGTCCAACGGCCCAAGGGTACGGGGGGGCGGACGAGAGAAAACTACGATCAGAGAGCCTCTGGAGCTGATGTCTCAGACACATACTGCCCATAATTCTGTCCTAATCAGCGAGTGCAAGCAACCTTAAGAGGAAAAAAACATTGCTCCACCCCGCACAGCCCCGGGCTCCTTTGGCCGAAGACGCGTTGTGTTGGGCAAAGCGAAAAAGGCAGCCCTAACAACGCTCTACACCGGGTGATTTCTACTGTCTACGCCAAAATACGCCTAAATCCATCTGTGGGACAAGGGATTTTGCGCAGATCGTTCAGCTGCTGTGCAAATGCTGCACCGCCGCCACCAGCAGCGGCAGCAGCCTGAAGCTCTACTTTTCATGGACCAGGTGCCTCTCGCTCATCGCGCACGCACGGGGTATGTGGCAGCCGTTCGTAGCCTCTTGCCGTAGTGCAATTTGCCACTGCTCCTTCAATTATATAAAAATACCGGAGAATACAATCTACGAGAGAAACGCGTGCGAACCATCAATTGTACGAAGCCCTTCTCGTGCCCAGAGCTGTGGTTTGCAGGAAAGCAAGAGGCACAGAGCTCGCATACCTTCCTGGCAAACATTGCCTGATATGTTTGACCTTTTACGTACAAGCAAAATCGTTTATATTTGAAGCATCAGTCTCTTCATGTGAAAGGGTTTGAATGTATGTAAGCGTCGTTGCTCTTAGGGATACTAGCTCCTGGAGTTCATCATGAATACCTTTATCGTAAGATGACCACCGGGCGGAGTGATGCACATCCGATGATAGAGCCTCACTCTAGGCGGTTTTTTGGGCATTGTTGAGCTCGTGAAGGCGTGCAAGCACGCATGGGTGCTCATGTGACACTATATATCAGTAATCAAAATATAGTGGGCTGAATTCCAACGGGGAGGAGCGGAGCAACGATACACTAGCACCTACTAGAGCCTCTACCCCAATACAGGGATTTTACTACAGCTCTGAAGGAGGAAAGAGTAACTGGAACAATTTAACAGTTGGTAGAATTGGCTGCCGGCGTTAACTCACATGGAACCAACTGGAGGGCTGTCAATTACAGCAATACATAGAGCGACTTTAGCTTTTTCCTTTATACCATGGACGCCTCGCTGCATAGTCAAAAATACAAGCGAGTCGTTCCAAATGCACACAGAATTTGGGGTGCCTAGAGTGATCTTTCATTACCGCAAATTGAACGCTCCACGAATCTCCACAGGGGAACACTTAACCCGTCCACACAGACATAAGAACTGATTAAAATTTACAAAAACCTCCAGCCCTCGCCTCCATAGGCTCACAAGCGTTCCAGACACGAAGGGAAACGGAACATATTGAGTGCAAGTAGCTGGACCTTCGCGCACCCCAAGCATCCACTGCTACTTGCACATAGCACCTAGCACACATGCACACAGCATTGCACCTCCTTAAATCGTGCTAACAGTGCTTCACAATACATAAGGTGCATAAACAGACAACCCCGTTTATCAATTCCCTACTAATTCTCATCCAAACATAAATAATGTAGTGGAAGGTGTTGAGGGGTAACTTATCCTGATGAAAGAAAAACGCGTCATCGGAATCGGCTAGAGGGCGAAGACCCAGATTGTGGCTTTCGCAGTCTCAAAGGCATCGGGGATATTGTTGTAGAAACGCCGAATCATGTGCTACAAACTGCAGGATTTGCAGTTGGACCCCCTACATAGGGCACGAATGCGTGCAGTGCAAGTAGTTGAACTGTATCCCGGGGCACATCAAGTTAGTCGAATGCCTCCTGTCATTTGCCGAGTGTAGAGGTAGAATCCAATGGCGGCTGCCCTTAGTTAATCTTTGGGTGTGAAGGTCGACTCGCTCTCACCAATTTGTACTGATTGCTGGCTTTGGTAGCATACAGGTTGTACGAAGCTATTGTGGTAATACAGCAGATGCGGGAATCCGTTAATGCATATGGTGCCCTTACATCTAAATTTATAACTCATGAACTCGTATAGAGACGACGTGCCAGGGGGTATTCTCCTTCCGCACCTCTACCTTCACATACGTCAAGAATCTGGCAGGACGGAGGAAGACGGCTTGGCATTGCCTCTGCACTACCTACACTGTACCTCAGAAAACACAGAGCGTACTGCACAGTCTGCAGCTCGATGTGCGATGGACTCTTCGTGGTATGTCATCCGTACCGCTCGAGTTTTTGCATGGTGGTACGTGCCTGCATACGTGGCCAAAATTGATGAGTAGCGCGGGAGAGGCAGGTCCAGGGATGGCTAACTGGCAGCAGGCTCCGTTGATAACGGAATGGCAACGCATGGCTACAGTTTCCTAGTTGCCACTGTGGCGAACCAGCTACGCACGCTATTCACTCTGCTCAGGAGAAACCGGACGCTGATTTCGAATCCAAGACTATTTCCGACCTTCAAGAGCACATATTCGCATTTAGGTCTTCCTCAGGTTGGAAGGGAGTTATCTAATAACCAAACAGTGGTGGCTTCCTCATACATTAGAGTTGCTACCCTCCGCTCATTTGCACAAATACTGTTTTCTTTACAAAGAGACAATTCATGCCAGTCAATAAAGTAATGCTTCTAGTTAGAAGAGACCTGCTCATACGATTTACGCAGAATATCGCGAAAGGGCGCATGAGTTCAAAATTTGAACTAATCCTATCGCTGGAGGCAAAATTGTACTTCGCTTCAATATGTGTGGCGTCAGTCGTTGGAAGGCATTGCAGGGATTAAGTTCCTTTCTCGTAAATGACAGTTCAGTCTGGATGATTCAACTGCGTTGAGTGTACAATATACGCGACCTGCATATTTCAATCGACTGTAAATGTACCCTGCTCATTGGCAGCCTTCGTTTTTGTTCTATCGCTGATTGCTAATTTGCTATCTCCTGTTATGTTCAAAATTTTCAAACTTGTCTTCCACAATTCAATTTTGAATGTCTTTCGATTCCTCATGAGCTTTCCCCTCCCAAACGCCTTTTCATGGTTTCTGCTCCTTTGCTTCATGAATAGCAGAACACGAGGGGTGCGAGTTCGAAATGACGTGGGTGGGCCAATTCTACATCCATCTATCATTATTTCAACGCGAAGGAACGAGACGATTTATTTCAGATATGCAGGGAGTTGTGGGAGCCTGGAAGGAGCAGCTTCATCTCGTAGGGGAAATGCCGTCTTTTGGTGATTTCTATCAGCTTTCCTTTAATACAAAAATTCCAGGGCTGCCCAGGTCATTATGGCCTTCACATAGTGGATGCGTCGTAAGCAGGGAAACCAATGAAAACGCGTATCCGTGGCATCGCCAGTCATGCTTCAATGATGCAGGTTCGGAAATCCCCTACTGGCTGAGACTACAATATATAAACATGAGCGGGACGCTCCGCATGCCAAGCTCGTGGTTCAGCAGCACTGCGAAAACAGGAACTCCTGTCAGGTATTGCGAATTCACAAACGTAAAAAGCACAGAGGGGGAACAGATGTGTGGGTAGGTGCTTGTGGATGCAACAACATTTGGAATCCTGCAATCTGTTGGCATCAGCGAGCCCAGATTAGCAGTAGTATTTGCATGTCTTGAGCCAGCGCGAAATGGACCTTCTGACGATGGTAGGCATCAGCAGATAAACGTGTGTTAAGGCGTTTTATCGTTGCGGGCTTAGAAGACGAGATGGAGGCGGATCATCTGAACCAGGGCGGATGGAACATCATGATCCACAGTGGTTAGCAAATACGCCCAAAAGGGCTGTTGTCAAAAAATACTACAAGAATGTGCATACTCGTTGCAGCAAGGGATCAAGCTGATGTTCAAGAAATGCGGAGTTCTTATGTCCATCTTGTAGACATGTATGTCCAACAATTCAGTTGTAGCTTGCCCTGTGTCCTCCTGAGACAAACGCTTGCCCTGCAGCGATGCGGAATGCGATAAGACGCTGGATATGGATTCCGACATCCAAACATTGGAAGCAGCAGAAAACAAGTACGTAAAGGAGCATGCACAAGCCATAATCAGAGGCAAAAACCACAGGTTCCAGGTGTTCTGCAACGGAGCAGTGCAGTTTTTTGATTGCACGACCCCATAAAATCATCTTATGTTCCTCTGATACGTACATTAAACCGCGAAGAGAGCCGGGCGTAGTGGTAAGTAGATCATGCATCCGTGCCCATGCGGAATGCAATATGTATTTCGCTAATCGATCTATCAATACAACTGCTCATGCAGATTTATGTCAAGGCCTCTCAAGGTTTGAAGTGCTGCAGAATAATTTAAACATGAATAAGCACATAAAATGTTATTTAACAGCATTTGGCACAGCAATGAAACTGTTCAAGATGCATCCAAGTAAGGCAGTCCGACTAACTTGTGCGTGCATCCGTTAGGAATACCGCACAATGGCATTCCAATTTGAATAAAGTAAAACACCAATACTAATGATACTGCTGCCTGGATGCGGTCTGACATGCACACAGATGTCCAGAGTATCTGCGAGAAGGAGGACCTCTTGTCTGAAGCAGAAAATGTGCGGAATGCAGAGTAAGGCAAATTTGATGCTTTGCAGACATCTCTAGTTTCGGACTCACATCACTGCACATTTCCCAGGGAAGCTGCTGAGCAGTGCGTCGCAGCAGGTTGCGACTTTTTCGTCATGTCAACGGTAAACATGTGAGCAAACAAGTACAAACATGGGAATAAGCAAAAACTGACATGTTTCCTAACGCCAAAACATCCCTGAATTAGGATTAAAGGAGCGTCGTCAGACTTTGCTAACCACGTCTGGCTCTGTCGAGGACAGCCAGTATACGTATGTCACACAATCTTGCCATGCAACACATGCGCTTCCGGACCAATAATGCGATGACGACTTGTATTTGTGTAAGGTCCCGTTTGACGGCTTTGTGCTTGGGGAGAGGAGAGGCGCACGAACGATGCTGGCTGGTAAGGCGAGCCTAATCGTGTTGAATCTGCACCCTATGAGACTCTGACGCATGCGACCCACCGCGCAGCTGTTAAAAGCCACATGAGAAGTGGAGCTATTGCAGAAAATTAAAGCGAATTCGCAGAGCCGACAATGGAAGGGAAAAGAAAAGAGACATGTGAGAAGTCAGCAGACAGCTCACCTCCCCGCCTCGGGCACAGTACTGAGCTCCCTAATATCCCTATTTGGTTGTCATTCCAACGGCACTATCGAAAAAAATGTCATGGGCTGTTTCAAGCGACGGCAAAAAATACGAAAGCCGAGCAAAACTTTCCGTCTTTACAATTGGTGACCATCCATATGATTCATCCAGAGGTAGTGCCTTTTCTGTGGCGGCACCTACCACCCAGTTAAAGCTACTACCAAAAAGGAAATGTCCACCAGAACACAGGACCTACGGTCATCATATAGAGACCTGGAGTTCCCATAAAACAGATTTCGCGCGAAAATTTGTACGCGCACATTGCGGCAACGGCTACACAAGAAGATAGCTCACTTAAACCAAAAGGACTACTGCCCTCTACCATGCAATTCTAGCCATCTTCCATTGAATGAGACAAAGTTCTGGTCTGTATTTATATCTATACACGTTTGACTTTGTACGAAGGCTAACAAAACAAGCTACAATAAGCAGTGGTAACTGTCTTCTCCAGTGTGACTTGTGTTCCTTGGCGTGTGAATCTGTTCGCCTTGTTGGTTGACTTGCTCATACGTAGTTGTACGCACCGTCCACCTAACTGCTTCGCCGCTTCCTGTGATTTCGGTAACAACCCGAAGTCCATCCGCAGTCGTAGCGCTTAGTCCGTCCCACAAAACCGAGTGGTGATGGCCAGACAAAATATTCATTCTTTCTGTACAGTAAAAAGACAATAAACTCACAAGACATGGCCACGATAGCTACCCAGAGAAAGCTAACTACTTAAAGCATAGGCGCATATTGTGAATGGACATATATATATATAATGCATGCGCATATGCGTGCAGCCTCATAAGGAAATGCATGTGTACATTGACAAAGAACCGTGTTCCCAAAGAAGCAAGAAGAATTATGGGAACTGTATGATTCCACTCACCTTCTAGATCCTGCAAACTGCTGAGACTCTGCGAACGTGTGGATCTGAATCGTTCTTGTTTGCTTTTCGGCTTTCCTTCTAGGTCCAGCTTTGCATCGCTCTGCGACTTCTGGGCAACCTTCCAACTGAGTAAAGCACAAACACAGAAAAAACTTCATACGTGGCCATATCCACACATGCAAAACATCTCATAAATACGTATCTATGCCAATTCATACGTATTTGTACATGCTTCCCAATTGTGGTGAAGAACTGTAACAGGCCTGCCCATATCTGCATGCATAGATGCACATGTATGTATCTAGATTTATGCATATATTCAGATGTATGACTTTCTTCGAAGCGTCCACTTTATTTCATAGATGCGCATGCCTGCCCCCCATGGATATTCCCCTGCTGTGCCCCCCTTCAGGAGAAGCGAATCGACGAACAGCGCAAGTGGCATACCAGTACTTCGGAGCTGAGCACAAGGGCAGAGCACGAGAACGGAAAGGTCGCCCTCCTCCGCATATCCGCTCTCTCTCTCCCTCCCCACCCCTCTCTCTGTATTTGTCTACTGGTGCCTCCCGCTTCTCGAGTGGGAACACTGAAGGCGAAGCGGAGGACCCTTTGGGTGTAATTAATCCGCTCCCGCCGGTTGGCTGCTCTGTGCTGGATTCCCCGACTAAACGTGAAGGGCTGCCGCACTGCTCAGACGAGAAGGCGCGTTTCACATCTCCCAGCTCCTGGAATGCAGAGAAAACAAAGAACAGAAGGATGCACGCACGGATGGAGGGAAGGGCAACCAAACGATCTTATCTTTGCGTACGGAGTCGTCAACCTTGCGTTCTCTACGGCTACTCTTCGAGAAAAGGGCGCTGCAGTTTGGCGGGCAAGGCGTCCAGCGCAAAGCCCTTTATGCAGATCAAGGAAAGGGAGAGAAAAAAGAGACTGCGTGTGCTGCGTTATTTTTTTAGGATTGTACAGTCTGGCCGCTGAGTTTCAAGTGCCTGTTTGCCCAAAATACGGCATCCGGCAATGACAGAAAGCAATGCTCGGGTGGCAGCACGTCGTAGAAGGCCGCTTTTTGCAAGAAGTCTCTCATAGGCCCCTTCCAGTTAGCAAACAGAAGAACGATGCCTCTCTGCGCCAGCGTCTGTACAAGCCTCTCTAGCATGCGAATAGCGGTTACGTCCATGTCGTTAATGGAGGACCCGTCCATGATGACCACGCGCGTGGTGGGCAACAAGCAGTGCAGCACGCGAGACTCGAAAAAGTCGCTGTTGCTAAAATTTAGAGATGCGTCAAATCGCAAAATACGGATTCCTGAAGCAGCAGAGCAAAACCCCAAAAGCATTTAGAGCAGAGAAAGGAATGGCGAAAAAGGGCATGCGGACGTGAGAAATCTTCGGCCCATTATGAAATGCATCAGTAGGTAGAGCCAAAACCCAGTCTTGATTGCGGAGCACACACGCGCGCACGACCAGATATATCTAAATTTACATACATATATATATATCGGCATACGTGTATTTATGATGACCCCTGAAGATATGAATACATGAACGTGTACATGTGTGTAAATAAAACTGAATTGGCACAGGTGGACAACTAAGCTCTAGGCAAGGTTTAGTAATATAGCTCAAGCCCTTGAAAGGCTGACGGCAAAATGTTGATTCTTTTCCATGCACTCTTATGTATTGCCGAGCTGCTATGCATATGCCTCAGGCGCTCAGCATCTGCGTTGCTTGATCCTTACCTTCCTCCTCAACAGCCATGGGAAATCTTCTGACATTTCGGTAGATGTGCGTCGCTGGGAGCCTTCCCAAGACGGAGAACGCTGGTCTCGCCGTTTTTCTTAGCAGCCAAAGTAGAGAAAGGACAATGGATGCTAAGATGCCTTCCATAGCCCCGAAGATGATCGTAATAAGGAAACAGACCAACCACAGTAAAACGTCAAGTCCGCCTGCAAATAACAGCGTCCAAGCCGACGAGTCCTGGGTGCCGAAAGCCGACTTTAGTACGTGCACGTGCCAGGCTTTTTTTTCCCAAGTAAACGCGTTGGTACTTCGATGCATGTTATACCTATTTACAGGGATGGGCGTGGTGGGTGACAGTACACAGAGAAAATTAGGCTTCTGGAGTAAAGTCAGTAAAACGTGTGTGTTTCTGAAGGCTTTTGAAGTGCTTGTGATTGATGTCGCACCAATTTTCGCGAGTCGAATGAGCTCCTTGAAGTCCAGCATTCCATACACCCCAAACAGAACCACAGAGGCGAGGACTGCGTTAGGGAGGGCATAGAGCAGAGGTGTCATGAAGGAAAGGGTGAAGACAATGATAAGCGCATTGGAAATCTGGTGAAGCTGCGTGAAGCCGCCAATGGAAGAAACCACACATGTGCGTGAAAGAGAGGTTGCATTTGGAAAGCACTGGAAGCAAGAACCGATGAAGTTGCAGCAGCTCAATGCCACCAACTCTTGGTCAGGGCGAATGCTGTACGTCTGATATCACCCAAGCAGCATATTGGCATGCGCGAAAAACACACACACATACACATACAGACATGTGTTCAACGGCCCCGAAAACGTCTGCTCGTAAGTGTGCGCCACTGCTCTGGCGTTGCATGCGATATCCAGCTGAGACTTCCGCTCAGCAGGAGGCCGATTCCATGAATACGGCGGACACCAAAGACTCTAAATGCATTTATCAAGATAGTTGAGTGTCTTGAAGTACACGTCTGAACAAAGCAGCGCTCTCTGTTGATCTGGGCGGTTTCTGGTTCTTATGCGCTACTGCGTTGCACACACGGAAGATGCACCGCACTTCGTGCAATTACCTTTTTCTGCTGCGTTATTGTCTTTGCGATGGAAATGTGAATCACGAAAAACATGGCGGTCAGGATTAAGGCCTCCCGCAGCATCAGCAGGAACACGTTCTTGTGGACAACTACGCGTTGCCCCTCCTCGGCTGCAGGAGACGCCCAACGCGCACACAGGAAGGGCTGGACTGGCAAATAGATATAAACAATACAAGGCACGCTGAGACAAAGAATCTAAAGGAGTCAGAGGCGTATATCGGTACGCTGGCCCCAGCAAGCGCTCTACGCGTCTGCACGGAGGAGGAAGCACCAAGAGAAACGGACAGCAGATTAAGAGGCAGTCCACAAAGCGCTGGAAGGGGAAGGGAGGGGAGCAGGGAACGAAGGGCAGAGGCAGCAGAATAGGATGGCAATGAGGGTTTCCAGATGTACGAAGACGCGCGCGAAGGCAAAGCCTCGGACTCTACACGCTTCTAGGCATGTTACTGGCAGGTGCAGCGAATGTAACTTCGAATCCGACAGAAGTGGCAGGCAAGAAAAGGCGAGAGGGTTAGCTTCTCGCACAGAAGAAGAAATACTGATGGAAAGCTTTCCTCACTGATCAGCGCGAATGCGGTGGAAAATTGAGGGGCCGTCGGTGAGGGAAACCCCCTGGGAATAGACCCAATAACTTTGACGCCATGAGAGGCTCCAAGGCCCAATCCAGCGGACAAGGCGGTGAAGATGATTACAGTTAGCAGCGGCCCTGGAATGGGGATACACTTAAAGTACCTGTCACCAACGGGTGGAAGCGCAGACTCGCATTGCGTAGAGCAGTGAATACACAAGTGTTCGTGAAGGGCATGAGGAGGCAGTGCACGGGGGCAGGGAGGATAAGAAAGGCCGCATGAAGAGGAAAAGTAATATCAAGAGGGGGCAGGGAGGGGCCAACGCGTCTGTGCCTGTGTGGCGAGTCACCAACCTCCTATTCATGTACTTGCAAACGGCCAGGATGATAATGGAAGCAAGACAGATTCCAACAGAGACCCAATTCGCTTCTTTGATGTGCGCTATGCAGTACCACCACTGTCTGCACACGCATCCCATCGTAGCGGACGAAACCGCGAAGCAGTTCAAAAACGCGCGAGTCCACTGCCTCGTCTAGAAGGCTAGCTAGTCTGCCTGTCCTATTCTTTGTGCCCTCAGGTGGTTGCTACGGTCCCCGTTAGTTGCATTAGTGGCCTCTATAAATAAACCTTGTTCGCGCTCTCGTGTTGCCTGCAATACCTGAGCACTTTGAAGTCCCCGTCTTCTACCTCGTTGGGTATTTGGAGGCCGAACGCGTATTTCAGCTGCGATGTGCCGATGAGGAAAGCACTGGCAGTGGAAAACCCAGAAAGGACGGGCACAGCCAACAAATCCGCAAGGAGGCCAGCTTGCAGCACTCTCATCAGCGCAAACACAATGCCCACACAGACTGCCATTCCGATGGACACAGCGATTCTGCTTTCCATAAGTAAGGACTCGTTGAGTTCTGCCGTCTCAAGCAGTGACATCTGGATCTCCGGCGCAGTTTTGGGGTCATTGGCAAGAGTACGCGATAAAGATATGTCTTCTAATCTTTCTCGTTCCCCTATTATGCGCGTCACGCTCTCGCCCAGCAACAAGTCTTCTATTGCGGACACCCCGACAGCTACATGCCGACCGGTCCCAAATATCATGTAAATCAGCGGGTAAACGAAATTCACATAGAGTCCAAACTGAGGAGGAAGACGTGCCAACATCGCGTAAGACATGCCCTGCGGTATCGCCATGACCCCTGAAACAACAGCGATTTACCGACCGCACAACTGGCCTTATAGCGCAAAGGAGAAAAACAAGTCACCCCAAGACTTGTTGTATACTTTTCGAAAAGCTGGACTATAGGGCGTCTTGTCTCATTATATAGAGCAATGCACAACCGTAGGGGACTTCTACTTCCTATATCAGTGTGGGCCTGGAAGACCGCCCACAGATTCCAGCTGCAATAGGTGCCCCGCACAGCTTGCATGACTCGCACCTTCCGAGATCCCAGCAAACATGTCCGGCAGAAGATAGCTCCATTTATAAGTTCTCAAAACCTCCTGTAGAGGCACGGCAGAGCGAAGGCAGCGGACGGGGGAGAAACGACGGGCGCTCCTCCATAACCGACGAAGTGGGCCACTATGCTCCTCTGGAATGGAAAAATCCTAAGCAAAAGCCAGAAAGGCTCCGGGAAAGGAGTATGGAGAAAAGTGCATCGTAAACTTCACAGTCACGCACGGATCGGGACAGGCCAAGCAAAATAAAACGAGGTGGCCAAAGGCGGAAGCTACTTATGAGGGTGAAGACTAGTCTCCATAGGGAAAAGATCAAGTGAGGGCCCAGGAAATAGTCGAAGCAACGGACTCTGTGAATGTCGTCTTCTGTTAGGGTCTTGCGGGGGAGTGTGGCAGGGGATTTTCCAGAAAGAGTGTCGACCTTGTGGCACCTGAAATAAGAGGGGAAGGCCACTGAATAAAGCAGGTACAAAAATCAGCGCTCTTACATTTAGATCAAAAGCCCGCCCCGGTGCGTGCTCATGTGATGCGGTGCTCATGAAGTATCCGTAGACCGCAGTTTTGTTCAAAACCGCGCAACTATTTCAGAATTAAATTTTTTCAATCTGGTAAATACCCTTACTCCACGTAGATAGCGCTATCTTCCATATCTTTCTGTTCTTTGGGTTGTTTCGTGTACGATCTTTCGGTGTCCCCAGCATGCAGGGCATCTCCAGCTCCCCGGTTGTTGCCCACTCGCCCAAGTGTTGGAAACACCCAACTCCATCGAGGAAAACGGCCACGCCTATTGCCTTCTTTTTCGTCATCCATTTTGTCATCAGGAACCGGAGCGAATCGGCCCGAAAATGGCGGCATCTTCTCAAATCCGAAATCCCTACCGGTTGACCATGTCTTGCCCTACTCTCTCGTGCAAGGACAATTGGAAGCTAGTGTTGTTTTATTTTGATTGGGGAAGATAAAAATTCTCGGAAGGACATAAAGCTCATGGGTTCGTCGAATTGACGAGAAATAATGTACCACTCACAACGCTCAAGGGATACCGTGTGCTGCTCGTTCAGCAGTAGCACACGATCTGGGGTACAGCGACTGTGCTGTTCCTAGCGTCTCTAGCAAGACAAGGAAAGCAGAAATAAGCAAGTAAATCTTTCTAGTATATTAATAAATGTGGGGAAGGGGAACAGCGGATCGGAGGTATGGCAAACAAGAGGAGTGGGCTGTCGCAAACGACAGAATGGTGGTTTAAAAATCCATTTCAGTGGGAGAAAATAGGGGGAAGGTCAGATGCCACGAAGCCATGCTTTCAATCGTAGATATGAAAAACATGAAACAACCATTGAAATGCCATTGCCCTTTTCATTCCTTTGTCCCTATGCCACGGTCACACTCGGCGCTCATGCTGCATGCGGTGCCCGGCCGGCTGATGTCTCGCTGTCGTTGCGGTTTTGTTGCGAGTGTGTTGTTCCTCTTGGTTGATTTTTCCTTCAAATGGTTATAACAAATTCCAAACACCCTTGATCCTAATTTTAATGAAATCTGGCTCTATGCCAACCACGGCCGTGCAGCGGACTTCCGGACTTGGCAAATCGCCAGTGATCGCTTCTGTAGGTCGCGAGCTAGAGGTATCTCTGCCTGCACACACTGGAAAACACAGAAACTTTGATTTAAAACCTTTCGCAATGTTATTATCTTAAAGATACATACCCTTAGTCTGGCAGTGCATGAACCATAGATCGCTGCCCAATGGGGTCCGAAGGTTGGGGCAGCTGCACTGCCTACACTCTAGCACTCGTGGAAAGCACCTAACAACACAAAGCAAAACTCGCCTCTATCGAAAACCTGCTCGCTTTCTCCGCAAATTACATCGCAGAATTCCACCCAAAGCTTTACATATTTCTCGAGATTTGCCCTGTTGTCTCGTAAATTCTAGTGGGCTTAGGCGCACTTCATCAATTAATACCGCAGTACGTGTATTAGCTAAGGAGTAGGAAGGATGGAATTATCGTCCTGTCTAGCTCGTACTAAATTTACTTGCAGAGTGGATTAGCAATATACAATAAGGCAATGCTGAGTGCTTATCCACTGGACGATCTGTGCAACTTTGTAAAGTTTCAGAGGAATCAAAGGGTGTAGCTACGCCAGCTCTACCTATCGGTCTGCCCTCTTCTCGTAAACATTGAGTACAGGGGGAAGGGAATGAGGGAATATGTATGGAGATAGGCAATGATTATTACTCCAGCTTGTATTGGGCAAGGAGATCCTTACTTCCCCCTCAGACCTTTGCGACGAGCTAAACCGAACCTTATCAGCCGGTTACACATTGCATCTAGCACACACGCACACATTACGCCTTCGTGCGTCGACCAGCCAGTACTCGGCTATAATACACCATACGAACAAACAAATCAATTGGTCAATTCAATTTTGTAGTGCACGTACCTAGGAGACTTAATGCTGCTTTCAGTGGAGCTTAGCCCACTGCAGCTCCAATATTGGTGGAGCGTAACAGCTAGGTGGGCGTATATGCGTACTCTAAGCTGTCTACACAGTCATAGCTACTCGCACATAGTACCTAACGCACACGCAGACAAGTTTGTGCCTTATTATATCACACTAACAGTAGAATACAACAAGTACGCCATACAACAGGCAAACCAGCAGGTTATTTCTTTGCTGCTCCTTTGCCAACTACAGCTCAACTCCGTGGATATTGTCTTTTCCTAGGGTGTCGCCAGGGGAGAAACAGGGGTCCTTCCAAAAAGGGCGTTGACCCCATGACACCTGGAATTTGAAGAAGGAACTGACTGAGGCACTTTAGCTGATGACAATCTCTGCATGGCACTGCATACTTTTTTGCTGCATAATGTACTCCAGGTCACCAGAAAGACTGCGAGAGCCTTTTTACTTTAGCATGGTCTCACCATGGCCCAAAAGAACAAAATAATGTGCTTTGTCCAACACGGCAGTGCAAAATACACTGTACAAACGACAGGATTCCCTCTTGCCTTGCGCCATAGTAGGCCGTCCTGAGCGCGCTAAAGCTCCAATTTTTCGCCATTCCGAATCTTGTCAATAGTTGTGCTGCATGAGTGTCACAAACGTAAGGCTCACACAATTTCGATACAACCCATGAAACTCCACACGCAAAGATGCTTGTGCTGCGCAATATTTCACCACTTGAATGTCGGGAGAGCATGTTGGCAACAACGGTGGTGGTGCCCCTAGAATACTTCACTGTCGTGATTAAAGAGGCGCCCTAGCCAACTAACAATTCTGGAATACCAAAATCCTGAAAACTCTTCAAAAGGTACATCAAAGACTGGTGTCTATCTGGACGGCGGAATGACCTCATAATAGATAGTGCCGGCCTTTTCCATGCCCAATGTACGCCATTTAGCTCCTTTTCCCGCTGTGGATACCTTGGCTGGGTTTAAGCAAAGCCTTGAGAATAACAAACAACGATTTGATATTTTGAAAGGTGAGCAACCCATTATGAGAAAACACCACCCACCGCTGTGTCACTAGCAGCAGCCGCTAGGAAGCAGTAATGCTCGTAGTCGGTCAGTGCAATTTCTGAAGGAGAAGTAGGGCGGCTGATAAGCGTCGTTTCTGCGGCGCCTGCCTCCTCTGCTCAGCTCTCAGACTGCGCGTTCTTGAGCATATCAATCACCGATGTAGCGACACCAGCAAATCCAGAAATAAAATTCGGTCGATAAAATACAAGCCTATGGAAGGCCGCAACGTCGCTATGGGTGCGTAAATGTAAAGGCCATGGCTTGGTTGCTTCAATCCTTGGCGGATCTGGCTCGATCGATCATTGCGGCCGAATCGCGGAATCCCACAAAATGTTGCTGGTGTAATGACACACAGCTACTTGCCTGCATGTACATTCGATTGTTTGTCCTGCAACAGCTTAAGCCCAAGCCGTGCGTGTGATAGGTGCTCTCAAACCTTTAGGCTGAAGAGTAAGATGTCGTACATGTAGGCAGCAATCTGACCATCCTTGATGCCTTCATCAAAATGCCTATCAGCTTGCCATCGTGCCTCTGCCGGAACATAAATACGATAAAACGGCATGCATGTAAACTATATCCTGCAAGTCTGAGTGCGGGAAGCCATGCTCTGCCTGCCATGAGGATAAATGCAGACTTGTAAGCAGGCTCGTGTGCAATCAAATGTCTACTAGCCTGCTCATCCGTTTAGTTCGTCAAGTAGTTCCAGTTGGAAACATTGGTAACCTGATTGGTAGTGATTTTCTTGAGAGGCTTGAAGTTATTGCACATGCACCACCTCCCATCTTCTGGGGCACCAGCACTGGGTTATGCCCAATGGTGCTGGCCATATCCTACACTTTGTCATTTTTCCAAAAAGCAGCTACCTGCAGCATCATCTCTTATTCATGCTGTGAAGGCTTCCGATGCCGCGGAACGTTGCTCAGGGCTAAATAGAGGATCAGCTCAATACTTCGCGGCAGACGACCAGCATGCGGCCAGCCTTTTGACAGTTCTTCATTATCTGGCACATCCTTAAAGTCTCCCCCAGGCATTTACCCGCTCCTCTTAGCCCTTAGCTATTTAGTGGAATACAATATTAATGCAGCGGAGGCAGAGACAGCACGGCGGAACGCACGATCAGAACCGTCTTCCTCTACTGCTCTGCTGAGCTACCTGCATTAAAACTCTGCCTCATCTTGTTTAGGCAGCAACTCTACATCGCTAATCATAGATGAAATACGTTTTGTTTAGAGGTCCAGGAGTTGCTCATTTCTAAGGCGTCCTGGCGCACTAGCCTTCACATATGCTGTGTCTGCATAGGCGCTATTCGCTGGTCCACCCGTGACAAGCCTAGGACTGCATCCTGTTACACGAGCTAAACAAAAAAGTCATGGACCAAGCTGATAGAATCCACTTGTGATTCGAACTAGCTACTCACCTGCCCTAGCCTTGCCAACCCTTGTGCTCTGCTGCCCCGTCACAACGCCCAGCCATGGCAGCTGCGCGAACAAGCGAACAGGCAGACTGCTCTTCTACATCGACCCTTGAAGCAGTAGATCCACATGATGCCCAGTGTCGAGTAACCCCAGCAATTCTTGACAATTGATGTGATATCCCTCAGTGCAGAATTGGCCTGTGGTGGGTTCCCAACTGAGGGTCCATCATCCGTAGGCCTCTTCAGTGCACAGCAGCCTGCGTGGTGGCCTTGCCACTTGCCTGCCAAGCCTTCCTTGCTCGCCAAGCAGCCGGCACGCTTCGGCTAGACCCATTCCGTTGTTCGATTGCTCTAGCTTTTTGCATACGCTGGCAGTTCCAGATTATATACTTCAATCGCCCCCAGTGGACGCAAGTGGATTGCAGAGGCTTCTGTCTGGGGCTGCAAAAGAAGCGCGGTTTCTTCTGATGTGCTTTCTTCGCTGACCGTAAACTGTACGCTACGGCCGGTTGCCAGAGCCTCAACGTCTTTACGCTTTCTATCTCGACTTCGTTCTTGTCTCTCAGCCAGAGACGCAGGAGTTGAGTTGAATTGTTTTTGAAACCTTAAGTAATACGTCGTTTGAAGAGGCCTCACCGATCTGTTGCTAAATGGCCGATTGGCTGCGCACGCTGCGACCAGCTGACATGCCGTGTCGGGTAGATCTGAGATAAACCACTGATAAAGCATATGTTGTTCTACGTTGTGGCTTTAGGAAGCCAACGTTCCATGTTTGTCAGTATACCTAGATTCGCCTACTTAAGCTTTTCCTAGTTTTCCCTAAACTCGCTTTTGTGCCGATCCTGCCAGAAACCGATAATCCAGTGTCGTATGGAGGTCTGAGCTGTAGTAATCCCTGCAGGCAGAAGATGTCCTCTCTATGATTGGATTGACATTGATTTGCTTGTCGCTCCAGTAGATGTGCGCGAGAAGGCGCTCGCTTCCCTTCACCTGGGGAAAGAAAAAGGAGGCACATCTTCCACGGACTAAACAAAATCTCCAGTAGTTGCCCATCCTTAAGGCCGCCGTACTTTTCTGGTCGCCAAACCCTCCTTGACGCATATATGCACATCTCAGCTGACAATCTTGTCGATCTACCAGCTCTGAAGCGATTGTTTATCGGGCCTGTGCCGCCCCACCAGGCGTTGTTCCTCCTCTTACTCCCACCGCCAGGGAAATTCCCCTCATCCTATTGCCAAGAAAAAGGAGTAGGTCACCAAATGGCTTCACTGATTCCAAACATCTGTTGTAGGATGACCAGACATCCCACACCGTCTACCGCTGGTGGAGGAATGACACAAGCTTCTTCATCGAACAATGTAATGCTACCCACTGTAAAGGTTCATCTAATGCTTCCGTAAGTACATACCTCACGTCAGACTCTATGCAATTTCGATAGAAATTCAAGTGTTGCCCCCACAAAGGCGCCCCTCTTTCCCTGCCCTAGCTCCTCATGGCGGAACCCTTGAGCCAGATGGGCAGGATGGCAGAGGTACTTCGTGCTACGTCTTGTATTGGATGTGGCGCCATGCGTGTCTCCCCACAGAGATTCTTACGGGTGTGCTACCCCAGGGCCAGCCAGCAGCCATCAGCCGCAAATTCCCAGCATCGCATCCTCCCTAGTAATGTCTTGTGTGCAATGGACCCCTAAGCGCGTGGTTAAAATCCATCAAGACTTTGTATCCAAGAAGGCCTAAGCGCATGGCTGCGAGGGGCCTCCCGGTCCGCACTCTCTACTGCGTCTGTCCGTTTATGGGTGGCTAGCTGGAGAGCAGTTTTGTTGGTGACACCCCCTCTCCCCCAACCGTCTCGCGGGTGGAGTTTTCCCTCTATGCCTTCTGAGGCAGCTCGACAGCACGACCCACTGACTAAGCGTATGTTGCCTGCCCCAATTCCTAGGGCCGAATCGCGCGACAGTCTGATTACGAAGCAAGGCAAGAGAGAGCGGCCAGGCAAATCTGAAGCAACATTCCCTTTTAAATTTCTGGATGAAGAGGAACAAAGAACCGCGAAAGACCTTGGAAAGAAACCGAAGAAAAGCTCTTTTAAGCCCCGTGAAGTGCCCTCGCAGCGCGCATGATACGGACGAAATACGAGGGCTACAGAGATACGTCAAGAGACATCCCCGAAGTAACTTTGCTGAGAAAGGCAGCAAACGACCTTCCCTTATGTGGAGCGTCAACAGGACACCGCATGGATATATATATATATATATGTATATAAAATATATAAAGGTCTAGAAGGCGAGCAGGAATGTATGTATACATATGCTAATATCTGTACGCACACCATAAGACGCGCCCGCGTTCCTGCCAAAACCATGCCCGCGTGCACACTGAGCCAGTAAGAGCAGCTACATGCATGCTGCTGCCCCTTCGTCTCTCTCCACGCCAAGAAGCGCATGCCGCTTTGCTTGCCACTACTGCCTTGCTGGCCATCGCAGGGGTCCAAAGCTCCCGGTGCTCGTCGCTTGCCTCATGGCTGAAGACTCTGCTGCTGCTACTGCTGCTGCTGCTGCTGCTTAGTGTATTCATCTGCTTGCTGCTGTGCTGCGTTGAGGAGATGCCTCATAGTAGCTTGGGCAGTGCTGGGGATATTCCTCAGACTCAAAAGCTGAGGCAGTCGCGCTGCCAGTTGGATGTGGTGTGGAGTTGCCTCCTGCTGCGGCTGCACTTCCGCTTGCGCTTCGCTTTGTTGCTGTTGCTGCTGCTGCTGATGTGCAAGAGGCGGCCATTGACGGGGTGAATGCGGAGAAGCAGCCCCTCCCAGGCTTCCGATGCCTCCAAGCAACAACGGCTGAGAGGCCCACGGATACAATCCTTGGGAAGGTGCTGCGTGCTGCTGCTGCTGCTGCTGCAGCTGCTGAGCAACAATGCGGTGGCGTTGCATCGCAGCGTACCGGTTATGCTGCAAAAGCAAAAGCTCCATCTGCGGGTCTATCGCCTGCCGTTGTTGCCGCAGCAAAAGTTCCTGTTGGCATCTCTCCTGCAAAGCTCTCAGGCCGTCTGCCTTACCGAATAGCTGCTGCTGCTCTCCTTGCTGCTGCTGCTGCTGTTGGCCGTTGTTTGCTGCCGCGAAGCCATACGAAGAAGAAGCAGCAGCCGTCTCAGCACTGTCTACTGCTGATGGAAGTGGTGAAGAGCCAGCAGGGGCGGCAGTACAAGCAGCTGCTTCGCTGGCTGCTCTAGCACCCGGCAGCGCTACACCGCCACCTACTGCAGAAGCAGCTACTGCAGTTGCAGCTACTGCAAGATCACCTACTGCAGGAGCACCTGCTGCAAGATCACCTACTGCAAGATCACCTACTGCAGGAGCACCTACTGTAGGAGCATCTAGTGCAGAAGCAGCTACTGCAGGAGCACCTACTGTAGGAGCATCTAGTGCAGAAGCAGCTACTGCAGAAGCAGCTACTGCAGGAACACCTACTGTAGGAGCAGCTACTGTAGGAGCACCTACTGTAGGAATACCTACTGCAGGAGCACCTACTGTAGGAGCAGCTGCTGCTATGCCAAGTGCATCAGCAGTAGGTAGCTGAGTGGAGGTGAGAGGCGCACCAACACCTGCAATGGAAACTTGAGAGGCTGCAACCCAATCGATCTCTTCAAGCAAGGCGGCTGCTTCTGAAGCGTCGGCTGCCTCATTCTGCAGGCCGACTCCAATGTCTAGCTGCTCCCCAGTCCTACTGCTGCTGCTGCTATTGCTGCTGCTGCTGCTTGGTGTACTACCAGCGGCATCCGCTGCTGCAGCTGGGGAATCTGCGTCAGGACCAGAAATATCCCTTTCTGCAAGGCCGTCCGTAGGTGCACCCGCCTGCCATTGACAACCGCCGTCTGGGAATGCGCTTCTTCCACCGATGGTGTTGCTGCTACTGATGTGGCTGCATGCGGCAGCTCCTTCACTCCCTACTACTGAAGACATGGACCCTGCAAAGGCCTCTAACAATTTCCCTTCAGGGGTAGAAGCCTCTCGCAATTTCGCCTGTGCCTGCTGATCATCGTCATCAGTGTCTGAGTCCAATGCGATAGGGGCGTCAGCTGCACCCCCGTTCCCTTCAGAAGACAGCTGCTGTGAAGACTGCTGCTGCTGCTGCTGTTGCTGCCGTGGCGAGAGCGGACTACTGTTAGGATCTGTGGATGCTCTAGAATCTCCGTCCGCTATGCTTTCCATTGCTGTCTTGTGCTGCTGAGACTGTTGCCGTTGATGCTCGTCATCCGAGGAATCAGAGAGGCACAGCACTTCAGTTCTGCTGCGAGATTTTGCTTCTTCGCTAAAGCCTTCAGGCGCCCTTCTTCTTTGCCGCTTCTTCGAAGGTTCCTCGTCTGCGCAGGCAGGGACGGCACGGTACAAGACTCACACCCTCAGTTCTTCACAGCTCGGCTCAAGCAGATGCAAGGCTACACCCCACCCGAACACAGCTGTAGCAGCAGCAACAGCAGACGTGCTGACCTTGCTCCTCATCAGACCCGCTGCTGCTGCTGGTCCTACTGGTGCTGGAGATGCCAGCATCGGCATCAGACCTGCAGCCTCCCTGCGTTCTGCCAGAATCGCCATCGCCTTCAGGCATACCGCCAGAAGACCCCTCCTTCACAGCTCCGTGTGAAGTCTCTACGAGACTGCTACTGGCCGAGGAGCCACCTGCAAGCTGGCCAAAAGCCTCAGAGGTAACTGAAGGCACAGAATCTCCTGCTGCTGCTGCTGCGGATGATTCTGCAGGCGCCTCCGAAGCGGCTTCTGTATCGCTGTCGCTCACTGCGCAAATCAACGGTACGACATGCCCACTCTACCCAATAACGGTTCGCACATAGAATGAAGGCTGAGGGAGGGGCTTGGAATTTAGGAGGGAGGCGCTTGAAATTTAGAAAGGAGGTGCAAAAAATTGAGGACAAGGTGCATAGAATTAAGGATGTGGGAAAGAAATACAGAGGGGGGGAGTAGGGGGGCTAAGGACTAGAAAGTGCTACGGACGCATCTCAACGACTTCAAAGGCAACTTTTCCGGTGGGCTCAGTCTCCTGCAGCAACACTCCAGCACACACAGCGCCTCCAGACATGCAGCAGCTCAACACGTGCATGCGTGCGAGGTACCGTAGAGGTGTCACAATCTCCGACAGCCGTCGTCCTGCTCGCGTTCCCCACCCCGCCACCCCCTCCCGTCTCTCTACTACACGCCAAGCCCAAAGTCGTACCTCTCCCTTGGGCTTGAGAAGAGTCTCGGCCGCCAGCTGCCTCTGCTGCTCCGCTCTCTTGGATTCCGCCTTGAGCTCTTCGTCTGACAATACGCGAAAAGACAAGTCCTGCACCGAGAAAGCCGAAGACGCCGCGCGTTCACACAGAAGAATTTGCGATTATTGTCGGCCAGGGCAGTCCCTCCCGCACGCTCCCCCGAGCATGAGCCGCCTGTAAGCGCGCAGGCTACGGCGCGTGAGACGCGAATCTTCTTTAGAAACACACTGCGGCGAGGCTTTAGAGAAACGCAAGCCGGGAGACGGACACCCTGCGCATGCGTCTTACTGCTTGCAGCTCGACCTCGGTGTCGTCCTCCCCCGTCTGCTTCAAGAGATACAGAAAGAATCCGTCAACAACTAGATCGTGGGGGAGAACCACAAGATGGCATTGGGGGCACCGCCAGCGACTGTTGAAGGCCTTCATGCCCCGTGACACCTGGAGAAATCCCTCGAGATCGTAACACTGCAAATGCCTGCAGAGTCTGCCCCTGCATGGCACCTCGATTCTGCGCGCAGCATCGCCCGCTGCCACTCCGGGGGATCAGGCTAAAACGCATCCGGGGAGACGCAGCGAAGGAGTCGCTTCGAGACTCGTGCACACCGAGCACCCTCACAAGCTGCCTGCTCCCCTCGTGTCTTGTGCCTTCCTGCCTGCTCCCCTCGTGTCTTGTGGCTTCCTGCCTGCTCCCCTCGTGTCTTATGCCTTCCTGCCTGCTCCCCTCGTGTCTTGTGGCTTCCTGCCTGCTCCCGGATTGAGGGCGGCGCGGCAGGCAGGCTGAGAGGCCGCCGACTTCTCACCGGGTAAAGGTAATAGGACACAGGAGCTTCAGACGCCTGCCCACTTCCAGGCACTGGACCTCTTCGTCCTCGCTTTCCTCTCCCTGCTGCGACTGCCGCTGCTGCTGCTGGCCTTGCAACAGCTGCTGCGCCCTTGCTTTGGCCGCTGCAAGCGGCAGCGTGTGGCGCTCCGCAATGGCTGCCTGCGCAACGCGCAAGCGACAGCAAGGGGCCTCACTGGGAGACGTTGTATTGCACTGCAGTCCGGTAAAGGACACGACAGTGCAAAACAAAGGCCAAGGAGTTCCCAGAAAATAAAAGTGCAGCCAGAGATGCCACACGACAAGAGGCGGACGGCGCGCAGCTGGAAAGAGAACGGGCAATTGGGCGCCGCGGGGGAAGGAGGAGCGTGAATGGAGAGTGGACAAGAAGAGTGCCTAAAACGTAACGGGCTGGGGGGTGGAATTCACTTGCACACCACGCATCAACGCGATACGCTCCTCTTACCTGCAAGGCCTCTGGCCCCTTCGTCTCTCCAAGAACAACTGCAAGGAAGAACCGCTTCGACTCTGGACTATAATTGGTAGTGCGCAGCTCGATCTGATTCACGCCAGTCCGCAAGTATTGCGATATCTGCAGGCATGCACCTCAAATACGCGCCAACGCCATGCGCGCGCGGTCCTCACCCCACACGCATCGTAATACCGCGCCCCTAGTGAAGTCTCCTTGCGCATCGATCGACTCAGCCCGCGAAAGGTGCGCTAAAAACACGCCCACGGAGGCGACTCCCTCAGGAGGCAAACACGCAACGCCACCACCAACACAGCCAGTGTCTTCCTTCAGTCCGCTTTCTAGAAAGGCAACGGCAAAAAGAAAGACCTTCACAACCCCAGGGAAACTGCGTTAGGATCGGTATTGATGACGATACCACAATGGGTGTATCGCGTCTCTTATGCTCCCACGAAGGTGCAGCGACGCTCTCTTCCAGCTGCACACCAGCACCAACACCCACAGCAGCCAGCACCAGTGCCCCCCTTCAGGAAGAAAAATAGCAACTCCTCAAAATGTCGAACTGCTCTCAAGGACAGCCTCCCCCTTTCCACCACCCTCATTCGCCTGTATGGTTTCCGCGGCGGAAAAAATGTGCGCAGCACGGATTCCCCCACGCACCCGTCCGTTGATGACAATTTCCGCAGTCCTAGGCCACGTTTGGATATTCACTGGCGTTAGCGCTTCGCAGCATCTCACAACGACCTCCTTGGCAGCTGCTCGCCATGCCTTCAGCTCTGAGGCGTCGAGCGAGAACGTAAGGCAGTCTTGAGACGCGCCAACGAAGAAAACGCGAATCTAAAGACACAACGCAGGAAGGCGAGCGAGGACGCAAAGAAGCAATGTTTCCTTCGGAAGGGAATAAAGGGGCAAGAAAAAAATGCCCCTTCATTTCTGAAGAAACGATGCCCCGCGGGTAAAAACACCGGAAGCACTCCGCAAAAAAAATCATGCGCCGACTCACCACTGGATTAAAAGGATCCATCAACCGGATGTGGCAGAGCGCGCACACGAAGGCGGGCGAAGCAGCAGTCTGGCCATCCGGCAAGCCATAGCACAAGCGGTGCTGCTCCCACACGCAAGCGTCAGAAGGCGCAAAAAGCAGCGAAAAAGAGCAACTCCGTAAGGCCAGCTAGCATCCCCCCCGCAAAGCCAGCACCCAGACGCAACGCGAAAACACACAATGGAAGAGGGCGCACACAACCGCATTTACAGGGGCCTCTCTGCAGGAGGCACGAAGGCAGCCTTCAGCACCAACAAGAACAAGCGCGCGAGCAGGAAGAGAGGCGCATGCAGGCGACGACTGGAGGGACAAACAGCACACATACGCTTTGGGTGCTGCATATGGAGCAGCTTATCAGGGGGTCCTGCTGCTGCAGCAGCAGCTGCTGCTGCTGCGGAGAGAGCTGATTTCCGCAAATGCAATCGCTGCTTCCTGCAACTCCCCCTAAGTCCGCAAGAGACAACACACACGCACACACATACATCCCAGGCCCCTTCTGGCTGCTATGCCACGATCGCTGCTGCTTGCAAGGCGATGCAGAAAGTCGGAAAGCATACGCGTGTGTGCGCCTGTTAGGGCGTTGCGGGGCTTTTGGGGCCCTGGGTGGTGGGGGTGGCTAGCTGCGTGGCTAGCTGCATGGCTAGCTGGGAGTCCTCCGCCTCCGGGCCTCAGTTGGTGCTGCTGCTGGTGCTGCTGCAGTTGCTGCTGCAGTTGTTGCTGCTGCTGCAGTTGCTGCTGCAGGTGGTAATGCTGTTGCAGCAGCTGCTGCTGCTGCAACTGCAGGAAGTGGTGGTGCTTCCCTCTCTGGTGGAAGTCTGCAGGAGGCGCGTCTTCTCCAGGGTTTCCGGGATGCACGAAGACTTGGCGAGAACTCGCAGGCTGTTGCTGCTGCTGCTGCTGCTGCTGCTGCTGAGGACGTTGCCGGTGGTAGGGACGGCGCCTTAAGATATCTGGGGGGAGGGGGCCCCTCGTCCTGCGACACAGCGGCAGGCACCTGGCACCACGCATCTCGGCTGGAGCGTCCGCGCGTTCCTACTTCTTCCCCATTTCGCAAGTGCACGGCTCTCTCTGCTAGCAGCACGCGCGGAAGCCACACGCCGTAGTTGGCTGTGGCTCTCGAGTTTGCGCGCTTTGTTGGGGGCTCTGCAGCGCTCGCGTGGCGCGAAGGCAGAGCGAGCGAGAACTGCCCAAGGGAGAAGAAAGAAAGGGTGAGGGTGGGGCTTACTTTTCAAACGCTACGAGGCGTCCAACGAGATCTCGCTTAGGGCCCTTAACCGGCAGTCCCAGGGAGCGGCAGGCAGCACTCAGCTCTGCCACCGTGTGGCAATGCAGCCTGCATCACACACGAAGGCGCTTCCCCATCGCGACAGGTCTGTGCCCCTCGCATGCGCCAGCGCAACGCAGCCAAGCTGCCCTTTGCTGGAGGCGGCTCTTCGGCACGCGGGTAGGCGGAGCCTTGTGGGGAGGGGAGAGGGGAAGGGAAAAAGGCGCCGGAGGCTTCGTGGCGCTCACTCTTCAATAGACCTCATGGCTGCGCTGTACAGGCTTCGAGTGGATGCCCATCGCTCATTTTCCGTGGAAGGACCACCCCAGATCGTCTTCCCCGTCTTCGCCCTCCAAAAAGCCTGGAAGGACGTAGGGCACTCTGCAGGCTGCTGCTCGGGGTTAGGCTCAGATGCAGCCGCTGCGGGCAGAAGGCCCCTCCGGCTGCTTCAGCTCATGGAGCTGAAGCCCCTCGCAGTGCGCTGCAGCGGCGGAACGAGGCGGGAGGGGACGAATGGACTGCACGGCTTTCTCTAGAGAAAGCGGCTTTCTCTAGAGAAAGCGGGTGTTGGAAGCAAAGCGCTTTGCGAACTGCGACGAATAGCCCAGTGAGGGTCAGAATTCGCTGAAGCGTCTCATGGCTGGCGCGCTGCAGACTTCTGCACCTGCCGCTGCCTCCTGGCGGGCAGAGTGTCAAGGGGGTTGCCAGGGAGCGTGGGAAGTCCAGGTGCCCCTTCCTGGAGGCTCCCAGCAGTGTACGCCTGCCGCTCGTGGTGTTAGTCCGCGATCAACTTGCGGAACAAAAACACAAAACGAAGATCGCGGAAAATCGAGGGTAGCAGGCGGCGGGCCAGACCGGAACGCGAAGTGTGCGCTGCACAATCCTCGCCCACCGGACGGAAAGCTAAGAAAGCCCTTATCACCAGCAGAAGTTGGAGCAATCTTGCCGTGGTATATTTACCCCGAAGGGGGCCTCCGCCTTAGGGGCCCCTCTGCCGGGAACCACAACGTGGGCTGGCGCGCATGCAACGTCTGCTGGCTGGTCCCTGGAGACTCAAGCGCGCTTCGCAGCCTATTCCCGTACATTGTTGTTGTGCAGCGCGCGTCGTATTTAGTGAAAGCACTTTCTAGAGTCATCGCAGGCATGCCCCAAGGCGATCGGCACCTAGGCATCCCCCGCTTCTCACCGAGTGGACGGCCGCGTTTGAGGCAAGAGCAGCGGCAGCACGCTGCTGCTTTTCTCCTGTAATCGCACTAAATGCCGGGCAACGGAATGCATTGAAGCTAGATGGCAAATCATAGGGTAGGCCAGCGCGAAGGGGGGTGCTAGTCAGTTTCTGGTCGCCGCTAGGTAGGCTGCTGCCGGTGAGCGACATATGACGGCAGCCACGAACAGAGCCATGGAGGAATGTCTCTGGCTGCGCAGCCCCTAAAGCAGGCGCTGCGTTTCCAGTGGGACTTGCTCAGGGGCCGAGCAGACTCTCCTGGCTTTGGAGCGCACAGGAGCTTTAGCCGTGGCGCTGCCTGCGTCTCCGTGCATTGCCACGTGCAAACAACCCCGCCACACAATGAATCTAAACGCTGTTACCAGCGTCCTATCTGGCACTGCCTAGATGCCTACAACCTGCCTGAAGACTGCCGTACTGCAGCGACCGTGGCTGCTTGCAGAGCACGCGCCCGAAGGGCCGCAGAGTCTGGAGTCGCTCTGCGGGCTGCATGCCCAAAATGTGGCCAGTCCGCTTGCCTCTGCCGATTTCTGCCGCATTAGCGCAGTCCTCACACGGCAGCCTAGGAAATAAGCATTTATAGGGGCTTGTATCTAAATAGGTAGCGAGCGGCACAGAAGGGGAACGGAAAGTACCGTAGATCGTAGTGGCAGTACAGAAATCCCCTCGGCCCCATTTATCCTGGATTGCCTGTCCCTTCTCTTTATTTTACGTCACTGCTATACCAGGCGCCGTGACACCTACTCTGACTAGCAGCAGCGCGCACCGTTTTTTCCCTGCGATACTTACACGCAGGTCTATGCATGCATCCGCGTGTACACCTTTCATTCATGCGCGTTGCATGAATAAAAGGCGTAACGGCCGACGCAAGCAGCTCTCTGTTCTACCTGAGGCCTCTTGGTCCTTCAATTCTCTTCTGCTACTCTCCGGTACTCCTGCCTGTTCTTCGCCCCGCAGCCCCCCCGCTCCCGCCATCCCGCCGCCACATCCCAGCAGCACAGGAAGTATATATGCGCTGGTCCAGTGTTGCAGCCCCTGGATGTATCGAGAGTGTCTTGCCTGTCTTTCTCACAAACAGCTACGATTCTAGCTAGAGCGCCATACGCAAGGCACTCACAAAACAGCAGCGCTGCCCGTCGGTGCGTGCCAGCAGTCAGTCAACGTATCTGTCGTGCAAAAACCGGACGCTGATGCCTCGAGACTTCATCCGAGGTGGCTTTTCTTTTGATTAGAACTTCCTAGCAAATGTTTGCTTCAAAGAATATTGCGGGTGCAGCTGCAACCCTCCCACATGCATATTCCCCCCCTCGACCGTGGGGGCCCTCCGCGCTTCAGCCAGAGAGCTCTCTAGGGCCCTTTCTTATAACTGCACCCCAGACACCTTAGAGGGGCCCCTAGCTCCCAGCCCGCAGCAGAGGTCCCAGCGCGGCGGACAGACCCCCTGTTCTGCTGCGGGTCAGTGGGCCCACTAAGCCTGCGGTTCGAGGCCACTGCCCGCTGAGGATAGGTTTCAGCGCAGTTCGCTTGCGCGGCAAAGTTAAGGGGGGGACAGGAAGACTCACTAGGCTGGCTGTACACCAGATACGAAAGTTGCGCGTCGGAATTATACATAGATGGATGAATGCATGCGGCAGAGTGAAGGCGCCATGCAACTTCAAGAGAACAATGAAGACGCCCAGCTCGACCGCAATCTACGTCCTATGACTAGGAGATCACCCACGCAACAGCCATGAAAAAGGCCTCCCCCTCTACTGAACAGAACCACAGCATTAGGGAGTCCCCGCGCAGCAGGTGAAAGCCACGGGGGCCCTTATTTATACACCAGTGCTGACCCAACGATTTGTCCCTCGTGCGCCAGAACTTCACATCGCACCAGGCAAAGGCCGCCTCCCAGCGAATTAGGTGGACCCGCCACAGGAAGACTTGATTTTCACGCTCACAGCTTCCCACAGCTAGCCTGCTATCTAGCCAGCCCGTGCTGCTCCTATCTAGCCAGGCCACCATGATGCCAGAGGAGCGTTACTCAATGTATGCCATGCTGCGGCACAACCTCCGCAAGTAAGATGGTGAAACAGGCTACCTCTAGCAGCGTAACACGACCGACCATGGCTTGCTAAAGCTACAGCCAGTCAGATTCAACCCCAGCTAGCCGGCAGGACCGCAGAACGCCCAACGTTGTTGCATCAGGCCACAAGTATTCACAGGAGGCAGAGAGCAAAATCACACCGGCGACCTTAGAATTTTGGCTCTTCCATTTTAAACATGTTCCGGAGTGGAGATGCCCTAAACCGTAATCGCTCAACGCTTGGACGCCCCATCGGGCCGCCTTTCGTTCATCGCGTCGATTTGCTTAGCATTCTGAAACTTTTCTAGCTCTGCGGTGAAAGCACACACGCTTTAAAAGCCGAAGGCTTATAGTATGCGCTTGAACCAGCCGCCTATATACAATTTTAAGGAAACCCCCTCGCAGCGAGCTGCCTGCTTGTGCAGGTATATCTATGGCGCAAAATCCAATTAAAAACCGAGCTATAGCTAGATAATTCAAAAAAAGGATATTCTCACCGTTTTGAAGACCCTGCCGTCCCTGGATAAGGAGCCCTACTGGTATCCGGTCGCCCGGTGTGCAGCCCTTGAGCTGCATGATCAGTTCATTCTCTTCCCTGCAAGACAAAATCCGATAGACAGCAGGCCGCGATATGCGTCACCACCTACGAAGCCCCCGACGCCAGTAGCGGCAAATAGAGCCACATCAGATGCAGGATGATGTGAAGGAACGGGCTCCCTCCCGCTCTTGCCGTCTTCCCGGCGTGTATGTACACATTGGTCAGCGATCACATACCTTATGGTCTTGAAGACACGCATCAGACGGCCAACAGACTGAACCTTTCGCCGGAGTGCCTCCGCACGCTCACGGCTAATGGGTGTTCCAGCGCCTGAATCAATATTCCGCATATATTTCGAACTAGAGCTCCAAACCCTGGTGTCCTTGGATACGGCCTTGTGCATTTCAGCTCGCAAGCCTTAACGCCATGCTGCAAAGACAACTCGCTAGCCAGCTAACAGCAGGGCAGACCCCTGAAGTCTAAGCTCTTGAAAGCACTCACTTGGTGGCCGGCTTCGTGGAGCAGGGCTTTCATCAGCCAGTACGATGTTCGCATGCATGATCTTTACTATCTGGCAAGAGGGCAACGGCACGCGAATGCAAAACTCTGGATTCGTGAGCGCAACCCTTCATCCCCGAGACCTTCCTTGAATGCACGCCTTATAGACCCCATAATTCATGCCCTCACCTCAGGGGGCAGCTCAATGCTGTCGATTTCCTCGTCATCTTCTCCTTCTTCTAACGACGGGTTCAGGATACCATAAAGCATCTCCGTTACTGCACCACAAACCCTAGACCCTAAGCTTTCCCGGAGATGAGGAGCAAGGAAGCCTCACATGTATCGATAATAGCAATAACACCTGAGGCCTGGAAACCTCCGCACTGAAGCCTAGGAGCTGCAAAAGAGCATGTGCCTGACTGAAGCTACGGGGTCAGCGCTTCCAACCTTTTTCCGATACGAAGGGAATCGACCAGGTAAAGATATCCATGAAGTTCGGAAGGTGATACGGGTGAGGGCTGTAATTGAACTGCTGAATGTTCAGTGTGTTATTCTGCAGCAACATTAGAAAACAAAGGAAATTCCCTGCAGCTGCCGTTCGTGGGGTGCCACTGCCACCTTCATACCCCCTGATGGGCAGCGCACGCGTGTGTGCGTATAAATAACAAAGAGCAGTGCGTAGGAGGCCTTAGATAGTAAGCCATACCCCCGGACCAAAAAGCGTTCAGGAGCCTCGCTTGCCGAGCACCAGCGAAGTTGTCTCACCTCAAACTTTAGAACAGCACCTTTGTTGTTGTACACATCACAGTAGTTGGGTGCAGAAAATATCGTTATCACCTGTGCGCCCAAACGCCAAACCACCGTGCAAACGTTAATCTGCTCATTGCAAACTGTAGGAGAAGCACGGCTCCCTAGGTTTCAGCTCTAACCCCTGTAGTGCCGAGCCACCCTCCTGGTGATGTGCTTACCGTGGGAAAGCCTGTTTTAGAGTTTGTCTGATGCATTTTATAGCCCTCGAGCTGGGCTTCATGGGCTCTCAAGACTGAGAGTAGACCGTTTCGGTCCAGAAAGGAACTGGCTGCAGTGTATGCAAAGAAGAAGGAGCAGCCCCTCACGTCATTCGGAATAAAGGCACCTGCAGGCAAAAACATCCGTTCGATAGGAAGAGGGACGCTACTTGAGAAAGAGCACAACTCATACTACCGCCAAACTAGCAACACTTGCGTCTACACCATACGCCGCATGCGCCTGAAATTTTGGGGTATGTCTACATACCATCCGATCCCTGAGCGAGCTGCATCCCGCTGTCTTCCTTAGTTTCATCCAAGGGATCCGCCCACAGCAAATCGCAGAACAGTCCCCCGCGTGGAGGTTCCTGAAATCTGTTAATGCCTCCTATCTGACTCAGCTGATTGCACACCACCACATGCCCTACAACTAACGGTACATGCCTCTTCTTAGAAAACGATTCCCCCGCGGAAAGTGCCGCTTGCGAAAGAAGCGTTGCAACATAAGATAAGCACGTGAACTACAAGCAAGGTACCAAGAGGGGGATCGCTTACCACTTTCAGCTCTGGGCTGAGGCCCCCATGGAGCGCGAGAAACTTGCCATTGATGACTGCCGCGAGGGGCAGCGCGTCGAAGGCCTACCCATCAGGGAGCACCAACAGATAAAATTACCATTGAAAAGCAACGAAATGTGCAAAGAGCCACAGAAAAGCACAACCGAGCGGAAGAGCTGCCGTCCAGAAAGGAGAAGCTAGTGGCTCGCTCATGAATGGTGAACTGCCGAAGACACCTAGAAAGCAGAATGGCGATGTTAGAACAAGGGGCGTGCGATATTGTCATACAGCCAATGTTAATGATGCGGCTATGCGGCTTCACGGAAGTTCTCCCTAGTTGTTTTCAGCCCACCTCCATGAAAGCGTAGTAAACGTTCATGTCGTATTTGCACTCGCATTCATCTCGGAAGTTAAAGAAAGAAGTCATCTGACGGCATTCATGATTTCCCCTCAAGAGCCAAACCCGAGAGGGATGTGATAATTTAATCGCGTACAGCAACAGCAGAACTTCAATAGAGAAACTGCCTCGATCCACATAGTCCCCCAGAAATAGGTACCTGCATCGAAACCCTAAACAAACGATTCCCCCTATAAACTCTGCGATGCATCTGTTTTTGCGCTACCATCAAATTTATCCATGGTATGCACCTGAGGAGATAGGGAGCCTATAAATGCGGAGCTATATGTAGATATAGATACATATATCGAAGCCCTAGGAAGACCCCCTAACCGTCAAAAGGGCCTGAGATTCCTTATGAGGAACATTGAAAAGTTGGTCTAAAAAAACTACACAGCAGCCTCACTGTGTGGTGTCCGGATCGCCTCCAACATCGAGAAGCTTTAGCAAATCGTAGTATTGACCATGAATATCTCCCACCACTGAAAAGACGCACACCAGGCCTGTAGAGCTGAAGGTAGCACGCCCTCTGCGACGCCTAAATATTGCGCCAGTGTTTCGTCTGCTTCCCCGAAAAATTGGCTCTATCGCGCAGACGCCACATTCTTCCAACAGAGAATCCCCAAACAGTGGACCCTACCGGTGATGGGGTCGCTGAGCCGGAGCAGGTTTGGCTCGTTGCTCGTGATTTCTGTTACTTTGCGGATGATTTCCAAGCAGTCCTCCTTCCATACACGACCTTCGCGCTGCAAGTGGGCGCGCAGCTCCTGATGCATAAGCACAGCGTGATCGCAGTCTTCAGACTATGACGATCGTGGTGGATGCCAAGTTCAAAGCCAACCGTTCACATCCTCCTGCCGAGGCACAAACCCCAATATGAGGTTTTATCGCATACCCTAGACACTCATAGCCCCCAGCTAGACATATATTTACATGCATACATTTGAACGCAGATAGAAATATACACAGTGGGTGGCGCGCCTCCTGGCGCAAAGATGGGTTGCATGTTGGTGACTGAAGCTCGATAGTGTGCTTTTCCCCGTGACTTCCCCTGGATGGAGGCCTGGCCTGTTCTACTTTGGCTTGTTAGGGTCTCTTTAAGGTGCTCGAATGAGGTGCGTCGCGCATGCGTCCCTCAAGAAGTGGCTCACCCTCCAGTCGGGCGGGTTGTCTTGGCCCCGGGGATAGAGAACGGACTCGGATAGGGGTTTCGCTGGCGGTGGCTGCACAGAGGTAACAACTCTGTCGTGTTTGGGATCTGAAAGAGGCTCCATCCTGATGTAAGTTATCCTGGGGGCCCCCACGGGATCAGAGGATGCAGGGAGGGGCCCCCGCCTCTTGGTGGGAGGACGGACACTACTGCAACGCAAAGAAATGAGTGCCTAGCGCTGCTGCGACGGGCCCCCCCCCCTCGTGCACTCTGCGCAAGAGTAGGTACTGCACGTGGTGGTGCACCAGTACGGAGGGAATGGGGAAAAGGCTTTTCAGGGGCCCGCACGCTCCAGGTTCGTGGGAACTAGGAGGCTTTAAAGATCCTACGCGCAAGGGCTCAACCACGCATGAGGGCGGACGTGGTGCTACACTGAAGTGGGGCTCCTGCGCCCCGCAATGGTTCAAACGCTGCTGGTGCAGAGGTCGAGCTGAAAATACACCGCAGGGCTTGTGCCGGATAGAGCATGCAGCACTGGGCTCATGATCGGTCAAAAGCTCAACCCGCTAAGTTTAGGATGAGCTTGCAAGAATCAAAGAATAACAAAGAAACAAGTTAAGGAAACAAGATGGGAGAAACTCGAAAGAAAGGCGTGAGGGAGCACGACCTGCTCTGGTTGCTGCCGTGATGGACCGCAGCAACCCGAGCAGCAGTCAGAAACTCGATAGCCCAGTTTTAAAGAGATAAGCACTTACTCACGATTTACAAACAAAAGCAACCAAAACAAACCCCCACACACCTACGAACGCTGCAGCCGCAGCCCTCCCGAGCGCCCGCTGGACAGCTACCTGAGGTTTAGGCTTTAACGTTTGGGCTTTCATGAGCCAAGACAAGTCGGACGCACCGACAATACCAGCGGTTGCACAGAACCACAAAACTTGAACATCTTTATTAGGCCGGACACAGCACTGACACACACCGGATCGCTACTCAAAAACCCCAGACCGGGAGCCTACAGCCAAAACCGCATGCCGAAACCCTGTATTGCAAGTACAGTCGTGATTTTTTAATTAATGCCCAGGGCCTTCATTGGCATTGGAAAAGCCAGCGCGCTCCCAACCCCGAAGCCACCAGTGAGCCGGTGAACGGACTCGTTGACACTGAACGGACATGCGCAAGGCCGCATATCCCTATACAGCTGCTTGCTCCCTAAAGCGATTTTGCGAGCAAAGCCTGCGGTCAGCGGCAAGTCACTTCCTAGCAGTTGCACACTATCGGTAAAGAGAGAATGCGCAGCTAAGTCAGTCACCAAAAAAGCCCTGAGCAGCTGTACTAGAACGAAACAATCGTCGAGTCTGCGAGGCACGCCTCAATCGAACTCCCTGGCCCTCAGGTCAAGTCCTTTGGGCGGGGTGAACGCAACTACTTCTCGATTCCCGGGCGAATTCATACCCAGCGAAAACTATGTCGGTCCCGCAGGATATTGCAACCTGAAAAGGCCCCGCAGATGAGAGTAAATATTGGTCGCCTGAAAAGCCCGAGTCATCGATGGTTCGTCAGTGCTGTCTCTGCGTACGAGTATAGTCAGCTGGAAGCACCGATATTACAATAGTGAACTGTTCTCGCTACGGTACCTTTGACGTCCTGGTGGGCAACTAGCTATCCGATCACCGGAGTGCTTTGCGTAGAACCAGTAACTGATTCGCTTTATTGCCATATGGTCCAAGAGTAGTCTCGCTAGGCAACTGAAACGGACGCCGTGGTAAAATGCCAAAAGCCAAAGTCGCAGCATACCCCTAGATAGCGCCTTCTGCGGAAAAGCATCTCCAGACCCTTAGAGGGTTCTTTGAAGGGCATTCGCCAGCCCTTGTTTCCCATTGCACAGGGGGCCCTTCGTGACACCCCACTGTTTTAGGATCTCTAGGGGCCTTCGGTGATCCTACAACCTCCACCAGCCAAGAAGCTGCTTTAAGCATCTGTGCGTGGAAGTGCGCGGCAAAAGGTTGTAGCGTACCAAGGGTATACGTACCAGTACAAAAGTTGGCGAAACTGTTGCGTTAGTGTGGGCTGAGGTGGTGAGCAGAACACGCCCCCTATTGCGAGTTGCGTCTTCGAATAGTTCCCTTGCCCTGTTTGCTATGCCTGCTTGCTCAATTGCTGCTCTCAAGCGTTCCCCGCGGGTTTACGGCCTGTTGTGATGGTTGCTGGGAGCGTGGTTAATCACCCCGTATTGGCGCCTGTATTCCAGCATATCCTCGCGGTGCCTGAGAAGCTCCTCTCTCTTTCCAGCATCGTGTTCGCTCTCCATCAGCTCATCAAGAAAGCAAAGTAAGTCTCCGAATGTTAATATAGGCAAAACCTTCGTGTTGAACTCAAGTCCTACCGCTTCTGCAGCTGATAACTCGCTGCCTGAGCACAAAAATACAGCAAACAAATACAAACCACATAACCAGTGGCCGAAATCGGGGAAGTCGCGGAAATAGAAAGAAACCGTGGTAACTCATGAATGGACCACTACGAAAGCCTCTCGCTCTGGAGGCGCTTCGTCCGCCGTTGTTCAAATCCGTTTCTGGTTGTGCATGCATGTGATGATATATATTGAAATTCCCCTTCCCGAAGTCCGTTAAATCGCCGTCTTAGCGAATTCTTACCTTCCCTCTTCTCCTGCCTGTCAAGCAGAACCACTAAGGCCACCAATTCCGTGCGGCTGGCAGCAGACTGCAGCTTTTTGATTCCACTCCGTAAAGCCGTTCCAGACGTCAAAACGTCGTCCACAACCAGGACCCTTGGCCCTCGCCCTTCCTGTGAGCCCCCTGAAGAAGAACTCCCTAGAGGAGGAGGAGACGAACCTTGAGGAATAATTCCTCCTGCAACAGTGGAATCCGATGACGACCCACCTTCGCCTACCCGATCATTAATGGCCACCATATGCTGCCCGTTTGTGAGCAGCTCGCAAGCGCCCACAAGACAGCCCCCTTCCCCATGATCCTTTTCTTCTTTCCTATCATAGATGAAAGGGGCCTGCTGTCCATACCGTGAAGCCAGCACAAGAGCGGTGCAGGTGGCTAGTGGGATGCCCTACAGCGCCCACAAGCAAAAGATTCAAACATGCACTCTGCACAGCAAACTCCGCTCATCCTTAATATTCAACTGTGAGGGGCACCGCTATTAGAGAGTTTTAATCTAGGACTCAGGGTGTAGGGCTTGCAATTACTTTGTACGCCGGTCCGAAGATCACATCGTATTGGATTCTGCTTTCATAGATGCATGCAGCGTAGGCCTCAGCAATGAGTTGCATGCACCTGCCGTCCCTAAACCTCCCAACATCGAAGAAGAAAGGGGAGATCCGACCGCTTTTAAGCGTAAAACGGCCAAACAACAAGGCGCCGCATTCATGGGCGGCGTGCAACAAGGCACGCTGGGCTGAAGTCAGCCGTGGCGGGCTCACTGACGGGGATGACATTCCGACGCTTCCAGGGGCGCTAATAGTTGCAAGGTTTATGCCTTGTTGGCGGCTGTAACAGAGTCGTCTGCTGCTGTAAAAGTTACCTGTAGATGCGCTGCTCCACGAGCCGCGTTGCACGCAGAAAAAAAGTCAGTGCCCCGGTCCTACACGCTTTTACACAAACTCTGAAAGAGGCCAACTTCTGAGGGAGCCAAGCGCGCAACAACGAGTAAAAGAGCAAGAAACGGATGCGGATACCCGGGGAGAGGCGTCTAGAACGCCTGGTGGAAAGCTCGTAGTACAGCACAAGACCAATGCCACGTCCTCAGGCCTAGATCAAGTTTACTAGCTCCACACAGTCTGTGTTTCCGTCCATTTTCGGGCTGAAGGCTTTCCTTGTTGCGACTGCTTCCCATGGGATTGCTGCCGCTCTTTCTAAGCCTTCAAAAGCGGAGTTCTTCCAAGGTAATAGTGGAGGAACCGCCGGTGAAAGAGGGACGGGATTCCCAAGAAAAACCATTCCGCGTCCATCTATTAGTGCCACTAGTAGGTTTGAAAGTATGGGGCTGTCGCAAAGGGATCAGCAAAGCCATTTTATGTCATGCATGCATGCCTGAATGCGTGCATGCATGGATCAGGTTGTTCAATTGTGTGCAGCTGTTGCATTTTGAGATAGAAATACAGTGCCTTTGTCCCCCGCAATTCGTTAAGTGCCCTGTTTTAAGTTGGAAGTACTCTTTGTGCTAGCGGGTCCCTTGGGGTTTGCGGCAACCCTTTATATCTGGAGGCTGCCTCCCATCGAAACCCCACATGTCGCTTAATGGGCTCTTGCGAACTCAGGGTGTCTGCACCTCGCATAGAAGGCTTTTAATAACTTATTTTTCATGTGGGTCCTCCCGGACGTCTGAAAGCTGCTGGTCTATGCAGGATCGCGGATTTCACAGTTGTATGTGTTGAAGTGGCATAGGCTTCCCAGCCTTCAGGATGCACACTTTTCCATTGGCTAGCTCAGGATGCTCAGTACCCAGAAGAATTCCAAAATTTCACGGGCTGGATCTAGATATAGTCACACTTAGCCTGTCAAGCTGGAGGGTCGGGGCAACTATCCTTGTGGTGGTCTCCTCTATATGTAACGCTGCATACAAGGAATCCCTAGCGAGATAATTAGCTCCAGACCCAGTGCGAAACGCAGGAAAAATTTGTCAAGTGTGTCACAAAAAAATCGCTCTTCTTTCCTTGCTTGTGCCCTTCAGGGTTCTGAGAAGAGGGCACTGTTAGTTGCACATAGCACCTGGGGCAGACGCACACGAATTCGAGTTTCTTTGTATCAAACTAACAGTACTATGTAACAAATAACATCTGGGAACAGACAATCAATTTGTCAAACTTTGTGTCAATTCGTAGTTGAAAATAACTAGTGTAGAAGAAACTGATCAGGGCCATCGGAGCCCATTACACCTTCAAATCCGCCACATTGAAGCACATGTTTCGTGTTCCGTATCTTTACATCGAGACCAACTGCGTACACGACAGCGGTAATATACCATTTAATGGTAAATCCCCATGCATGCAAATGCGAAAACAGCGCAAAAGAGGAACAAAGTAGACAACAACCGCTAAAAATGAATCAACGGGGAGAAAGGCGCACGCACTAGCTACTAACGAACGAAGACCTGAATCAACATGACCGGGGCGGTGCCTGGGCTAGCGGTCGTCGGAGCACTAAAATATCTGAGCCTCGGGCTATGTAAAAGATTTTAAAATGTGCAAAAGGATTCGAGGTTAACACTAGTTCTTCGGCGTCTTCGTGCTCCGTAGAGCAGTCTATGCATTCAAATTTAGCCGTTGTATGCCCTGTAGTGAAAATCAAAGCCTCGAAAGGGGCGTGAGGATGATAGAGGGGCAACCAACTCGAGAGTGCCTGCGAACAAAATCGTCGTGCAGAGAACACGTTGACAAAAATTACCGGCAATGTTGCAAACAACGCTTACACATTGTAGCAGCAGTTGAAAAATAGTGAGCGCTGGAGAAAGATAATAGCCAAGGGAATGCGAAGACCGTACATGACAACAAGCCTTTTCAAGCAAGCAAAGCCGCTAGCTCTTCCTCAGGGGATGGTGCCCGCAGCCACACCGCCTTCCACCAATAATGTTGGCGCTTTCCATCTTATTTACTAGATGCTCCTCTCTATTGCGTCCTCAGCGCTTATTGAATTTAGACTGCGGCAAATCTACACCTCCTTGTGGGGCCTTTGCCTCCGTTCGGGTCCGTTGCCTGCGGTAAAAAGTTCGCGAATAATTCAATGAGCATTAAAGCATTCCTAAAACCCAATATTTATACTTTCTTGGCGCCTCCAGAATATAGGAGAAGCAGTCGACATTGGAAAGAGCATTGGCTCGTGAGTGAGTGGCCACTGGTTCTAGCCAACCTATCCAAACGCCTCTTAATCAAGTCACTTTCTGGCGCACCTCATAAAGCCTATATCCACCAGAATCGAATCTCCAACACGAGAGCCACGCTCGGCAACCGCTTCATAAATTTCCTTTGATAACTTCTTGAGCTTTGGGCATAAATTCGCGGGCACTAGCCGGCTGGTGTCTGAATCCCTGCACTGCCAAGGGTGGCTGCTGAAACCGAACCACGAGCTCAAGACTTGGATAGGAGAGGGGTGCCTCAGTGGAGACCAGCAATTCTGGAGAGCAACGAGTAGACAAGTTGTTACATAAATACACTCAGCGCAAGGAAAAAATCAAGCCAGGATGTTGGATTTGTGCAATTATCGAGCTGCAAATACTGCACAAGAGTGCGTCTGATGTGCTCGGTCAGCTTAGCTGATTCAGGGTGGATACCAATGATCATATTATGGGCAACGCGCACGCGGGCCAAAATCCACGCCCTAATGCACTGAAGAGCTGTGGATATTTAATTATGATGATACTGCCGGGAAGTCCGTGAGCCTTCAGACATCGGTGAAAAACGTTTCAGCGTGTTCTTGAACCACGACAGAGTTGGGCATGGGGATAAAGTGAGCAAGATTGCCGAGTGTGTCCAGAGCGACGTAGATTCTGTTGTGACCCCGAGCTTTTCAGAGCTGAAGCGTTCTGCGAAAGGTGAAATTCAGGTAAGTTGTGCGGCTTTTGCCGCTGACAGTGTGGGCACAACCGAGCACCCCTCTCAGTTGACTGACGCATCTTCGGCCCCCAGAAAGGCCATGAGCTTTTCATTGTAGCATTAATTCAACCATGGTTGAAAAGAATGTTTATCATGTGTCTTGCGCAAAAGAGCATTGTGCACTGAAGTTGAGATGTGCAAACGACGTAGTACATTTTTGTAAACCACAGCATATTATTCTCAACGTGTTAGGGTCTTACCCTTTCACCATTCTGAATTTTTGGCAAAAGTAGCTGATGCATGGATATCAAAAGCATGGCATTCACACGATGTAGACAAAAAATATCGATCATAACAGACAATAACGGCTGTACCACACAGAAGGGAACCACTTGGGCATTGAAGGAGCGGGTCGGCGACCACGGTGTTGGTGCCCCTAATATTGTTCACTCTCTAGTCGTATGTCAGGATGCGTTCATGCCAGTTAACAACTGGAAGACTACCAACGGCCTTAAAACTGTTTGTAAGGTACATTCAAGGTCAAGGGTCTGTCTGGACAGGAAAATGACCCCCATGTGCATAGGGTGAGCAGATTCACGCCCCATCACATCCTACGGAGTAGGATACCTGAGCTCTGTTTCGGTGGAGCACTGAGAATAGCATACACCACTTCGATGTTTTGGAGCCCTTGGGAAAAGCAGCGCACACCGCTGCATTAGTAGCACAAGCTATTGAGGAAAGTGACGCTCCTGGTCGGGAAGCACAAGTTCCGGAGAAGCAAGACCGCCTATAAGCATCCTTGATGCGGCATCAGCCTCCTCTGCCCAGCTCCCATACTGTGGTTTCATAAATATGTCACTTGAAGGACCGGCGATCCCAGCAAATCTTGGAACTTCGATAGAAGAATGCAAGCCCAAAGATTTTCCCGACGTTGTTGCGAGTGTGTAGAAGCAAAGGCTACGGCTTGCTTGTTCCACATTTTTGCTGATTTAGCTCAATTCTTGCAGCCGAAATGTGCACTCCTCGAAACACATTTTCTCTAATGGGAAGCAAACACTTTCGTGCTTTTACAACCGACTGCTTGCCCTGCAGCAGCTGAAATGCACGCTTAGGTGCTGTAGGGGCTGTTGAGCGGTTCGGCTGAAGACTAAGACTTCGACGGAGCCCTTCATCTAACTTTCCTTGATAGCCTCATCAGAATACCGAACAGCTTGACGTTATGGCTCAGTCCGGGCATCAGCGAGTTTAAGAAGCATAAAGAAGTGCTCGATTCTACGTGTGCGAGTGTGGAGTGCTGCTTTTGTGCCTATTGTCGCGGTGAATGACGAGCGGTGTCTGTGCAGTGGTATGCCGACTAGACTAATATTGCGGTCATATTATCAAGTAGTTCGCCAATGTAAGCCATCTGGATTTGCTGACTTACACAAATGCCCTTCACCAGCCAAACGCCAATGAATACTTCCCACCTCCCGTCCATTCTCCGCACTGGCACTGGGTAATGCCCCAAGGTAAATGGCCGATTCCTGCACTTTGCTTTTTCCGACAAATCAACTGAAAATCTCTTCTTTGAGCTGTAGGGGCCCTCGATGCCACGAGACATAGTTTGGGGGTTTCCCGAGGACTAGATCGACAGAATGCGGCTGACAACCAACGGGTGCCCAGGCTGCAGGCCGTTCATCATTGTTTAGCACATTCACGAGGTCCCCATGATGTATGCCTATTCCTGATGTTCCTCGACTGAACGTTGAATAGAATACCTCTGCTAGAGAACCTGTTGCAGAGCAGCAGGCCGGAATACAAGCCCAGAAACGTCTCCTTATATTGCGCTGCTGAGTAGCCCGCATGAAGCCTCTGCGTCACTACGTAGAGGCATCGGCTTCACTCCTCTCATCAGGGATAAAATGCACATTGTAAGATTCCAGGAGTCGATTATACCCTGCAGGCAGACGATATCCTTTCCCTAAGTACATTCACATTGGAGTGCTAATCCTCCCAGTAAACGTGCCACAAGAGGCACCAACTTCCCTTCACCTGGGGGAAGCAAAACGAGGTACGTAATCCAACGGGCCGATGAAATCCTCGAAATATGTGACAATCCTCACGGCCGCCCTACTTTTCTGGTCGGCATATCCTCATCGACGCATCCATACACATCTTAGCTGACAAGTCACGGCATTCTACCAGCTATGGAACTACGGAGTTCACATGAGCTGGCAGGTGGGCCTCTGCCGCCCCACCAGGCGTTGTGCCACCTCCAACTCACGCCGCCAGGGCAATCGACCTCATCCTATTGTCAAGAAAAGAAAGATGAGCAGGTTACCAAATGGCTTCATCGATTCCAGACATGTTGTAGGGTGACCTGACATCCCACTCCGTCTACCGCGGGTGGAGGAGTGGCAAAAGCTTCTCGATCGACAAAGTAACGCTAGCCACTCTGAAGGTCCATCTAATGCCTCCTTCAGTCGATACTTAACATCATACTCTATTCAAAACTTGATAGATTATTTAGTATTTCTCAAAATACCTTCTCCTACGCGCCACCGCACCTCTTAAGCATTCCAAGTACACACAGTTGCGCATTAACTGATTGCTTCGCCTGTTCGCATATTTAATTTATCGTAGAGCCCTACCACCTCGTTACAAGAAGGCTCCGTGTTGAGTGCCTTGGCTCCAGGTGCGTAGATAAATCGACATATTGCAGTAGAAAGTCTCAGCCACCTACACAAAGTGTCTCCCTACGGAGGCTAGGAGTGCTACAAACGCAAGCATACACGCAGGAGCACACAATTCTGCTCTTGCGGTCTACCATGTAATCAGGCTAGCGGAAACCTAGGAGGTGGCGTACGAAACTTGCTTGGACAATCATACGACGTGCATCAACCATCCTCATTGCGAAACGGGTAGGAAACATTGCAGCCCCTTGTTTATCCATAATACGAAGTCGATGAAAATGGGGCCGCAAGGAAGGACTCGTTTCGGTATGATCACACCTGTCTATTCTTTAGGGTAAACGGAAAAAACCCGCTGGTGAAATCGGGGAGAAGTCTGCCCCTCGTTAAAATTATGGGGTGCAGATAAACACGATCGAGGCCAGTGCTAGTTTACGAGAATCGCAGCCCCAATGGTTCGCCATCTGTCTCCCCAAGCGATTCGCCAACATAATTAAAAGATAAAAACGCAAAAGCATGGCTGAGGCAGCAAGAGGGGCCTTCGGGGGGAATGACTTTGCAAAAGCAGCAGCGAACAATGCACTTCTCGCCTCGTTCTACCCGCGAAGGTGCTGCACCCTGGCCCCCACCCTCCGGCCTGGCCCCTCCCCATGCATGACGCTCCCTCGTATCTATTCTGTCACCAAGTTTTCCTGATGAAGCAGAGGCGCCTTCTTAGTGATGAGCAACCAACGGGCAACGAACAAATTGTAATATGCTGTAAGCAGCACGACTTTGAACCCAAAAGCCAACCCTTGGTCACCAGAGAGGGGATGCACTGCGGAGTCCATATGCAGCTAAACGCATGGACTCTAAGCACATTCACCCGCCTATCCACTCCAATGGCGGCGGCCCTGTAGAGGCTACACGGGGCCTCATATGAGGCATTCCAGGCCCCGGAGGGTGTCCAACGGGGGGCCCCGCGGGGCCCCCTTCTACTGCCAACTTCGGTGAGGAGTCCAGCTGGAGCACCGAGGGCTCATCGAAAGACAGGCTAGGCGCACCTTGACATTCTTGCTGCCGCTGCAACCGCTGCTGCTCTTGCATATCCTGAAACACCTGCAGGTGCTGCTGCAGTTGTTGTTGCTGCTGCTGCTCCAAGGCATGCTGCTGTAGTGGCAACGGCGGCTGAAAGGGCATCCCACAGGTGCCGTTGGTCGGGGCACAGAGGGGTGCTGTCGAGCGAGACGATGCAGAGGCAGCAGCAGCATCTGCCTCACCTGCATATGATTCCGCCGCCGCAAATGTACTGATACCGCATGCGGAAGCAGAAGCTGCTGATGGCGACTGCGAAGTATCCGCTGCATCGACTGGGGCCCCGCCCGTGAGGCCCTCTATGGGGCTGGCCGACAGATCTTGCTTGATCAATCCGTCTGACTGTTCAGACGTTTCAAGTTGAGAGAGCCCCTTGATTTGGTTTTGCTGCTGCAGCTGCCCTTCTTGCCCCTGTTGCTGCTGCTGCCGAGTCCTCCACCAGGCCCTCTCCACTTCTTGCATGAGGCAGGGGGCAAGCTTAAGTATGTTTAAAGGCTTCCTGATAAGGAAGGAAATCAACGCTCGCACTTCTGCTTCTGTTGGAGGTCCTTCGGCGGCACCGATGGGCCCCCTCAGCTCCATTGGCTCATTCTTTTGCTGTAACGGCAGCCACTGCGCATTTTGCATGCACACTCCCTGAGGCGTCGGATATGGAGCACTCGGGGGGCCCACAGCCTCCGTAAAGGGTAGTACACGCGGCTGAAGGCCCTGATGCATTGCAGGGGGCCCTGAAGGATCAACGTGACCAATTACACCCCCCGAAGTATTGCTCATGAAAGGTTGGTGATGCGAAGTGTATGGTGCATACGCTGGCGCTGGCGCCCCCCCTGTAGTATGATTCATGGCGTTGCTCATCCCTGCTCCTGCTGCAGCTCCCGCAGCTTCTGCTGCCGCTTCCGAAGTTACTCCTGGAATTTGCTCTGTTACTTCATCTTTCACCTGTTTTCGGCTTAGTCGTGGCCTCTTTCTGCTGCTTTTTCTGCCTCTCCTTGAACAGGCAGTAAACGGAGACGAATCATCCTGGGCTTCTTCAAATTCATCTTGATGGCTCTGATCTTCCGTAGCTGTAAAATGCGTAGCAGGGACCTCAACCGACGACTGTTGCTCACCCACAGCTCTTGGAGCCTCCATAGAGTCCTCCAAGTAACCACCAGGGATTGGCTCCTCTGCTAACATTTGCATCAAAAGACACACAAAGGAGGCCCCTCCTTAAGATATGTGATGAAACGAGGGCAGGCACACCATAGGGCCAGTGAAAAATGATAACCCTGGGAGAAAGCGCACACACCAAGGACCAAATATGAATGGACGAAGGTGCTGCGCGGTGCGCCTATTGCTTCAGCTGCACCCGATACCACTTCAAGAAGCAGGCATCCACAAAGAAGATCAATCGCCCAATTCCCGCAGCTCTGGGACCACGAGGAGCCACTGATCTAACAAGGCGGGGTCCTTGGGGTTAAGGCTTTAAGGGAAATCATCGAGCCGTGTGTTTCAGTATATGCATTGAACAACCCGCGAAGTGCGGCTGCCTTTAGAAGCATCTCATACGCATCAAAGCACACAGGGTATACTGAGAAACAAACTCTGCTGATGAAAGTGGAAGACCTGAGGCACGGCTTCCCAGCGATTCGACTGGGCATCATCCTAGGCAGAGTGCATGCTGCCGCGTGCAGCACTAGAGAAAGGAATCAACCATTCACTCGGAGGCATACTAAAGGCATAAATGATACAAATAATGGAGCAGATGGAGTGAACCAGGTAGGGAGGAAGATGAAGGGGAGAGATGTAGAAGCAAAGTTTGGGGCCCTTGCTACTCACAGCCCCGTCATGCGCCCGTGGGAAACTCAGCAGGGGCTAAATCAAGAAATAAAGGTCCACGGCAAAAGACCCAGAGAAACACCAGTATAAACATAATTACGCATTAAATACGAGAGTACAGATTGTATGACTCGAGTTCTGAATGTGTTTTGCGCACATGGCTGTTGCCTACGCCAGGTGTGTGTTGAGGTGTATATGGGTGTGAGTTTGGTGGCGTGTATTTGTGAGCGCTCAGCGTGCATTAATTCCCAATAGATGCATTTGCTATTATTTTAAGCACTAACTCATAACAGCAGTGTTTAAGTGGTTCCTGCCATTCCGGCTTCAGTCCATCTCCCTCGTTTATCTATCGATGAAGCAGCGAAACCAAAACATACCCCACTGCGCACACCACCCTCCCCTCACAATGGTTTCGGCGCATGTGTCGGATTCGTCTTCCTCTCGTTCTACCGCTTAAACTCTTGGTTTTTGCATCAGCTTCATCTTTCTGTCACTACTAGGCAGTTCACCGCATTGTTTTTGGCGTGTTCCCTCGTTTCTGCACGGGAGCCGATTCCTGGGTGAGCTTTGGGGGGCATCCAAGGTTGTGCTCACCACTCTAACCCTTTCACGTTTTCTGCGATTCTACACTCTTCAATTCCGCAAAGATGTTGGAAGCACGACTTCAGAACGCGGTGGTACTCAAGCGGGTCTTTGAGGCCATGACGTGTCTCGTGAGCGAAGTAAATCTGGATTGTGATGAAACCGGCCTAAAACTACAGGTAACTCACTTCTTTCTTCAGCTTGGCTGTCACTTTCAACTTTCATTTAACGCTTGTGTGGCAAGCCTGCCACTGCTTTCAATCCCACCTTTCCGGTTCCAAACAAAGTTCTGGCATGTATGACACATAAGAGTGCATCATGAACGAATTCCCAAGAACCACGATACTATGGCAAATTTAATGCATTCCTTCACTCTCTCCTTGCTCTCTCTGGGTTGCTGCAGTCCATGGACCAGTCTCATGTGGCGCTGGTTTCCCTGAAGCTCGAGGACGTTGGCTTTCTACACTACCGCTGCGACAGGCCGAGATCGCTTGGGCTTAACATGGCTTCGGTGGTGAAGGTATTCAAATTGTGCAGCGGACAAGACACAGTGTCTGTCCAGAATGAGGATGAAGGAGACTCGATTACTTTCGTTTTCGAAAACAACGGTGAACTTCCACTGCCCGTATCTTCACTCTCCCCCTTCTTCGTTTACCTTCCTCCACCCTGTCCTTTTACCCCTTTGTTGCAGCTGCTGTTCTTCATCCTTATTCTCCTTGCTGCACTGAGGCGTGTGCGTTATCGACATGCCGCTGTCTGGTTCCACCGGTCTCCTCTGGGACAGCCCCGAGGGCATGTGGCTTGTTGTCCGTGTGTCGATAGGAAGTGGTATCAAGGTTGATTGCCTCTGTAAAATTCAGTCCGTGTTCAATGCCGGCATTTGTGTTGCAGCGGAAGAGAAAACGTCCACATTTAGCCTGTGTTTGATGGGAATAGAGCAAGAATCCTTGGGCGTGCCTGACGAGGAGGAAAGCGATGTGGTGATCACCTTCAGCGCGAAAGAGTTTGCCTCCGTTGTGAATAATCTAAAAGAGTTCAGTGATTCCGTGCGGATTGATGTGGATAAGAATGGTGTAAAATTCATTACAAATGGAGACATTGGAAGGGGACAGATCGTACTGAAACCCAGAGAGGGTAACTCAGATGATGATCTTGATGTAGGGGTGGATATCAAGGTAAGAATCCTCCATATTGTAGCGCATGCATGTACCCATACATATGCAGGAGTCTATTTCCGCTCTTGGGCCTTCTGCACAGGTTGAGGGGTATTTGCACGTGAAACTCATTGCTTTAGGGTTCCTAGAGTTCCTTGGCAGCTCTGGCGAAGTATTTGCTTACAGTGGAGTGCATTCTTGGGTATTTCTAGATAGCTGTGAAGGTTTTTGTCAGTCGTGAAACGCATATACTCCTTATGTGGTATTTGTCTACGCTCTGCAGGTCAACCATCCCGTGAGCCAGACGTACGCGGTGAAGTACTTGGTGTTTTTCTCAAAGGCTGCATCTCTAAGCAATTCCTGCACGCTCTCTCTAACGGCTCATCGACCTATTGCTGTCAAGTTTGACATATTGGACCCTATTCAAGGGGAAAGCCGCAGCTCGGCCCCTAAATTAGGACACTTCAAGTTCTACTTGGCTCCCAAGATGGACGACGAGGAGGTTGACAACATGGCTGCAGATGACATGCAGGCCGAGGAACCTAAGGCAGAAGGGCAAGTCAAGCCGGAAGAAGATAGAGAGGAATAAGTTCGTCTTTGGTCACAGCAGCAGCGGGATTTGAACTCGGGGGTTCTTCGGCACCCCTTTGGATATGCTTGCTGGGCTGCTCGCCATGCAGCGGCCAGCGAGAAGGGAAGAGGAATGGGAAGGCAAAGGAAGGGACACATTCCAGGGCTCCAGTTGCAGTCCTCCCTGCAAACCACTTCGCCTCTTTGATCAATTGGCCAGGCTTGCCTCTTTTTCATGGTTGCGTAGTTACTGATAAATTCGCACAGGGGCGTCCCTAGCTAGAACCTTGTCGGCTACTAGCCACATGGCTATAAGTGTAAACGAGTTGTGTAGTTTCTTTAGCCACCTGGCTAGCTCGCATGTACTAAAGGAGCATTTAATTTGATAAGCCTATAGAGAGCTACCTAATGGGCTACCGGTCTGTCTTCGCCAGCTGAGTGGGTGGGATGCGGCGGCACAAGCGTTCTTCTGCATTTATGGGTTCGCCGTCAAAGAGTGTGAAACCCAAGGGCACTGCGACGTGCCCTCTCTAGGTGCTTCTGCTGGAAGCCATAGTTGCTTGCGGGGCAAATTAGCAAAGTCGGGATGAAATGTTTATCGGCAGTTTGGTGGCACATGCACGCCTCGATTGGCGGTGGGTTGACTGTATCTGGGAAAAGCCTACGAAGAGCTAAAATTTAGGTACTCCTTCTGAGTGACGGAACACTTCAGGCTCCCAGGGATGCCTGTGGGCACGTTGGAAAAAGAGGAACCATCGTCTACTAGGCTCCCTTTCTGGTGTCCGCTCTTGATACGTAATCACGACCAGTAAACACAAGATGAAGGGATCATTTCATTTTTTTGATCGTCCCTGCTTCTACTTGCCTCTTCTGTATGCATCTGCTTTGCACAATTCCTACACCGGTTTTAAGTATTTGTTGTCGATACCGCGTTTTCGCTACTCAGCTCGTGCTGCGCTTCAATGCTCCTTCAGCATTTGAAGCAGAGCACCGCAAGCTCTCCCTGGTAAAAACACAAAATATGCGAATCCTCCTGAGGATCAAACAGAGATTTTAATCAATATGAATGCAAGCGGATCCAAAGGAAGGGTCGTTCACACGACGGGAATATGTGAACAGGGGTGCTTTCCGCAGACTGCTAGATAGAGTATCTTCTAAAGACTTGCATCTCGGTGCATTTTTCTTTCAACTAATACGTCGAGTGATTCGCCCATATTTGTTGTGCCTCCACCGCATCAGCACAATTCATCTTGACTGCAGTGCACAAATAGATGCATGTTGTGTTCATGATATCATTTTTTACTTGAGCATCCACTGCATAGGCGAAGCCCTCCCCAATAATGCAGTGCCATGGTGACCCGCAGTGCGCGTCCAGTGTTTCCTTGATCTGCTTTGCTACAGCCTGAAAGAGTTGTACAACCAAACACTAAGTGCCACGATTCCATTGATGCCTAGGCTTCGGTTGTGGAGTTGGAATCTGTAGTTCCTTGCTAGCCAGACAAAACAGAGCATTTCAAGATACACCGAAATATACGCCTGTAGGAGCATTTTTTAAGCTTTTGGTGGCTTATAATAGAGGCCACTGGATTGGACACTGCGCAGCAAACGAACCTCATAGTTAGGGGTGGGTCCTGTCGAGTGCTTGTCTATTGCTGTTGTAATTACGTCCATTACTTCTTGCTGTTGTTCCTGATTTAATGAAGAGCTCTGAAAAGGCAGCCAGGCAATGCCAGAGTCTTCCTTTCCTCTCTTTGATCAACTGGATAAACGCATTTCCCGTGGCTCCCTTTGTGTGCTCTTAGTAAATCATTAGTTCCCAGTAGACTGTCTCTTCACAGCACCAGTTGCGTGGAGAAACTTGCTACAAAGCATCACTTTAGTCCTCCCTCCTTTATTTAGACTTTTTTCAGGGGTGGCAGTACCATATGGTGACGGCATGAGGTATCGTGGTGCGTTGAAAAAGTATATATACGCGAGCGGAAGAAGAGGAACATACAAATCCATAAGCAAGGTCGAACAGGGAGAGCCGTTAGAAGAAAGACCAGGAGGATGGTATAAACAGCAAGGAAGAATCCAATATACAGAGATCGACAGCTAAGAGGGCTGCCACGGAAAGAGACAATTTTTTTCCGATTCCTGTTGGCGCCTTTCCTTTACTTCAAGAGGCATGCAAGCAACACAATGAAAAAGCAAGAAAGAAGAAGGGAAGAAGACGCATTACTCAAAAGAGAGGGGCAAGAAAGGCAACGTTTTGTTTGTCTCACGTAGGCAAGAGGTTTCATCATCTGCACTTGCAGTTCCTTGTTCAAAGGCCTTCTTGACATCTTTTGCCACACCCACCCAAGCAGACTATACCTCAAAAAACCCGGTGATCTAGAGTCTTAAGCACTTCCAGGAGTTTCCGATTTTAGGGCTAAAAGGTGATTTTCAACGGCTGCAAAAAGCCAGAGCACAATGCACGCAAGCAATCTGTGTTCTCTCTTCCTAAGATGCACGAGGCATCCTGAACAAAGCTGCCTACTCTTCACACTAGAAAGATATGCGAATGTTGCTGCTTATGTGGGTATGTTTTATCTTGCCCCTACAGCGCAGAGAGCAAGTTAATTCGCGTGAAAGTGCATGAAGCAGGCTAGCTTTGGTTCCCCGTTCGGGCTTCAGCTAGAGTACTCGAGAGTAACGATTTATTCAGAGTCGTTGAGGCGCAAAATGAAAATAGGAGATAAAGATAAACTTGTCAGATTTCTGCTGGCTTCTGTGGGGGGTGTGCTTTTCATAAGGTCACCTAGTGCCGTAGTCCTGAGGGGACAGGAAGAAGGAAATAAAGGAAACAGGAGGGAAGGAAAACTTTGTTTCTGATAAGTTTACGTTTTACTTGTTTCAGAGTCAGATGCAGCTAATGCGCATTCCAAAGGGGCATGTAAAAGCCACCATTACCCTCTTTACGTGGTCTATCGGTTGAGGTCCGGGGCTTTGGCAAGAAAGGGGGCACATACGGTGGATCTCCCTCTATATTTTCATTTTGAGGGCAAATATGCAGACATACTGTCAATGAAACATAGTAGGCATGCTTTCCTTTATGTGGGAAACTCCGTTGCATAGCGAAGACATCGAGGGAGTGGCTCGGAGAACAACAAAGAAAGGGATAACAAAAATCCCTCTCCGTTTCGCCCTTTTTAAAAATTAAGCACCTCTCCCTCCGACGTTATGTCTGCTTGTGTACAAGCTCTCAAAGTAGCCTGTCCTCTCGGCTGCAGTGTAGCAAGCGTGATAACAGTAGCCAGTCTCTTTACAGCTGATCCGTGGTTTCGAGGCTCCCCCGAACGTTGTTTCCATAAGACGGTTGCCTTTACTATGGGCATGGGCAGGATAATTAAATGCGAATCTCTTCCACCTTTATATTCTTCCCCCCCGCGCTAGGCCTACCCCTCTGTCGCCAAAACGTGTCTCTTCGCCTAGCACTAAGATTGAAGCAAACAAGAGGCGACTAGGGATGGAAGAAGCGCAGAAGGGATAGATAAATCCATAATCGTTCCCGCGCGGTCCGGTTATGGTCTGTACGTGGTGAAAGGGGGGGCTTAGCCGTACAACTGCAGGAAAGGGAGGCTGTAGAAGGGAGGGCGGGGCAGCGCGGCACAAATGAAGAATAACGCCATCTTATTGCGTTCAACCTTTCGTTCCGCTCTACTCCCATGCAAGTAAATATAGGCTGCTTGGGTGCCGTGTCGCTGAGGGTGTAACATTCTTTTGGATCTTAGCGTGCCACCCCACAGATTGGAGTCGTTTCCTCAAAGCCGCACCAGGGAGACGGCATTTAAAATCTCGTGGCATCCTCTTTACTTGTTGGGCAATGCACTGCTGCAAGCCTAATCCCCTATGAATGAACCTCAAATGCGCGTGAGGACGCAACAGAGGGAGACAGTTGGTCAGGCTCTGGTACGGAGACGAACGCAAGCATTGTGGGCGAGAGGGGACATGGAATCGAGAAGCAAAAAGGGCGGGTATTTGGGTGCCAGGGGTCGCTCAGCGCTAAGAGGCGAGAGGGTGGAAGGCAGCATCTAGGCACAGGGAGTAGCCTTCGAAAAGAGGGGCCCATGCAAGGGCAGACTCGGCATCCACAACAAAATGGACCTCCCCTTTTCGGGAGTACCGTGGTCTCAGCCAAACCCCAGGGGTATCCTCCGAAGGCGGTAATTTGAAGACGATACATGAATTCCACTCCTTTTAATTCTTGATTTGAGTACGGTCCTGCTCCCACTGAGAGGGGCACAGTCCCTTTTGCTGCAGCGTTTCAATGATATGCAACAGGGGTCCCTCATCTGAGGAAACAGTATAAAATTTTGCGGCATTCAAGGCTTCTGGCTGCGCGTCCGCCACGGCCACAGAAACTCCTGCCTGCTTGAACATAGATATATCATTTTCCGAGTCTCCGACAACTAGCGTCTCCTCTATTGGTATGCCGAGATGCCTAGACAGTTGCTTGAGACCGCACCCCTTGTTGTTCCCTTTCGTGCACAGTTCAAGCAGATCAGCGTACGGCATTGTAAACTCCACAGCGTCACCTAGCTCCTGCTCGAGTTCTTTCCTTAGCGCTAAAAGGGTCGAATTCGGCTGCCAGACCATGACTTTATTGAAGCAGTGGCTGTAAAAACGGCTCTCATTCTCGAGAAGAATGGGCTTTGCCTCTGCGAAACTATCATGACAGATAAGGCTCCACGTATTGTATTCGATACAATAGCTGTCTGCCTCTGTTAGCCCAACCGTAAACCGCAACATGTCTCTAGCCTTTAAAGCATCGAACAGCCGTTTCTGCAGATCAGGAGAAACGGGCGTGCACGCTATCCGATCGCTCTCACTAACCCCAAAAACAACGGAGCCATTGCAGTACACTCCCGGGCATCCATTATAGTCCATGAGCTTTAAATTCTCCTCTCCCAGGCCTTGAACAGCGGACAGGCGACCTCGGCCAGTCGCAAACCCGATCAGTATGCCAAGCTGTTGCGCAAGCGTGAACCCGCGAACGTTGGCCTCCACCACCTTGTTGCCATGGTTCGTGAAGGTGCCATCAAAGTCTGACAGAATCAGCCGGATCGGCCTTTTGACAGATAGAGAAGACAGTGGAGCAGGCATGGGGAACGATGGAAGAATGAGCACGGGAGATACCCTCCGGACGCTACACAGCGATAGCGTTGTTGCTGCCGTTGGTCGTGTGCAGTGGTCGTTGCCGCTTCGTCAACGGACCCTAAGCATGATATTCTTGTGTCTTTTGTGTTATATGAGGAAGAAGCAGAACGAAAGTGTAGGCGAATAGGGAGCTCGAAGCATGGCACTTGCCTCTCAGTGGCGAGGAGGGCAAGAAACGGCCACTGAATCAATGGGGGAATCCCACAACGCAGGGAAGAATTGCAATACCCACACGCCTTCGCTCAACCTAATCGCGTAAGAAGATAGCGGAGAAGATAAAAAGCGGGGCACTCGCTGGTTCCTACACCCCTAGGGGCCACTCTACATTGTACGGGAGGTGGAGCACCCGTGTAATGGAGGCCACTAGTAGTTCGAAGAAAACGCTGTTCCCAAAAGCGTTTGCATCATTTGCTCTATTTTGAGCATTAGGAATTTACTTATTATCGTAGAGGGTCGTTGGGATACTCCTCCGAGCAACGTTGCGGCCAGGGACTGCTGCTGTCCATCAATACGAGACCAGCCCCGTTTTTGACAGGAACGAGAAGTCTTCAGGGTATGGGAAGCCGAGCATGGGAATTTCCTCTCTACACTCACACAACGGGGCAAGAACCGTGGTATACGCTTCATGCTGTCTATAGGCTTAGCTTCTAAAAGCGTAAAGAGCGTTTACTGCGCTGGAAGAGCGCCAAGGGAAAAGGCAGCCACACAAAGGATGGTAACACATTTCTCAAGGTTGGTGCTGCACTAAGGCTTAACAGATCTCTAAATCAGCCTTGTTTCGCGCTCTAGGGGGTCCAACTCAGTTAAAAGTCGTGCTGCTTTTTGCTTTGCTCAGCAGCGGATGACATCATCGGTGAACAAGTGCATATGCACGAAAATCAAAGATATACGTACCAATGTCCTGTAAATATATAGGAGTGGACCATGAACTTGCAGGGTATATGATTGCCACGTTCATTGGAATCTCTGGGGAGTCGAGAGTTGTACCCACAGCCCAGGTTGTTAGCTAGCAGGGCCACACGTAAACACATTCTGCTACACTAGTTATATTTTGCTAAGAGTTAATATTTAATAGTTGGCTTCTCTCCTCGTGTTTCTGTTCGTACATCGAATTATGTGGCGGAGTACATTTAGCTTGATACAAGCAAACGCATTGTTTATTGCTTTTCCGCTGAATGCAATGTGCAACTAGTAGTAAATTTCAAAGTGCATGGGGGGTGCAGCTACGAGCACTCCGCTTCCCTCCCCCGTCATGTCGGAGCTCTAGGGGAAGCATTCGCGGGAATGAAGAACATTTTTTCGGAAAAAAACCCAGTATCGTTCTAACAGGATTGTATTGCGTCTGGAGTCATTTGGCCCCTGCTGAAAGATTAGGTGGAAAGCTACAGTTGGCAACATCCGGGGCCTCGGTGCAGCTCTTCTCCTGTCATCCACTGGCTGAGCCTCATACGACAGCAGTGCGCAATCGGTCGAGCCTTGTGGTAATTCATTCACCTGATTTTTCGTGGCAACAAGCCGCGGAAAATGCAGGTTGCGATCAAAGTAAGCGGTGGCACAATGCCCTAAGGCGACAGAGGACCGCCTGCCAGCTCATGTGAAATCAATAACTCCACAGCTGGTAAAATGCCATGCCCTCCTAGTCGAAAAATGTATATAAAGGCGTCGACGAGGGAAGGCCGACCAGAAAACATGGTGGCCATGAGGATGAGCAAGTACTCAAAGACACG